TGGGGAAAAAAATCGATATTGCAATATATTGTTGTGCTCTCTGTCGCAATGAATAATCGATACACTAACGCCCAATATCGATATTTTATTACAACACAAAATGATTAATTTACCCGTTGTCAGTGTCACTGTGACTACCCATATCTACCATTCTGTTTGCGGGGGCGCTGTTCGAGTAAATAGGGGTAAAGTGGCGCAAACAGCGGCCGGTGAAGAACACAAGTTAACTAACAACAACAGAGAATTGCAGAAAAAAAGAGAAGCGAGAAGAATGGCGGAAAAAAATAAAAAAAACTAATCAAAGACCCACCCGCTAGTTTCCACTCTAAAGTGTGGAGACACTTCGGGTTTTACGAGCAGAGAGAGCGCAACGGCCGCGCGCGCGCACTCTCACGTCTTCAAACAACAGGAGCGCTGTCTTGCTCTCTCCCTCGCGCATATTAATCAAGATCAATTGACACGATAGTAAAAGGTCGGAAGACCGCAGTTTCACGTGGAGCCTTTGGAGATTTTTAGAGATTAGAGACTCGCTTAAACTCAATGAACAACATCTCAACACTAAATTATAAAGGCCTGTCTCATATAGACGCCTGTCTCAAATACAAGCCGGTGCAGTTCGACGATTTGGGAAAATAAAAACCCGGGAAGTTTTACGGTATATTAATTCTCAATATGTACACATGCATTATTAATCTTGTGCCTAACATAATGAAAACGGCTTTTCCCCTCACAATGACAGTAAACTAATTATTACATTAACATGAGTCACGTTGCGGCTATTTTCAGTTCAAAATGGCGAAACTAGACAAAAGTATATTCGTGTGCCTGATTATTTCCTTATTCCTTTTCAGTCACATATATCGTGATATATCGTTGATGAAATTTCTTCCAATATATTGAATATCGTAGATATCGCGAATCGTGATATTATCATATCGTGGACCACATATCGCCACAGAATTGAATCGTGAGGTACCTGCAGGGGCGGATCTACAGGGGGGCAAGGGGGGGCAGGTGCCCCCCCTCTCTAGAGCCTTGCCCCCCCTGCTGCCCCCCTAACTTTGATGATCCAAAAACTGTACTTGTAAAAACAACCTGCCACTATGTCCACAAGCTTCTCAAAACAGTGAACTAAACAATACATTTACCAAAAGTGAACAATTTAATTTTTAATTTTAAATATATTATTAGCCCCTCCCCCCTGCGTCCCTGATTCAAACGTGCAGAGCGGCGTTGGCGGCTCACACACACACAGCGAGTCTGCTGCGGTGAGGTGGCCCTGCAACCCGACTGGAGAGAGTGAGCTTCCCCAGAGCCTCTGAAGGTGAAGTGAGTTTCCCCAGGTGTAGTTTAAACACACACGTTTAACTTAAAGTTACATTTGTAATGAATGTATTGTATACTAAAGACGATTCAGCATCAGCAAAAACAGCGCGTCTATTACGTTAGCCAAAATCAGCGGTCAATTCGCTCCCTCGTGATTTGTAAGAGCACTCTTCCCTTTGATTAGCCTAATTTTGATTTTAGTAAAGACAAGAACAGCTTAAGGCGAGACACAAAAACATCGGGGTTTTTTTCACTGGTTAATTTGAAGATTTTGGGCTATTTGTCTTCAATAACATGTCTTCTTTCAGACTTGTGGTGAAATTTTTTTTCCAAAAAAACACATTTAGGACTTTATTTTACTACACTTTGTCTATTTGCGTCAGTATTCTCCTAAATTCAACAGAAGTTGTCGTTCTAAATCAACATGTTGCTCCGCGATCGCTGCATGTCAATGTCATCACATACATCTCTGTTGGAAAGCTCTCTCTCCTGTACATTGTTGTCGTATCCAAATATGGTAATTTCCTTTTAATCAGCAACCAATCGTGAAAGTACAATGGGCATTTAACTCTAAAACCGAAATCTCATTGGCTGATGTCAATTTCTGACAACGTGATTCGTTCAGATGCATCACGTGACGTGCTCTGACATTTAGATATGCGATTTTGACTGTTTTTCTGTTCAGTTGAAGGCCATAAATGCTGTGATTTAGGTGGTTTGTATTGTTGTTGCTAATGATTTGGTAAGATATTGTGTCTGTAAATAGTTGTTTCCACTAAAAAAAGTATGAATTTTTACATTACAAATCTTTAAATGCTGTTTTCTCAAAATTAGTTTTTTGTCATTCTCCAGGACAAACATCTCAGCCTGTGTAGCACCTATGTACACCAAACTTTCCAGTTATACACTTAGCAGTATTCTGAAGATATTTTCAGAGGGATTTGTTAATAAATCATTCCTAAAAACCTTTGTAGTGTGTAAGGGCATGATTAAACAATAACGTTAATCATTTAATAATGATTAAAAGTGTTTTTGTGTTTGTTTTGTTAAAGCAATTCACATATAGGGATTCCCATGTACCGTCTACCCCTGCCACCCTGCCAAGACCTCTTGCCACCCCTTTGCCCCCCCATATAAAATTTTCTAGATCCGCCACTGGGTACCTGTATCGTCCCACCCCTAGTTTCTGTGCACCTATGCAACCATTGTGGAGGTGGGGGGGTGCAACCACAGAAACCGAAATTTCTCGGGACAGCAGCATTTGCAAATTTTAATCTTAACCGTTCTATTTCATCAGAAACGATCTTGAAACAGGGCTTTAAGTGTAAAATACCGAACTTGTCCTTTAACATTTTTGGTGTTTTGGATTCACTACAGCTGGAGAACAATTAAATACAAAATAGGTTGTAGACTCTACTGGGTGATTTTTTATTTTTTTTACTGAGTAACTATCATCATTTTCCCAAATAGTGTACAGATTTTTAGGCATTCTATTATCTCAAACAGCCTGAAAAATAGTGCATTTAGCTGATGTAAATGGGGAAAAAAATCTCCCCAGGGGAGTATGCCCCTAGACCATAGGTTTGGGCTAAGCCCCGAATGTTTACATCGTCTGGCTCCGCCCCTGTTTGGGCGACCAAGTGAGCCCATGTTTCAACAATGGCCCGGTCATGCAGGTTTGCGCTTCACAACTTCGGGAAAATCAGACCATTCCTGTCAGAGAGTGCGGCACAACTTCTTGTCCAAGCTCTTGTCATACTGCAGTGCTCTACTGGCAAGCCTTCCAGCCAGCGCAACTAAGCCTCTCCAGGTGATCCAGAACGCAGCAGCACGTCTGGTCTTCAATCAGCCAAACAGAACCCGCCACACTCCTCCTTATTTCACTCCAATGGCTCATAGTGTCAGCCAAAATCAAATTTAAGGTTTTGATGCTGACTTTCAGGACTGCCACTGGAACAGCACCCACCTACCTCAATTTACTACAAGTGTACACTTCCGCCTGCCAGCCAGGTCACTAGCCACTGAATGAGCAACACCTTATTGTTCCTTTACAACGAGGCAAAAAGTCACTCTCCAAAACTTTCTCTGTTCTTCTCTGGTGGAATGAGCTACCAACCTCACCCGAACCGCTGAGACCATCACATCTTTCAAGAAGCAGCTGAAGAAAGACACACCTCTTCCGCAAGCACTTAACCCACACCCTTAAACCATTGCACTTATGCACTTACAAAAAAAAACTTCTCTACATTTCTTCTCTTGCTTCCTAATCTCATTGTCAAATAAACCTGACACTGTTACAAATATTGTTTGCTCCTTGACGAATTGCTTTTGTTCCTCTCTTGTAAGTCTTGTAAAAGGTGAATGTTTAAAAGTTAAGAATTTAGGACTTAAATATTAGCATTGTTACTTAAAACAAAATAATCATTAGGCCTATCATTTATATAATGTTTATTTTACAGGACAATTGTCAATTGTTATTTGGAGATACAGGACCATTATCTGTCTTATTTATCTATAAATTGAGGGGGGGAAGTTAGAAGCTGGAAACAAAATAAAGCTTGAAATACTATGCATCTGTGCCTCTCCTCTCTCTCTCTCTCAAACTTTTCACTTGCCCTGTCAAAACCATTGCGGTGTGGTGTCGGTTGTGAGTCCTGTATGACATCATCATAATGAGCCCATAATGGTGTAATGCGGCTTCAAATCACCCTGTCTCGTTTGAAACCCACCTGGCTCTTAATGACAAATGACACAGAAAATCAGTACACTATTCTGTGAAAATTACTTCAGGAGTGAGTCATCAGTTGAAGCGAGCCGTGTTCAATCTTAACAACAATCAGGGCTCAGTTTTAAAAAAGCTTATGTTTTTTACATGGAGGAAATGTTTGGTGCATGTTTGAGATCCCATGCTATCATGACTTCTTTTGATGTCTTTGCCATCAAGGGCATTTTGGATGTCCACATTATTTTGTAGCCTATGTATTATAACTAGAGCCATTGTTTAAATCCACAGGTCCTGGGTAAAAATGTATACAGATGGGCCTTCTGCTTCAGCATGCTACATTTTTAAATGAGCCGACATGTCAAAATTAACTAATTAATTAGACAAGTAAAAAATAATTATCCTTGTAATTTAACAATTAAATTCAAACAGCCTATTGCCATAATGTAAGCGTCACTAACAAGATCATGGGAAATTTAGTTTAGGTTTAGTTCACTCATTTAAAGGGTTAGTTCACCCTTTGGCTGAAAGAAGAAAGTCATACACTGGCTTCAGGGTGAGTAAATTATGTGATCATTTTTATTTTTGGTTGAACTAACCTTTTAATCCCACCAGTAAATTATAATAAATAATAAGTAGCTAACTGATTGATCCACAGCATAAAGTTGTTACATGATATTAAGTAAAAGGGTATTTTGACTTTGTAGGCTCGCTATTAGGGTAGAGAGACCAGGAATAAAACACAATTTTATATAATTTTACCAATCTTAGAAAAATCTTAGTTTGTATCATTAGGCTAGCAAGAAGGGAAAAAAACACGGGCTCACTCACAGAAGATTTGGGGATTAAATGGGTTAATGCCTGCTGCCATCGTGTGGCTTTTCAACGATAAGTTGCTGATGGCTGTTGCGCTGCGCTTTTGAGATGCTGTCTTCAAAGTGCCTCTTTCAGCTGATAGGGGTCGCTAGAGGTTCAGTTTCATATAAACGCGGTCACAGAAAAGGAAGCACAAAACAAGAAGAAGAAGAGGCAGAAGAGAGAACAATAGCAGCGCAAAGCACGCAGTGACGCAGATATGGTGGTGCAAATAAAAGTCGAATACTGGTGAGTGTTTTCACAACATATGTATTCGTAAATTATCTGAAATGTTTTGTGATTTACCACCTTTTTTCCTCTACTGGGGTCAAATATCTTCAGAAATGTGGTAGATTAACCAGCTAATGCAGATTTCCAGCTCTGCTATCTGTGTTATCACAACACTGTTCATGACGCCCGTCTCCCTTGTGTGTTTATTGTAGAGATGGAGAAATGAAGCCTCATAAATCGTTGAAGCTTTTCTCTGATTGTTTCGAGGAAAGATTCGAAGTATCAAGGGTGTTGCAAACAGTGCCATCTTGTGGCAGGTCAAATTTACAGCAGCCATAAGCCGAGCAGCCCGTCACTTGCCTGTGACGTATGCAGTGGCCAAATTATTATTTTGGACAGACAAATGAAACCCTCCTTTCAACTAAATGAAATGTTCTCATTAATTTATGGAGAACGAAAGAAATAGACCCGTTCAGTGTAGACATATTCACTAATTTAGTCATTTCGCACGCTTCCGAAGTAGAGAAAATGTAAAAACCAACATATGGCAGAGCTTATAGATTCCCCTATCCTAGAGAGAGTTAAGTGCTAATGTTGATTTCTGTCTAGATATGTAATAATCATTTTGCAAAAGAAAACCCCAAAAAGGTTAATTATAGATCCAGTAAGAGTGAGACAGAAACTCACCGGTCATTTTCCTCAGCAGTGCTTCTCCCGGGAGATTAGCGCTAAATGAATCCCCTATTTTAGCGCCATCTACTGTTTTAGAAGAGGAAGTTGCTCCACTGCATTTGTGAGAAAATCAAGCCGAGAGATCTCATAAAAGCCGAGTGTCTCACAATCATAACAGACAGATATAAATTTGTATGCACTAGATTTGGTATTTGTTCAAAGGTTACATGCAATTTGTAGGATGGTTTGTATTTATTTGTGAAATATTATCTAGGCTCATTTATTTATATTTTCGCTCAAATTGACCTTTGTACTTGCACATTGCTTTCTGTTTGTTTGTTTGCGAGTCTAGGTTTTCCTTTGCTAAGCTGATCGAGTTTGTTTGCAAAATACTGGATTTGTTTAATTATGGCACAATATTAACTCCATAACTCCATAGTGGTGATGTCATAAAAATCTGTGATCCATTTTAGCGGATGTGGGGGACTAAGTTTTGAACGCTTATATCTCCCTAAATGCGAATTTTGCCATTGTTTTGGAACACACCAGCTTATTCATAACCTTAAGGCTAACATATTCGTATTAAAAGCTCAAATTTATTTCAAAAATGATTTCAGGGGACCTTTAAGAACCCTGCTGTATTTTTGTGAAATAAGAAAAAGTACACTGCCATCTTACTCTGACAAAAGTGACTTGACCGTAATATGATGTGACGTGATGCCATCATAAACATGACTTCCCACCTCGTAAGTATGAACTTCCCAGGAGGACTTGAGCGCACCATCACATCACTAGTTTATAGCTAAATGTTATGCACTGCATTATATTTTAACACGGGCTGTTTTCCAAAAAATCTGTCGTGTCTCGTAAACAGTAATATATTGATAGTTTGATATTGAGAAGTGGTTTAAAGATCGTTTAAGATGTTTCATGTTCTATGGGATTTCACCAGAGGGACTGCAGTAAGTACGCTATAAATCGTTTAGGAAAGAGGTTTTAAGACGGTACGGATTAATGGACGCTCATCCAGAATCTCAAGCGACTCGGAACAAAAACTATATTTTCTCAGTTACATTTTAGAGTAACTTTAGTTATTGATATGGAAAAACATGTATTAATGTCCCACACATTAAAAAAATATATATATTGAAAAAAAATGTGAATGTTTGCAACTTCACATTATGGAAGAAGTACATTTTACATGGTTGACAACACAGAGATATGACACAATCACTGAACTATGAAGAAAGTTATGTGCAACTTTCTAGTAAGGTGTATGAGCTTGATTACTATCTCCAGTGAGTGATCAAAGTGATAGTTATTATGATATTCCGATTCAGACTCTTTTTTTTTTTTTTTTTTTTTTTCTGTTCTAGTCTGTTGTCAGACAATATCTCTTACACTAGTTACCATGCATAGTCAGTTTGCCTGAAACCAAACGTATGTTGAGAAGCATTATTCCAGTCAGATTACGTCTCCTCTTCACTCTTTTGTGTTGCAGTGGTGGATGAGGGTACGAGCCCCGCTATCAGGAGCTCAAGCGGGTCGTCACTGCTGAGTTCACTGATGCGGATGTGAGTGGTTTCGTCGGCCGCCAAGGTATGTTGCAGATTTATGACCATGCAGTGATTTCCATTTATGCAAAAACTGATTGTCAGCAAACATCATCAGCCCTTCTGTTTCTCTTTTGCAGGAAGCTTTGAGATTGAAATCAATGGGCAACTGATTTTCTCAAAGATGGAAACCAGTGGCTTCCCCTATGAGGATGATGTGAGTAAATTTCTCGCCACTGGACTGGTTTTTCAAATGTAAAATGTTAATGGTTTTTCCATATGTGTGCTTACATCTCTCCTTTATCACATCCACAAGATTATGAATGCTATCCAAAGAGCCTACGATGGCCAGCAGGTGGAGAAGATCACCAAGAGCCAGCCTCCTTGTGTCATCCTCTAATGTTTCACCTCTTAACCCTTCCCTTTTGGCTCTCAAGACACCTGAATCACTCCTCAAAGAAGTCTTAATATGTCAAGATTTTGAACGGTTCTGTTTTAAAAAGCAAAGTTTAAGCATCTAGAGAGAGCAGGACCCTTAAATGTCGCCTTCTCTTCACTCCTCCTGTCTGGTTGCTGGACGTAAATGATTATCGTAACTCTAAAGTGAGAAGTTACGGTATGAGGCCTGCAGTCTGTGCTTCCTTTAAGCAGGAGGAGTGAGACGGGGGGGGACGGTGAGGAGAAAGCCAATGGAAGGGTTAAAGGGATAGTTCACCCAAAAATTAAAATACTGTCATTTACGTTGTTTACATTTGTTGTTCCAAACCTGTGTGTTTCTTTCTTCTGTTGAACACAAAAGAAGATATTTTAAAGAATGTTGGTTACCAGACAGTTGATGGACCCCATTGACTTCCATAGTTGTTCAGCAGAAGAAAGAAACTTTTAGAAAAATAAATTGGAAAAATGATGACAACTAATTTGAGTGAAATATCCCTTTAATGTTTTTTGTTGTTGTTGTTAAAGCCACATTGCCTACTGGAGTCAGTTCATCTGCTTTTTGTTTTGGGTATTTTTTTTATTTTTTATTTGTGTAATGATAAACTAATGTACTAAAACAATTGCTGTAAGAAGGAAACACCTAAAGCTTGGGTGTGTGAGTGCATACTTTGTCATTTTTCAAGTGTCCCTTTATGTCCACCAATCTATAATCAGCATGAAGCGATCATAAATAAATGAATTTAATATTGGTGAGTACTTTAAATGTTTGTTTAAAATACTGTAGGGTGTATATTAGACCAATCAAAGCTCAGGTGATTGCCTCTTGCAAGTATTTTGTGCAGTAGTTGTTTTACTATTATTATCAATGTAGTGTTATAGAAATCATTATCTTTTAATTAAACCAAATAGCTGTTTAAGGGCATTTATATGACCTACAGACACTGCCGCATGATGACCGTGTTTTTGTTTTGTTTTTAGAAACTACTGAACACCATGTTTATGACACAGCATGGTAATATTGTTAATTTAAATAAACTGCAATAGGAAATTACATTCAGGAGTTGGTCGTTTTTCTTGTCTTTGATTAAGGTGGTAGATCAAATCTAATTCAATGTAGTGCTGTGGGATGGGAGTTTCTGTTTGTGGTTGAGTGTGATGTTTAGCTGCTTCTTTACCTTTTTTTTTTTTACATAAAACTTAATCATATTATTTGTGAATTCTGGTTTGAAGTTTTTTATATATATATATATATATATATATATATATATATATATATATATATGACGAGAAAGTAACCTTTTTGTTTAAAACAGCTAATTGTATATCAAAATTAGTGCTGTCAAATTAATTAATTGCATTTAACATAAGTTTGTATTTATATAATGTGTGTATATATTATATGTGTGTATAAAATGTGTACACATTTATGCATGTGTGTGTCTGTGTGTACACAGACGCACACGTATATATAATATACATTATATACATACTATTTACATACACATATAAACACAAACGTTTATGTTAGATGTGATTAATCGATTTGACAGTACTAATCAAAATGCATATTAAATCTAAATGTAAACCTTTAGTTGTAACACTTTTATTTTCAGTGCTGCATTCTACAGTCTGTAAACCCGGTTAGGTACGATGTTTTCGTTGTTGTTGTTTTAGCAGTGTTTTGGTGTACTCGACAAATAAATAATAATAAAGGTATGCACCTCGCATTTTGAAAGGCGATGAGCAGTTACTGGCTTTGGAAACTGTAGGCGTGTCAAACAGGTGGAGGTGAGCAGGGTGTAGCCGACCGTCCTGACGCAGCTGTGTGCAGTGTTGTTTTCGTCTCCTCGAACAACCAGGTAGCCGTCATTAACCTCCACTGGTCAGAATCTAAAGACAAGAATCATGGTGGTGACGATAAAAGTCGAATACTGGTAAGCTCATTTACACTCTGCGTACATGTCTTTAAAGTAACTTAAAAATCTAACGTTACTGAGCTGCGTACCACATACTTTATCAATCACGCACTTTGAAGCAGATCAGATGTGGCGTAGGCCTACTCCGAACCGAACGCGTCAGGGAAGTACGAATATTTACCGCGAATCGGTTCTTTTGAACCGTTCGTTTAAAGAATCGGTTAAAAAAAACGATCCAGCGATTGTTTACCTCATCGCGTGGTCCATCCATGACTAGCCTGGCTAGTCCATGACATCCCCAGCGTGTTTATTACATGCTCCAAAATGTTAAAATAAAGTCATATATTTTGTTTTCTTACTTTAATAATTAATTATCGTGTTTATTGTTCTTGTGTCCCAGTTCAATTTGTCGCAGTCTATACTTAATGAAAACGGTTAAAACCTAAATACTGTATTTACATTAAACAATGCTTAATTAATTTACATCATGGACAACGAGTCATTGAGTTGTTCATCACTCAACAGTCACTCGGACCGTGAATGAATCGTTCAGACGTTTTGTGGACCGGTTAAATGGGGGGAAATTACCGTTGATTGACACCGCTGGTGTGGAAAAACCGGTTTAAGGGATCGTGTGTGTTAACTGAAAAAGCCGGTTACACTGGCAGAAATGACTGCGCATATTTTGAAAGAAAATTAAGAATACTGTTCTTCTCTAACCCACCAGCGGTGGATGAGGCTACGCGCCTCGCTTCCTGCAGTTGAAGCGAGACATCAACGCCAAGTTTCCTGATGCTGATGTGGCTGGCTTCGTGGGCAGGAGAGGTCGAGTACACTGTGTCCTTCTGATATCCTACTTATAATTTCCTCTAGTCCGTGTGTTTTACAAACTTGTTTTCAACTCCAATTCTCTTTTAAGCTAAATACGTTTAGCTTACTTGGGATAGTTCACCCAAAAATGAAAATTCCATAATTTTCTAACCCTCAAGTTGTTCCAAACCTGCATGAATCTCTTTCTTCTGCTGAACACAAAAGAAGATGTTTTAAAGAATATGGGTAATCAAACAGAGGATCGGACCCCATTGACTTCCATAGTAATTTTTCCCCCCATATGGAAGTCAATGGGGTCCATCAACTGTTTGGGTACTCATATTCTTCAAAATATTCTTCTTTAAAACTTAAATTCCCCATTAATAATAGACAGTAACAGTGTCACCTGTCTTGGCCAGTATATTAACATACGCTCTCTTTCCTTTTCTCTGTAGGAAGTTTTGAGATCGAGATCAATGAACATCTGGTCTTCTCAAAGTTAGAAACGGGTGGTTTCCCTTATGACGAGGATGTGAGCATCAGCATATTACTTTCTTTGTTTGTAATGTGTGTAATAGTTTGTAAAGCACAGTGCATCCAAAAAATTGAGAGAGAAAAAATATTTTAGTGCAAATGCCTTGGCTTTTTTCTTTTCTCATTTTTATGATTGAGACCCAACTAAAGAGCACCTTCTGGGATCATTTTTATGAGGTCCTTACAGCATTCAGCGTTCCAAGATGGTTCCATTTGACACGTTGAATCCTTTGACTTGATGTGTGCTATTGAGTTAAATGAAATTTATATGATGAGTAATTTCTTTGGGGCTGCAATTTCAGTGTGCATACATTATCTTTCTTTGGTCATTTAATATAAATTTTTTGTCCTGCACCTGCACAAAGTTTGCTTTGTATAGATAGATAGATTTTTATTAGTCCTCGAGGGGAAATTTGTTTATCACCGTAGATGCGTACATAACACAAACACACATAACATGTTAAATTATCGACATATCATACAATAAAAAATAATCACTGACATCACAAAAAAAAACAAAGAGAGCATAAGTGATGTATCAATGGCTGGTTTCCTATGTATTTACTTACAGGATCAAAACTCTTACTACACCTGGCCTTTATACACATCGGTAACCTATACCTACTGCCAGAAGGCAGGGGGATCGAATATTTATAGAGTGGATGGTCTGGGTCGTTTAAGATTTTTTTTTTTTTGCCTTTCGTAACGTGAATGTAGAGACACTATCTGATAAATTAGGGGTAGGGATACCAATCATTTTACTTGCTAAATAAGTTATCTTTACAAAAGTGTTCTTGTTGGTAACTGTTAGCATATGAAAAATAACAAATGGCACCATAAATACGGACTGGCTCAATAATACTGCGATACAAAAGAAGAAGAAGACGACGAAGAGGCAAAACAGACACGTGTCTTTATTTTTTTTAGAATAAGTTTACGAATAGCTGTCAGTCTTGGTTGATAGCACTTGTAATCCCCTAGAGTGTGCAGGTTGAAGTTGAAATTTTGATCCAAAGTAATGCCGAGATAATTGAAATACTCCAACCCTTCAACTATCTCTCCGTTAATGGTAATGCTAGAAGCATGAATCTGTGTTTTTGGGGAGCTTAAGACCAGTTCCTTAGTCTTTGAAATATTGAGGTGCAGAAAGTTATCCTCACACCACGTACTAAAGTGCTATAGAACGTTGATAGTCTAAACAAAAAAAAAGAGACATTGTCCTTAATAAGCAGAGCAAGAATGGCTGTATCATCTGCATATTTAAAGTAACGAGTATTAAAATATTATTTAATGAGTACTAAAGACTTAAAAACGTAGGATAATCCTTTTACAATTCCTTTTAATAATGTAAGTTTGTTTCTTTAAGACAACTTAATGAAATAACACAACCTGAATTATAAGAACGTATAGTCACCAAAAATGTGAAACAAATCAATAGATTGCAGCTCTGCGCACTCATGGCCATATTCACTCAACTAACTCCATGAGGCTGGGCTGCGAACAGTTTCTCATCTATGGTGAACATTGTTGACTGCTTTTCCTGCACTATACTCTCCAAATGATCCATTTAAATAAAGTTGTCCAGAAACGTGTAGTTCAGCACAATCTTATCTTTGTTTTACAAACATTAATCAAAAGATTTTAAGACATTGAAAAACAAAGTTTGTCTACAGATTTAAGTGTTGTGGGTTTTTTTTTAATTCTCCTAAATTTCCTTTGTCCAATTCCTGCAGATTATGGAGGCCATTGTTAAGGCTGAGGATGGCAAGCCCGAGAAGATCTCCAGAAACCGTAAAGAGTGCATCATCCTCTAATGCTCATTGCCGTCTCAGCAGAGATGAGCTCCCATCCTCTGTCCGGTCCACATGAGCATCTTATTGGTCCATTGCGGAAAATGGTTTAATTGTTTTGAAAATCTTCACCTCACTGTCTACTTTATGGCTCTCGTTTTTTGGACGTAAATGATTGCTGTAGCTTAAAGTTCAAAAGTTATGGTATGAGGCTTCAGTCCAAAAAATGATAAACCGAAGTTGAGTAATAAAGAGGATAGTGAAGAGAAGTTACCCAACTTTTTTTTATTTTTTTATTTGACAGCCAGAATAATGTTGTAGGTATAAGAATAAGACTAGACATGCATGATATCTCATGAATAAAAAGATTACTTACATTAGAGTGGAATATCAAAGATAATGTTATTAGAATGAACTATAGTGAAATAGACAAAAAATGGGGTAGAGGGCTGTTAGTAAGATTGCTTGATTATTTGGGGGGGAAATGCCCTACTGAAACTGATGAATGAACACTGTAAAACTCATATTTTGTTTATTTTATTGCATAGGCTTTTTCGCTTTACTTATTTAAAAAACGCAAGAACTTTTTTTTAATCATTGGATGAACAGTAAATTAAGTTTAGTTTATTAGTAAATTAAAAAAAATTTGCAGTGGTCAAAGGTAATTGGCTCATCATTTTAGATTTATAAAATTATTTCTGTGGTCCATGTAATGTATAAATAAATAAATAGTTTCTGAAAACATTTGTAGATTGTTTTTGGTTTGTCACATTGGCTATATCTAAAATATAACTTGTTAAACCACTTTGCTTTAGGCTAGTAAATTTAGGTAACGCTTCCTTTTACAGTCCTGTTACCCATGTACTTACTATGTACTTATTATAGTAATTATAATTACTGGGTAATAACTAGGTACTAACCCTGAACCTACCCCTAACCCATGTACTTACCAGTACTTTCTAGGTAAGTACACTGTAAGTACACGTAAGTACTGTACTGTAAAAGGAAGCGTTACCTAAATTTATAGTAAATTTCATAAAAGTTATATAATCATACTGCGTTCGACTTAGGGCAGCAGTAAATTCTTTTATTGAAATCTTTCAGGTTGTAAACATTTTTCACCAGCAGTAGAGGGCGTTTTTCATTGCTGTTCAGTATATTTGTTATCATATTAGTTTCTGTTCATGCATTAACAAAAAGGAGGCAAAACTGTTTAAATGGAGCCATTTATAATGAAGATTTCTTATACTTAAGAATACATTTTTATTATTTTTTACTAGCAATCATTTGCAGTCAAGCATTTCACAAGATTCAGTTGTGTAGTGTACTATGAAAATTGTGAATTAAACAAAAAAAAAAATAAGTAAGGTGATTAAGTTCAGAGTCAATATAACACACCTCAGCTTTTGTAAGAAAAAACACACATAAGGCCCTGACACCAACATTCATTATATCAAAGTGTCAAATGTAATGGTGCTTACATGCTTATTAAGGCAAAGATAATGTGAGGAAAATTCAGAGAGGGGAGTTTCCAACACTGCACTGTAATTTTCAAAATGAAAATTCTGTAAACGCCCTTAGAAAACAGCCGGTGATAGTTTGTGTGTGTGTGGTTATCACAGAACAGTCAATCTTTATCATAAAACGCCAGAGACTGCAGAAGAGACACACCTACACATACACACATGTGCTGTTCAATATAATAAGTGCAGTATATAGCATGAACGCTGGGGAATAATATCATACAAACACTTTAGTCTAAGGCACATTGGTGTTATTGTGAAGAGCAGAGATGCTCTCAAGAGCAAGAATACTGAATAGCAGTGTAAACTAATACCTCTGACGATGAAAATTTGATACATTTCTCATTCAAAAGGCAAATGTTGAGCCTGTTGATGTAAAACAGTTTTGATTTTTGGCTAGATTTGGTAAAACATTTGTTGCTTAAATTTGTCTTTGTTACATTTGTGTTGCCAGTATTTTTTGGAAAATAACTGAATTGAACCAAAATATTAAAAAAAGACGAATCTAATCATTGCAAATTTTAAACGAACTGAATCATTATAGAGCAAATATTTACAATCCTACTAAACAGCTTTGTTCAGAAACTGGCAAATAGAAAACGTCAGCTTTGGTTTTAGTGTCTAAAATTAAACTACAAGTCACAAAAACCTGCTTTAGCATTCACACAAACACACGCTCTGTGAAGAGTCTCTCCAGCGGGCTCAGTAATCATGCAACAGGGCGCTTGGCTTCAGATACTGTTGTTCACAGGTCATGTGATGCTCTTCTCTGGAGATGCTGTTATTCCATCCCTTAATAGGTCTCATAACTGCAGGACTGAGCATTAATTACTCATGTACTCCTGAAAGGTCTCTAGCCACATGAATGCTTACATCATTTATGTGTTTTCAGTGGACTGTAATCGTTGCCTGATGTCCCCAGTGAAAAGGTGCTGTCATAAAGGCGTGTATTCCTCCCCATGGACTTTTAAGGATCCATAATAATTGCAGGGACAGACCTGTCCAATCCTGCTCATGAAGAGCCACCTTTCTGCAGAGTTCTGCTCCAACCTGCCTGGAAGTTTCTAGCAATCTTGAAGACCTTTATTAGCTGGTTGAGATGTGTTTAATTAGGGTTAGAGTTAAACTCTGCAGGAAGGTGGCTCTTTTTAGGAGCAGGATCTGTGTATTGGATCAACCTGCCTTGCTCGAGGCCACAGTGGGAATGGTCCAAGAAGATGTCAGAAGTGCTCTGTTTTCTCAGTCTATGTCACTTGGGATTGAAACCTCAATCTTTCTAATGGCAGCCCAAGACCCTTGACCACTGGGCTACCGCCAGCTCCATGTTTCAGGTAATGTTGTGTCACAGTCAGTCACATTAGTTATTGTTTTGTCTTTAAATATTGAAAATGAATTTTAGTTGGTTGTATTGTATATAAATTGAATGTTTGTGTCTGAAAGCTCAGGTAAATGTGAGTGCAGTCAGTGGTAAAGGGTCTTGGGTGTGTGGATGTTGAGTCATTCTCATTTCTCAGGAAACGGCGCCTTTTTTTTTAGCATATCAGTTGGGTTATTACTACTTTCAAGAAATCATTTTCCCAGCTGTGTTCACCTCGTAAACATATGGGCGGTTCCCCCAATTCAGAGTTTTCCCCAAAATCCTAAACATTATTTTAATCCTTTCATCGATTTCAAATTAAGTCATTTAAATATACACGAGTAAATTCACACATTGTAATTTAGGAAATTTTATTGAAAATCTATGTTTTTGTACTTTATTCCAAACGAGAAAAATTTGTAAAACTGATCACTGTGATTTTTTTTTCTTATAACCGAAATATTAAGGTTGATGAGGGCCATGTAATTGTAATGGAAGTCTGTTTAAACCCAAAACATTTGATGTGTTAATAATGAAAGATTAAATGCACCATGTAACGTGATGAATGGTGTAGCATCAACAAATCGGCTGATATTCCCATGAAAAACTAAACAAAAATGTATTAAAATTTATTTTGCATTACACCCTAAGCACAGCTAAATCGATCAGATGATGGGACAAGGCTTACAGTCCTGCTAATTACATCAGTAATACCACAAAGTACCCAGTAAGTAATGGGGTCCTTTTCACAGAATCATCACTCTAGAAGAAAAGTTAATCAGCAAATGACACACCCCAAATTATTGCTTTGTTTTACTTATTTCCAGCACTTAAACAAGCTCTCATTGGCTCAAGAGACAGTGTTTCCGTGACTCAGTGGAAAAAGAGGTGACATATGAAACTGATGTGAGGGCCGTGGAGGGGGAAACCCCTTCAAGCGCCCCCCCAGACACCTTTGGAGGGGTGTCCTCCATTATCTGATGTGAAGGGAATCCCTAACCTCTACACAGCTTGACGTCAGAAGGCAAGATGCTTTTTTAATGATTAATGGGCCTTGCTAGTGATGAGCTCCAGATTAACACTGCACATAGACCTCTCTCTCTCTCTCTCTCTCTCTCTCTCTCTCTCTCTCTCTCTCTCTCTCTCTCTCTCTCTCTCTCTCTCTCTAAGTGTGTCAGAATTTGGCCATCATCCAGGTTAACTGTTACTGTTCTGGGAGTGGCTTGAGCATTGGGTTATTTATACTTTATATTTATGTTGTTGGTTTTTTGCAGATAACTTCTTACCTTGGCAGCTAGCAATAAAGTGCACAATTCACATGAGCGAGCCCATGCATTTTGAATCAGTCAAATAAGGATGCAGAATTAATTTAGGACAGGTAGCCTATCTGAGTCTGTACCATGCTTGTTAAACTATAGGCCTCAAACTCTTTCTCTCTCTTATGTTCTCTCTCTCACTGTTTTTGGGAGTGGTATTAGGGTCGGGGTATTCCTGCTGTAAGGTGGCCCCATCGATAAGGCTATTTCTCTGATTATGGTGGTCTTATCACTCCTTCCCACCCCTGGGTGCTCTGCGCATGCTGTCGCTTTTCGGGTTGCCCCGCACTACGTGACTTTACGTATTTCTCTCTTTTTCCATTACCCCTCCATCCCCACCCATGCCTTTTGAATCGGTCAGAGGTCAGTCTTGAGTTGGGCGCTCAAAGTGTAGACGCGGACACCCAGCACAGACCCGCCAGGACCACCTGGACTCAGGTAAGGGTGTGTTGTGCTCTGTTAAACAGTCAGATTAAGTGTTTTAGAATGAGACGGTGGTCACTTGCAGACAGGGGGACACCTGCTAAAGGTCATTTTAAGAGCAGTACAGATCTCATTGTTACTTGCAGCAGTAAATTATCAGTCATTTTGCAAGTGTTGCTGGAAGAACTATGAAACTTTTTTTGTCATATATATATTGTCTCTACTAATTATAGAGCTTTTTTCTAACTATCCCAAAAGACTGAGCCTGAAAATGAGCTTTCATACTCGGTTTCTTATAGCTACAGACTGTGAATGTATAACACTTTTCGTAAAAAAAAAAAACATTGTGCTGCTTACATTTTTTAAGTACAAGCAACTTGGATGCTGAAGTCATTTCAACTTAAATTACATTAAACTGACTTAAACAAATGAGCTGAATCTTGTAGAACTTATACAAAAAAAAGTTGAAAATAACTTATTTTGATGAGTTAAAACAATGTAAAAACATATGTTGTCATAACTTATTGATCATATAATCTTTTGCAATGTGGATTTAAGCAATTCTTCTTGGCTGTATATTTAAAAGAGTTCCTAAAACTTTACACTTGTACAAATTTGTTTGCAAATCTAAAGATGATGAAATGTTCATCTTACTGAAAATAAGCATTACAAAATGCATTATTGTGTATTTTGTTTAATGGAAAGTGTTTAATTCTGTTTATGATTGTATATGTAATTAACCTACTAAGGGTCACATTGGCATATTTAACTAATTAGCTGAAAAAAATTCTAATAAACTATTTAAGGAAACATATGAAGACTGCAGATGCAAAAGCCTCTAAGTCCGTCTAAAGTTTTTTGTTTAGTATTAACAATTTTATCAGGCTCCTATATATAGGTTTCAAAGTTTCTATACCCAAGCATTTCTGAATGGGCTGAGGCTGGGATTTAGTGAGTTTGAAGTGAAAGTATTTGATGAACGTATACTATGTGCAGAGAGCATTCACTCAAAATCATTATCTCATTTTTGACAAAGGTGGCTTTTAGAGGCTTTTGCATCGGAGGTCTTCATATTCTCTTCTCCCTCCACTAGGTTCATCCTCACTCATAATGTTTAGCACAAATCCCAGGAGGTTCTAGAAAATGTTGATAAATCCATTTTTATTTTAAAATGGGGAATACATTTGTTTTTACTATCTGTCGAAGTAGTTGAGAGGGCTTCACCAAACCCCTCTGCTGCACCCTATCTGCCTCAGTCCACGAGGAACAGAAGAGTCCTTATCACACGATAGAAGTTCAGTCTTCAGATGATTGTCTGTTTGTGGCTCTTACACGCCCTTGTGCTAGTTAGGGGTGAGCCTCCGTTTTTGAGCCTCTGAAAGACTTGAAAACTGAGTTGTGATCTGATACTCAGTGTTTGCTTTTAAAAGAACTAGTCAAATACATACAGAACATTAAAACTATAATTTCATGAATAATATATATGTATATGTGCTATTACAAATATACTGTAAATATTTTATGCAAATCGTATTAAGTAAAGTGAGTATGAGGCATGAGTTTACAGGTAAAACTCATTCTAGTTCTCAAGAACAGTGTGTTGAAATGATAACACTTTAATAAAGGGGAATACATGAATGAACAATAACCACTGCTTGTAGCAGGTGTGCAGGTCTTAGTCTTACTGTGTTATTTTGTTTCTCTGTGTGAATGAAGGTTATGTGTGAGACTTTCTGACAGAAAGAAGACAGTCTCGATGATGGAAGCCATATCGTTTGAAGGGGTGAGGAAAGCATCTCATAGCACATTAAGTGGTTGATGTACAATGAATTTTTACATTTATAAGCTACATGTCATACAGTGTAGTAAAACAGTGTGTCTCTCTCTCTCTCTCTCTCTCTCTCTCTCTCTCTATAGGACAATGACATGTCCTACGAGGACAGTGAGTCACCTCTACCATCTCCATTCACTTTGTGAGTATCATATGGACACACATAACACATTGATAGAAATGGGGGGGCATCCAGAAATTTTTATTATTGTTTTTTATTAGAATATTCTTTTTTATATTTAAATGAGCATATTTTAAAGGACGTACAACATGATGTATAAATACTTTTTAATTTAAATAAATAAATAGAAATCAGTTTTCAAAAATGAGAATAAGGTCATGAATGAACTGTCATCAAAACAATCGTTCAATGCAAAACATCTAAATATTCCTTAAAAAACTGGAAAAATCTTTATTTTCATTTTGGGGTGATATGCTACAGATATGTTTTAACAAAATAGTAACCACATTTTATTTAATTATCAGTCAGTTATTGTATTTATATAGTAGTTTATTTTTGAGAGAAGCTAATCAGACATCTGAAAAAAATCTTCTTAAAATGTACTAATCATTTAAATCTTGGATTATTATTAAAAATGATTATTTGATAGGCTTTCATATTGAATTTCATGGGTAGTGATGAATGTGGGTGGCTTATTGTGCCCAAAAAAAGAGGACTGCACACCACATTAGGACTAGAGAGAGTAAAGATGTCAAATGTTGCGCCCTTGTGGCCGAGCGGGGCAGTGCGAGGGCTAGACAGAGTGAGGTTTATGTTTCTTGTATCAGGGATGGCTTGAGTCGCTTTATAAGACGATGGAGCTCAGCTTGGCCTATGGTGCATAAGATCTGGTGAGTGTGTGGAGCTGTGACAGTCGGGTCTTTGCCCTGGTGTGTGTTGTAGTATGTGCTCTCTGTCGCCCTCTATAGGACACCCGGGGGACACAAAGGCAGCTATGACTTAGAGCAGATGAGGCAGCAGGAAGAGCTGCAGCATCAGACCTTCACCTTCTCTAGAGACTTAGAGGGTGTGTTTGCCTTACACATGCATATAAAAACACAAACCTTAAATCTTCCTGGTTCGATACTCATTTTTTCCATCTCCCTTTTCAGCCGCTCGAAATACCAACACCAATGCCATCAAGAGAGGAGATGCGGAGGTGAAACAGATTAATTACTTACTTGCATTTACTTCTTTTTAAAACACTTAATGAAACACTCTGTTTGTCCACGTCAGGCATACGTTGAGCTGAATGAGCTTCGTGGGGAGCTGTGGCAGGAAATGGGACGCTGGGTGGGTTACGAGGAGAACTTAAGCCCTGCCACAGGACAGTGGAGCCAGGCCCACATTTCCTATCTCACCTTCAAAAGCCTCATTCAACTCCGCAAGGTCATGAGCACAGGTGAGACACTAAGTGACATGTTTCCTTTAACCTTTAGACCAGTGGTCTCAAACTCAGTTCCTGGAGGCCCAGTGTCCTGCAGAGTTTAGCTCCAACCAGCTCCCTGGAAGTTTCTAGTAATCCTGAAGATCTTTATTAGCTGGATCAGGTGTGATTAATTAGGGTTGGAGCTAAACTCTGCGGGGAATGCATAACTTGTGGTGACCGCATAAACAGCTAAATATACTTCTAACAAAGGCCCATATCTCAACTAGAGCATGCTAATTCAGTGACTAAATCATGAAAAAACACCAAGCAAATCAAAGCTCTCTTTCAAAGTTTTTATGCTGACATCGCACTTGTCACATGATGAAAATAATGAATGCTGTTTCAGATTATAAAGCATACCACAATAAGTCCCCAACATATTTGAAGGACCCCCCCCCCCCACACACACACACACACACACACTTTTTTTTTTTAAACAAATGTACATCCATAGATTAAAATAAGTAACTAAAATAACTCTAATTAAAATTAAAATTATTTAATTTTAGAATTTCAGAAGTTTGTCTTTGAATTTAAATAAGAAATAAATAGATTTTTGTTAGTTGTTTTAGCTTATTTTAAAGCATGTTTTGTCTTATTTTAAATCATTTTAAGACATCTTGAGGTTCCCTAATGCCCAGTACACATTGTATGATTTTGGGCAGTCACAGATGAAAGATGACCAATCGTGGCTCCAAACGGTTGGTTCTACATCATACAGTGAGAGAGGGGCAAAGACGGCCGTTGTCCCGGTCTTGCGGCCAAAGATAGCCTGCGATCATTTTCTGACAGTTTCAGGAATTTAACATGATCATCTCACATTGTGTTTGCTGACCTACGTCTACTACATAAAAATTTTACATGAAATGGCGTATTGATCAACATGACATTGAGCTAAAATGTAAAACTACTTACCTCAAGCTCCATTTTTGCAAAATTGGTATGCCAAGTTGGCCTCTTTTCCCTAGCCATGACCACGTCCATATTCTCTTTAGCTTCTTTCTCTTTTTTTCAGCACACATAAAAACCACAATTGCAAAAGTGCGATTCATATTTGTTTACCACTAGCGCATGCAGATGACATTTTATTCTTCTACACTAACTATGATTCAATAGGTGTCATCATTGTAGTCTACATACATGTTGTACCCAAGTTTATTAGATCCATGTTGAACAGTGTGATTACATTTGTAATGATCTTATTGGATTGCTGAAATCACACTGTCTGTAGCAGGCATTAGAAGTTTGCATGGGGCCCCTAGTGGACCCCGGAACTGCTGGTGACAGATGAAAATTCATGCTGGTTCTATGTTGGTTTTTTTATGTTTACAATGACTGTAACCAGGGGCGGTGCTGCTTGATGTTGATGACAGCAGCTTATCAAGCATTGGTCAGAAGATGGTGGAACAGCTTCTGCTCAAAGAAGAGATCCGGCCCACAGACCGTGATGCTCTTGTGACCATACTGCAACGCAAGCGCACGTAAGGCTCCCCATTATCTCTGCAGCTTTGTGTTTGTGTATGTGGAGGAAAGTTATGTTTTTTTATTATTATTATTTCAGAGATCCATATTAATTGGTATATGAGTCACAGCTCTATATGACTGTCTATGGAAATAAACTTTATGACTAATATTGTTTCTGCTTTACAGTCAATTAGAGCCTACTTTAAGCCCTGGTTCAGCAGACATAGAGCTGCAAACATTCTCAGTCAGCAAACAGGTATCTATCTATCTATCTATCTATCTATCTATCTATCTATCTATCTATCTATCTATCTATCTATGTCCGTCCATCCATCCATCCATCCACCCATCCATATAGATCTATGATTTCCCTCTGATTTTTAAGCTAGGGTGGAGACTAAGACCAGGATATCCTGCTTGTTAAAATCCTTTTGTCCTTTCAGTTTTAGACTTTAAACGCTCAGTCAGGTTCTGTCTGTTTTTTAGCATCCGAACAATTAAAAACTCAACATATAGCCTCAAAAAAATAAAAAAGGGAACATTCCAGTACAGTTTTCCAGACCCATTGTAAAGGACTTCATTTAAAACCTTGTCAAAAAATGATTTTGCCTTTATTCTACGTTTGTATGTCGCTCTGCTAGTTTCAAATACTGACTTTTGCACTGTTCTGTTCATCCTCAGCGAGACATGGTTGATCGTGTGGAGGCCTCTGTAGTTTTATCAGGTGAGTGTACATTCATTTTTTATTTTGTATGAAATGATTGTTCTTTATTTTCCAGCACATTGCATGCTCATGTTTCTTCACTCCTTCTCTCTCAAGGTGTGGTGGAGAACCTCCAAAAACCAGTGGTAGCGTTTGCACGTCTGCGGGATTCAGTGGTGATGGAAGGGGTTCTGGAAGCTCCAGTTCCAGTTCGTTTTGTCTTCTTCCTGATGGGCCCCAGTCACAGCGGCATGGACTATCATGAGTGTGGCCGGGCCATGGCAGCACTAATGGCCGATTGGGTGAGGAGGAACTTTGGATTTTGCACTGAAATGTTATTGAATGAATATATATATAATGTCTCATCTTCATCCTGTACCTGCAAACAGGTGTTCACTCTGGAGGCTTACTTGGCCACAAATGGGAAGGATCTGACCAATGCCATGGCAGACTTCATGGACTGCAGCATTGTGATCCCACCCACAGAAATCCAGGATGAGAGCATGCTGAAGCCAATCATCAACTTCCAGAAGAAGATGCTGCGTGATAGGATCCGCCCAAATGATACCCGACTCATGGTTGGGAGCAAAGGTCAGTCTTCATAGAATGATAAGCTGTTGTTACAGGCGTCACTTTGTTCATTTAATTTGACATTTAAATCTCTACACATCCTTTGCTCCCCTTGTGTGTTTGTTTATTAAATAATCTGAATAATATGATGTTTATCAAATCATTTGTTGATGCTTTGAGCTACCTATATGAGTATTGTACTTTCAGCTCCATTTAACACAATTTACAGATTGTAGATTCCATATGCAGATTCGCTGGATTTGGTCATCTTACTTCTCAAAGAGCAAAATTTGACCTAATTATAATAATTTCATTTTATTTCTAGGATGCTAGTCCTGGATCCCTGCAAAATATTTAACATAGTTAGACTCATATTTACATTTAGTAATGTAGCAATGCCTAGTTTCATTAGTAAGATTTAATCATTTTCATGCTTTCAGCTCTCTTTATACGTCACATTTCTATTTTATATTACTACAAAATTTCAAACACGTATCAATATGCGGTTTAGATTAATCAATAATGACTACAAGGAACTGTCCTTCTCTTTCATTATCTCTAGACCATCCTAGTCTTAAATCTGGAATTACATCCAATGAATTGTGTTTAATTGTTTGTTTAGCCTCAACTGGACCTGAGAAGCCACAGGAGGATCCACTGGCCCGTACCGGCTATCCGTTTGGCGGAATGGTCAAAGACTTAAAACGCCGCTACAAGCATTACCTTAGTGACTTCAAAGATGCACTGGACCCTCAGGTGCTGTCTTCTGTCATCTTCATCTACTTCGCTGCCCTTTCTCCTGCCATCACCTTCGGAGGACTTCTTGGTAAGTACATTCACTGCAAGCCTTGACTAATCACACCACTGAGAAAGATCTGAATCAGTCTCATTTAGCAGCTGGTCCTGGTCCACATTTCATCTTTAGCCTGGCGCACCTAGACAGGATGAAATCATTAAAGGCAAACTCCACCCAAAAAATCGAATTACTTACCATTTTCTCACCTTCATGCCGTCCCAATCCCAGATATATATGGCTTTCTTAATATGGCTTTCCATCTCTGAGTCACGAACACGGCGGTAATCCATACAACCACAGTTGTTGAATCAATGTCTTCTGAAGCAAAATAATTGCTGTGTAAGAAAAGTGCTACTATATATTTTAAACTTTTATAAACCATGTTTCCGGCCAGCTGTCACACGTGGATTCATTAGAGTGTCCAGAAGTGGTACGTCAACACGTTTAGATGCACTTATGTCAGGCTTTACAATGTGCTGACATTTACTTAAAGCATGACCTTGCGTATGACAGTTGGCCAGAAGTGATTGTTAATAGTTAATTGATTTGCTTGGAGTGTAGTTTTTCTTTCATTTCACTTCAGAAGAAATTGATTCATCAACTGTGGTCGTGTGGATTACCGTTGTGTTCACACTGTATGGTTTTTGAAGAGTCAACTTTGGAAGTTCTGTAGACTTGCAATATATGGAGCCACAGAGATGGATTATTTAAAAAAAAAAAAAAAAAATCTTTATTTGCGCTTATCTGAAGAAAGAAATCATATACATCTGGGACTGTATGAGGGTGACAAGATTTTAATTGTTAGGTCGAGTATCCGTTGAACTAAAATCTCTCCGTTTCTCTATTTTAGCGGATAAGACGGAGCATATGATGGGGGTCTCTGAGATGATGGTCTCTACCTGCGTGCAGGGTATCATCTTTTGTCTGTTTGCGGCTCAACCAGTTCTCATCATTGGGTTTACCGGTCCATTGATGGTGTTTGAGGAGGCCTTCTTTCAGGTGATGCTTCTATCAGTGAGAATTGGTATTTAACGAGGTAGATTATCACCACCTGTATGACTTTTCTCATCCATCTAAAAACGTTCATCTTTTCCATTCAGTTCTGCAAGTCTAATGGCTTTGAGTACATTGTGGGCCGTGTCTGGGTGGGCATGTGGTTGATCATCATTGTGGTGGTGATTATGGCAGTGGAGGGGAGCTTCCTTGTTCGTTTCATCTCGCGCTTCACCCAGGAGATCTTCTCCATCTTGATCTCTCTCATTTTCATCTACGAGACCTTTTCCAAGCTGATCAAGGTATGTACAGGCTTTCAAATGCACACACACTTCATTTGATTAGATCACATAATATAATTTGTCCTCAAATCTTCTTATTTTTTCTCTATGCTTTGTTTTCTTGCTCCTCAGATTTTCAAAGCGCACCCTTTAATTTTGAACTACGAACACTTGAATGATACCTTGGAAGACCCCTTCCACCCTGTCAAAAAGATTATCAACGTCACAGACCAAACTCATGGCAATGTTACCGAACATCATGCGATAATAGAGAGAGCATATCCCAACACCGCCCTGCTATCCATGTGCCTTATGTTTGGATGTTTCTTCATTGCAATGTATCTCCGTGGGTTTAAAACTAGCACATACCTTCCTGGCCCCGTAAGTATGCCCAGTTTACATTTTTTTTATTTAAACTCTGATACTGCTTAGCCGAAAATAGGTTCAAAGTTTCAAACAATAAGGATATTTTAATCAGTAATTCTGTATGTATTCTGGGGGGAAAAAATTCAAGAGTCATTTTAGGAGACCAAATAAAAAGCCTTTAAATTTACTTTAAATTGATTTAATACTCCACATTTTATGTCATTTTAATGTATTACCTGTGGTTGAAGTGTTGCCGAGGAAGGTTGGAACAAAATTTTAAACAAAAAGCTTATATTTAAGTTCATGTTACTAATAAAACACTGTACACCACCAGATCCGACGAATGATTGGAGATTTTGGTGTCCCCATCGCCATCTTCTTCATGATCGCTGTGGATATCTGCATCAGCGATGCCTACACACAGGTTAGCCAAACACTTCCTGTTGCATTGTTCAGAGACGTGTTTTGCTATTACAGTTTTTACATTCTCTGAACTGTAAGTGCAATTGTCACAACTGTTTATGGAACATCACAACAAGTCTGAAAAATGTAGTTACTCACCTACAACATTTAATTCATGCTTCTAAGCCTAGTAATGGTTTCAGTAAATTGGCCATGCCATCAAAATGAGAAGTGTCATCATGTGAGCCATACTGCTCAAAATGTTTTGATGGTTTTTCACCATGGCAGTAACTCTTGTAATGTTTGTTATAATATACTAATTACATTTTTCAATGTTGTTGTACGTAGAAAAAGAATATGAACATTTGTATGTATGCACTAGCTTTATTTTTGTAGCAATGTGTTGAAACAGAAAATTCATATTTGCATGTCCATTTTTTCACATTTCTTATACTGAAGTCATAAATAGAGAACAGAAATTTTCCCCAAAATGGCAAGTACAGTAATTCCATAATATATATATCTCCTCACAGTATGTAACACTACAAGATCCATCTTCCACGAGCATGTAGCTGCTGTTCACGGTTGTGATGATCAAAATGGTGGTGATTGTTCTCGGCAAGCTCTATGCTTCCAAACTTGATTGGCTTATTTCTATGGTGATTCCTATTTTATTACTATGGCAGGTCATTAGCTATGGCAAATTTAGAAGACATCACAAACATTCCATGTCATAGATATTTATGGAATAAACGTATGTCTGACAGATTTTGATAAGTTAATGAATCATTTTGCATGTGATGGCTCACACAATGAAAGAATGTTGTAAGAATCAAGTTTTGAACAGCAAGCCATGCGCTTTAGTTATTGTGCAAATTGTAGACAGTTGTAATTACTCTTTTGCACACATGTGCCTAGATTTCAACCTATTTTATTATTATTTTATTTTATTTGTGAATTGAGGCAAAGCGATTATGAAAAACTGTAAAAGTCCCTGTAGTGAATAAGCTAATGAAGACAAACATGTTTCATACATAACATAAAATGTTGCAATCTGGACCCAAACATAAATGAAATCACTTGTTTTAATCAAGACTTTCTGGGATTTTGACCATTATAACTGATGGTTCCATTAATGTGTCTCATGTTCTATTTACTTCCTGCTTTAGAAACTGGTGGTGCCAAAGGGGCTGACCGTGTCCAACCCGTCTGCTAGAGGTTGGCTCATCAACCCAATGGGTGAGAAGAAGCCATTCCCTGTCTGGTTGATGTTCGCCTGTGTTGTCCCTGCCTTGTTGGTCTTCATCCTAATCTTCCTTGAGTCCCAGATCACCACGTGAGTTCCTCACTCATAATGATATTCAGAATAGAACACATTTCAATTCAGCAGCAGCACTGGGTGAAGACACATAAAGAAAACAGCAAGAAGATGTAACAAAGTGAAGATTAATGCAAGGATTTTGGTCATCCTTGGTGTTGCTACACTGCCTTTACCACCTTACTTTTCCTTACCATCCAGGCTGATTGTGAGTAAGCCTGAGAGAAAAATGGTCAAAGGCTCTGGTTTCCATCTGGACCTCCTGATTTTGGTGTTCTTGGGAGGAGCTGGCTCTATCTTTGGTGTGCCCTGGCTCAGTGCTGCTACAGTGAGATCTGTCACCCACGCCAACTCCCTGACCGTCATGACCAAAGGCCCCAGACCGCAGATTGAACGTGTGCTAGAACAAAGAGTCAGTGGTATTTTGGTGGCTGTGATGGTTGGTGAGTTCCAAGCCCTTAATCTGAAATAACGACACTAAATAAATGTTTAAACAAAAGCAATTCGCTTCTATTGCCATATTAATTTTTTTTAATTGGCATAATAATACTTAATAAAATATTATTGAACAATACACGTAATAGTAATAATTTCTCACCCACAGGGGTCTCGATTCTCATGGAGCCCGTCCTGAAGATGATACCTATGACGGCTCTGTTCGGGATCTTCCTCTATATGGGTATCACTTCCCTGAGTGGCATCCAACTTTGGGACCGTATGCTTATGCTTATTATGCCGAAAAAGCATCATCCACCTGTTCCATTTGTCACCCGTGTAAGATTTATTTAATCAACACATATAGACTATGGACAAAAGTACACTGCTGTAAAAAAGTATCAGTCCACTTTTATTTTGAAAGAAATTAATGCTTTTAATCCGCAAGAAAGCATTAAATTGATCAAAAATGACAGTAAAGACATTTATAATGTTACAAATTATTTCTATGTTAAATAGATACTGTCTTTTCAACTTTCCATCCCTCAAAGAATCCTGAAAAAAATAAGTCACAAAAACATTAAGCAGCACAACTGTTTTCATCATTGATAATAATAAACGTTTCTTGAGCTGCAAACCATCATATTAGAATGATTTCTGAAGGCTCATGTGACACTGAAGACTAGAGTAATGATGCTGAAAATTCAGCTTTGCCATAACAGGAATACATTACATTTTAAAATATATTAAAAAATAAAAAATAAAGTTATTTTAAATTGTAAAAACGATTCACAATATTACTGTTTTCACTGTATTTTTGGTCAAATAAATGCAGTCTTGCCGAGGAGAAGAGACTTATTTCAAAAACATTCAAAAACACTCACCAACCCCAAACTTTTAAAGGGTAGTGTATGTGCGTGGACATCTAAACATCAAACCCAATAATTAGAAGGGAGTGTCCACATACTTCTGGCCATGTCTAGTAATCTCATCTATTGCTCCAACCATCGATCTAACTACAGATCTCTCTCTCTCTCTCTCTGTTTCTCTACAGGTGCCGACTATGCGTATGCACCTGTACACTTTGATCCAAGTGATGTGTTTGGTGATTCTGTGGGCAGTAAAATCAAGTGCGTTTTCACTTGCCCTGCCCTTTGTCCTGATCCTCACGATCCCTCTAAGAATGTTCATGACCGGTCAAGTCTTCACTGTCATGGAAATGAAATGTGTAAGTATCTCTTTTATAGCGCTGAGACACAAGAAATGCACATGCACTTTTCACCCACCATGTCTTAATAGAAAAACAAAGCCACTTATCTGTGTAGCCTATGATATGATGCCGTCATGTTGTACATATAATGTACTGAGATTTATAATTATTATATTCTTAATTGTATTAATAATAGATTGACAGAAATATTTTAAGATTTATCACAAGAACGTTGCCATGCTTTGATTAATCACAGTCATTTAATTTTTATCTACTGTTTATTTATGAGTGCATATTTCATCCTTTTACAGCTGGATGCAGATGATGCAAATGTGAAATTTGATGATGAGGATGACTAAAATAACCCCAAAACTTCTTTGGACGTCTTTCTTGATTCTTGAATCCAAGCCACTATGAATTCATCTTACTGTGTGCATTACATGATAATCTTTTGCTTATATTTTTATCTGTTGTACATTCAAATTTTAGCTGAACAAATCTCAGTGTTTCTTTTATGAAAGTTTTAGAATGCAATTAATGCACACCTAAATTTCATAAACTGTTCATATACATTCCATAGTTATCACAATGTTGTCTTACTTTTACTTACTTTTTCATAGAACATTCTTTTACATGACTTTTTATTATTTCTGTGTTTGTGTGCCTGATAAGACTTTTTTGCCCCCTAGAACAACCCCAATATAAATTTGGGATTTATATATCATGGTGTTTATTTATTTAATGTATTCAGAGTTTCATGCAAAAAAAATCTTATGCCAGTGTGAAGTATGTCAACCACACACCAGCTCGAATGTAAATCCCATCCTGCTTTAACAGGTGATGCCTATGCAAAATGTGCCTTTATATTTCTTATGAGAATTTCAGGGACTTCATACCTGTAAATATAATAGGCTTACAAATACAGAATGTTAGCTATATAGGTTACTATTGCAAAGATTTAATACCTTTGCGTATAAATGAATAGTTGATTTTATGTGTGCTTGGTCTGTTATGCTGTGTGACTTTGTTTAATGATTAAAATTCTTTAAAACTTTAGCAGGTTTTCATATTTTGACTTTAACCCTTACGCTGTGTTGAAAACCCTAATACCTTTTGTATTCCTGGTCAAAAAATGACAGGCCTTTTAAAAATTGTTTGTAAATCAATCGTTATGCTATATTATCACAAAATAGCGGATTCAATCTCTTTGTCAATTTTTTTATTTTTAATTAGGACAATTATTTTTTAAACTGATTGAACTTAGGCCTCATTCTGAGCCTCATTGATCTGAGGATAAAGTTAATCTCTGTGAAAAAGAAAGCCTGTAATAATCAAAATTGTTTGTGTGTGTGTGTGTCACATGTAAATATGTGAACATGAACATGCTCCTGAACACTAAATGTTTGTTTTATTTTCTATCTCCCCCATTCATTTTCAATGGGTGGTCATTTTTGATCAATGAGGCCTACAATCAGTCAGTTTAAAAAATAAATACAAAACCTATTCTAATTTAAAGAAAACAATGAGAGATTTATTGGGTATTTTTAGTAAAGGCCTGTCATTTTTGTCTGGGAACACCGTGTAACAAGGTGAATTTTTTTTACAAAAAAGTCATAAAATGATCCCAAAAATTGTAGTAGTTATACCCTGTGTGAGCGAAGTCAGTACGTTTTAGTCCAATGTGATAACATAGTATATTTTCGGGAAAAAGAAAATCCTTTCCGGGTCAAAATGACCTGAACACACCATAAGGGTTTAAAATGTAGTGCTGTCGTCAGTAGGTTCAAATAAGCCATTATTATTTTATTTTTTTGTCATATTGTCAACAGTGAATAGTATATCTACATATTATTAACTACACTACTAACATTTGTGAAAGAAGTCTTTGCTCACCAAGGTTGCATTAATTTGATCAAAAATACAGTAAAAAATTGTTTATAATATTTGATTATAATTTAAAACAACTGTTTTCTAATCTGTTTTAAAATGTAATTTATTCCTGTGATCAAATCTGAATTTTCAGCATCATTACTCCAGTCTTCAGTGTCATGATCCCTCAAAAATCATTCTGATATGATTTGCTGCTCAAGAAACATGTATTATTATTATTATTATCAATGTTGAAAACAGTTGTGCTGCTGAATATTTTTGTGGAAACCATGATACATATTTTGCAGGATTCTTTGATGAGTAGAAAGTTCAAAAGGACAGAATTTATTTAAAATAGATATATTTATAAAAAAAAGAAGAAAAAAAAGAAAGACTTAACTGTAACTTTTGGTCAATGTAATGTATCCTTGGTAATGTAGAAAATTAGCTCTATGAAATATTATATTAATACTCCGCAAGCTTGGGAGTCCTTGAGGGACTTCTAGTTCAGCCTCATCTTCACATTAGGATTTCTTGGGAAGGACCAAGAGAGTCAGAGGCTAAGAGAGCAAGCGCAAGAGAGCTAATCTTGTGATCAGTGATTTTTAAAGTGTGAAGATGTCACACCCTCTGGAGGTGCGTGAGCCAATACGAAGCTGTCCCTTTGGAGAGAGTTTTTACAACCCTTTGTGTTCTAGCAGGGCATTTGAATGTTTAATTTCATTGGGTGTTTACGAAAGGAATCTACAAGATTCTTATAATACTAATGCATCATAAAGTTAGCAACATGTAATGTAGGCATAAACTAACAAATGGGGGACGAAGACTGGAGTTTATAGAGATTAAACATGCTATATGATTTTGGTTAACCATAGTATGCAAGTCATGTTTCAGACCAAAATAGTTTAGAAGAGAGAATGAAGACATAGGCCAAACCACATAAAAGAAAAATCATGAGATGGAAAATTATACATGTTAATACATTTATCACATGGTTATATATATAGAATATATAGGATTAAAAGGGTTAATTTCTCCTTCTCAGCAAGAATTAAGTCACAATTTCCTGCACATTCTTTTAGGGTCATAAAACTCATCAGTCTCAACGTGAAACAGGACGCCATGTGTTAGCTTAATTTGTGATGTTAGGTTTTTTTGGGGGAAGTTTCAGAGACCTTTGTTGGGAGAGTGAGTTTGCTGGATTATTCATTAAATATAATGAATAATTTGTGTGTGATTGGTCCAGACGCTACACTAAATAAAAGTAATAATTTGTTTTTTTTTTTTTGGTTTTTTTTTACAATGCTCAGTTTGCCCATGAAATAGTCACATTACCCGTGTATGGTATTTTATACTTGTAATACTTAGACTGCAATTGAGTTTTGCCAAACATCCCATCAGGATTTCATGTTTAAATGTATTCCCTATTAGGTCTTTCTTAGTGAAAGTTGCTGTTAGAAGTCAGTGACTACCGTCAACTGTTTGATTACCAACATTCTTTAAAATATCTTCTTTTGTGTTCAACAGAAGAACGAAATTCATACAGGTTTGGAAAAACATGAGGGTGAGCAAATGATGGCAACATTTTCATTTTTGGGTGAACTATCCCTTTAATAATACACAGTATTGATAATGCTACATGATTTCCAGTATAATGCGAGTTTAAAACAACAACAACAACAACACACATTTCTTGTTTGGTGTCAGTGCAAGTGTACTAGAATTGCAAGCCACAACAACACACATTTCTTGTTTGGTGTCAGTGCAAGTGTACTAGAATTGCAAGCCACACTGATGGGGCTGTGGTGGGGGTATAAAAGATAGAAAAGCACTGGCCTATATTCCCGGAGGCAGGAGTGCTGCTCCACCATAGACTGCTCCACACTGGACTCTGGCATTCCAGTGAAATGCGCACGTCACCGCTCTGATGTTTAACGAAGCAGCGCGCTCATTGGAAAATCATGTTTTCTCCAAATCAGAACGTCTTGATTGGACATCGCAGGTGACGCCCACAAACAGACAAGGTGGAGTTTAATTATTTAACGTGACAAAAAGATGTAGCTGTCAGACTGAAAATACTGAAAAGATGTAAAAAGTACACAACAGTTCACTCTTTACTTAATGCATATGCACTTTGGGAGTTTGACTAAACGGAAGAATACTGTTTTTATTTTCTTCTTTATTTTTATTTATTTATTATCACATGTTAACATATTAAATCAAATTCACTTCTTATATTAAAACTTTACATTATCATCACGAGTATAAAAAAAAGTGTTCAAAACAAGCCCGAATCGGCACACGAGCGTGCAGGTTTGATGGCGCCTCGGTAGCTCGTGACAGCAGCTCCGAGTTTATAATCCAAATGGAAGCGAAACCCGGGCGACCCATCCGTGATGAGAGCGGCGAGCAGGCAGGGGAGAGATTGAAAATGTGGATGTCGCCTTGGAAAGAGAAATGAGCGGATCGAGAGAGCTGCGCGCTGACTGGAAGGAGAGCGAGAGAGATGGAGGCGGGGGGAAGTCTCTCTCAGCTCTGCGGGGACTGGAGCGCCCGTGCCCTGGACCGGCGGCGCAGTGCTGGCTAACAGTCAACCCTCCCCTTGTTCCACCACCACTTCCACACACAAGCAGCGACAGGTAAGATCAAACCAGCGCCTTATCCTACCGACCGTTTGGTAAACAAACCTTGAACAAATTCTTAAATGAAACGACAAAAAGAAAAAAAAATCAAAATATTTTGACTTTAGATCATTGGTGGATTTTGTTTGTGTTTAAATTCGCGTTGACTTGGTGCAAGGCAACGGTACATTCCGAGTCGCCTTACCCGAATTTCCCGTATTGTGACTCGGGGAAAAACATCCCCCGTTTATATACCAAACCCTTTCGCCGTGTTTAATTTCTTAATGTAACTCTAAAAGCCACTAACCTATTTTTTAAGCGAGATAAGGGCACCTCTATCGTGTTTGGAGACCTCGCGGTCGTCTTCATTTCCGAGTCAGGACTCCATGAGGCTCGTGAAGGAAAGAAACAGCCGCCTTTGGTTCGCCATCACGGAGCTCGGTTATCTCACAGTGTGGGCTCGTTTTCGCTTTTGTGAAAGCAAATTTCGCCATCACATTTGACATTTTATCGGCTATCTGTGTTTGAGGAGCAAACCGGGTGAGTTCAGAACCAATCGCGCTGGTTTTTCTCTCGGTGGAGGTGAATTGCTCGCAGCGTGTGCATGGAGGGTAGTATGGCGGCTCTAGAACAGTCGTCACGCCAGGGAAGCGTCCTCTTCTCGGTTGTTACAATTTTCCATTGTGATTGTGAACAAAATGACATGTTTATTCACAGGATTGATTCATTTCTCACTGAGTTGATCTCGACTGTCATAATTGTGCTTCAGTCACCGCGTACTAAGTAAAAGTAACCGTATAATTCTTCCATTTCTAGTTTCGAAGCCTTTGTAGAGCCTGCTGCCTGCCATACGGCCGCACACCGTGCTTTCACCCCGCATTCCTCGTCACTCGAAAGTCGGGGTAAACAACCAGATTTCTTTACGGTAAGAGGACCGTTTGGACACCGCTTACAGTTATTTGTATATAAAAACATGTAATAAGGATTGACTTTGGCTGCATTGTTTTTTTTTTTTTTTTGACGACTGGTTCAGCTCTCACCAAGGCTGGAGGGGGATTCAATGCTAGTTATTATAGCCGGCTAGCTCCGGTGTAGGTCAAGTCATAGGTCGGTTTAACATTGTAACATTTTATTTTATTAAATGTAGATTTGTAAGCTATCATTTGCAGCAGTTCCACACGTAACGTTAGACACCGACACTATCAAATCTATTTTGAGTTTATAATCTAAGTTGGGTAAAGCAGAATTTATGCATTAAACAGCACCAATTATATAATTTAGTAACATTTCCACATCAAATTTAAACATTATTTTTTAAATTGACCCTTATAAATACTTAAAACACTTCAACTTTGACGTATTTTGCCTCGAACCTAAAGCCCCGTTTTCAAAGCTTTTGTTCAAAAAAGCTATTCAAATCCACAAAATAGTTGTTGTTTTGTTCCTCAGCATTTCAATGGTAGGAAAGCTCGATTCTATTAAAGAAGGGTCTGATTATCCACTGATTCAGACCATTTCATTGTGGCAAAAATGCCCTTCATCCAGGGTCTGTTTTAAAGCTGGACTCTGCTGGCTCACGCGCCGCCATTACACATTCAGCGAAGCGACGACGCCTCGCCCTGGAACAAGGCTCGTGCCATTTTGTGACTAATTCAGTCGGCTCACACATTTGCGAAACGACATCAGATTATGACTAGGCCTCCGTGTTCAACCATTTTAATACAGTCGCTGTGTGAATATAAAGGGGGCGACCCAGAATGTGTCCGTGGCGGAAGCGGAGACCCGCGCCCTGTTGGTTTGGAGGCAGACTCTGGTGCTGCATGCTTTAGTAGTCACTCATGATGATCCCTGGCTGTGTTTCCCCCTCTCGACGGAGACCGAAAGCAGATCCCGATCCGTGGTCAGCTGGTCCGTCTACAGGCAGCTGCCTGCCTATCGCCCAAAATGCTCCTTCCTCCTCCTGTAGTACCTCCCAGTATCCACTCGTCTGCCGAAAATATAGTCCAATTTCGAGCTACTACACGAAACGCTCGCCTCGAAAAGCGCGCAGAGTGCAGGAGAATCCGTTTCAAGTCTTAGTTCAGTAGACAAAATGGAAGATTGGAAGGATTGGCTTGCTCTTGCTGGTGTCGACTGCAGAGTTATTTGAGATTTGAAACCGTCACAGGCAATGGGCTCTGTCTCACGATGGAGCGTAAACGCTTAGGGGCGGTGTAATGAACATCAACCATTATGTGTCGGGCTGGATTTTAATTCCACTTTACATACAACAATTCCTGGTTTAAAGAGAATTATTGAAAGCCAAAAAAAAACTTAGAATCAACTTAAGTCAGAAAAAATATCCCCACATGAATGATGCATTCTTTCTGTTATTTAATTATTTGATGCACAATTCATTATTATAAAAAATGGAAATAAATTGAAAACGATATAGTGTTAAAGCCATGTAAGTACGAGTTTCAACCTTTTACCTCAACGTTTGTAATCCTTAACATAATTATTAACATAATGTGTTTTTCTCTAGAGTGATTAATCCTGACAATGAATGGAGAAATGGACTCCTCTGCTAAAGAGATCGGTAAGAAACATTAATCATTTAGATCAGTGATTCTTAACTGTTTATGATTATTATTATAAATGTATATTTATCACCGTGAACAGTAATAAATGTAACTTAATGGAAAAACTGTACAAGAAAATTTTGGATTCTAATTAAATACTAGTGAGCCTGTATTTAAAATTTGTGTGTGAATTGATATTTTGTTAGTCTGCATGAAGTGATGTACAGGTACTCAAAGATCATTTTTGCCCTATTATGTTTTATTGTTACAGTTTGGGAGCAGAGTGACCTATTGAAGCTCTTGGATGCCATGAAGGTGAACCTGCCAGATAAGGATCTGTCCAAGTACAAGACGTCCGAGTCCCATTTGGACTGGGAGAAAGTGGCTTTTAACTCATACTCTGCGGAGATGTGCAAACAGAAATGGCTGGAAGTTTCACGTGAGGTACGCTAGTCAGTGACCAATGGGTTTCACTTGTATGTTGTAATGACTAGAGAAACATGCATCACAAGTGTGTCGAAAAAATTTATGTTCATAGTATTTGAAATATTTGATTTAAAGAAAAAACTTTTGTATGTGACAAGTTATAGAATAAGATAAATGCGGTTGTCACATTAAGATTCCTGTTCCTGACTCAGATACGTAAATTCCGCACCCTCTCTGAACTGATCGTGGATGCACAGGACTATGTCAAAAATCCATACAAAGGAAAGAAGCTGAAGGTAGAAATTCTTATGGCTCAGTCCTGAAAGCTTGGATTAAAATTGACAGATTTTGTCCAGTGTGTTATTTGGAGCAGCAGCAAATGCTAACTTTTTGTCTATTTATCTTCTGCAGAAACACCCAGACTTCCCCAAAAAGCCATTGACACCGTATTTCCGTTTCTTTATGGAGAAGCGTGCCAAGTATGCTAAACTACATCCAGAGATGAGCAATTTAGATCTCACAAAGATCCTGTCCAAAAAATACAAGGAGCTCCCAGAGCGTAAAAAAGTGAGTGCAGAGAAAATTGAAAAGAAAAAGCATTGGGTCTCATATATATATATATATATTAAATGATTAAATATGTGGTCTATATCTCTTAAAAATGTAATCTTAACATGTTTAAAAGGCCACCAAGAGTGTGTGATTTTTGCATAAGTGGTTTCAGTTGTTCCTAAATTTTTCTGTAAATTTAGAATACATTGTAGAACGAAAGTTGATTAATCAGGGGGTTTTTTTGTTGAAAACTATTGTATGCAGACTGCATGCACAAATTTGTGCGCATACATGCTTAGTGAATTAGATCCATTGTCTGTAAACATTTTTCAAGAACTACTATAAAATGTAAATTGATATGGATTTTTAAATTTGGAAATTGATATTATGGGGATATTGTAATGGTACATTAAAGTTTAAGGATGAATCTGGTGTTCAGTTGATTTCAAATCTGTTGCTGCTCTCTAGTCCCTTTGAAAAGAAGAACATATTTTCTATTTGGTCTGGATCAACTATTGTTTTGAGTAGTACCTTTCTAGATCAGTCAACAAAAGCATGCATTGTTTTGTCTGACCTGTTTGTTCTGTCTGCATCTGACGTCAACAGGAGAAATACGTGAAAGACTTTCTCAGAGAAAAGGAGTCTTTCATGGTCAGCATGATGAAGTTCAGGTGAGTGACTTATTGGAGATATATCCAGCTGCAGACCCGCAGCACCACCAGTTTCAGAACCCCAGTGCCAGAACCCCAGCGCCAGAACCGGAAGTGAGGGAGGGGCGGAATTATTTACAATGACACATTTTTGCAAGTAGGCCTATTTAAAAATATTTAAAATGGTTGCACCTTTTAAATAATATTTAGGGTATGTTTTTATTACACAGTGAGTCACTGCTCGTTGTATGAACTATAACTGGTATGTGACAAATAAAGAGCAAGACAGCGCTCGTGTTGTTCGAAGACGTCAGAGTGCGCGCGCGCACGGCCAGGGCTCTCTCTCTGCTCGTTAAGCGCCCTGTCACGCGCAGCAGTCATTCTATTCTACATCACTCACCGATCAAAATAGGCTTTGGCGGGACAAAAATTTGCTTTGGCGGGACAAAAATTTGCTTTGGCGGCCGCCAAAAAGCGGATGATCTGACGGGTTTTAGAATACAACCTGAAACTAAAAAACAGACCCGACCTCTATTTGAGGCCGGCCTTATATTTACCCAGACCTGCAGCCACACCAGGCATGTAAAGAGACAATCGTCTATTTGGGACTCGGCTATTATTTGAAGTACGGTACATTTTTATTGTTTCTTTTAAAACAATGCCGGATTTTCTCTCTCTTTTTAGATTTTTGACATTATTTTACATAAAGAAAAATGCATGCTGCACATGTTCTTGTGAAATAAAGTATATTTTATATAAAATGACCATAAGTTTCAAGCATTATTTTTCACCATCATGATCAGGAAGTAACTCTCATAATACAATGAAACGGATAACTATATAGAATTATATTACACAAAATCAACGTTTTAAAATGCTTATTGTACTATACCTTAATGTATCATTATAATATGTATAAAGTATGACGCTTCGTGTGTAATAATTCCGTTTCGTGTCTAAGCAAACTACGCTCCAAAACGTTAGGTGGCGTTACTCGGTTTAGAACGTAAGCTCGGCCCCTCACTTCCGGTCCTGGCGCTGGTGTTAGAACGTAAGCTCCGCCCATTACTTCCGGTTCTGGCGCTGGGGTTCTGAAAGTGGTGGTGCTGCGGGTCTGCAGCTGGATACTATTGACTTATTGACACTTTACCATCTCATTTACATTTCTAAATCATCGCTTTTCTCTAAAAAAGTGTTTATTTGTGTTTTATCAGGCAGGATCATCCCGACCTTCTAGAGAACGTTAATAAGAAGTCCAATGTTCCAGAGAAGCCCAAGACACCCCAGCAACTGTGGTACAGCCATGAGAAGAAGGCCTTTCTCAAAGGACGCCCAGATGTAAGCTCTACACACACTCGCTCTAGAATTTGCTGCTGACTTCTTCATACACATGAATGCTGTAAAACACTTGTGCTTATACCTCTCCAGGCGACCACCAAAGACATTAAGGATAGTGTTGCAAAGCAGTGGCCACAGCTGTCAGACAAGAAGAGGATGAAGTGGATCATGAAGTCTCTGGAGCAGCACAAACTGTATGAGGTAAAGATGCTTGCATTTTCCACAGCCTATTTGCCAGCAAGTAGCAAGCTTCGCTGTAATGTTTGATCTTTCCCGTCTTTGTTTAGGGGACAATGCGCGAGTTTATCCAGCAGCACCCAGAGTTGAACATCACGCAGGAGGACATCGTCAAATCCACTCTGACCAAAGCAGAGAGACAGCTCAAGGACAAGTTTGATGGGCGGCCCGACAAACCACCTTCGTAAGTTTACCTGATAATAGCAATTTCTCATTTTTTGGGGGGCAGGCTGTGGGTGGTGAAATGTGTCCTGGACATGTCATGTTTGTTTTCTCCTTTTCTTTCTTGTCCTATTATGGTATTAATTCATATTTTTATATTATTTTAAATTTATAGTAGTTTTGTTATCTGCTTTTTCCATTCCCCCCCCCCCCCCCCCCCCCCTCTGTTTTAGTACTTAAAGACTTATTTTAGTTACAGAAGGTGTTTTTTTAATAGTTTTATTTAATGATAACAATTTCTTGAATGAGTTTTTTTTTGTCTCATTCTGTTTTTTTTGTTTGTTTGTTTTTCCTCTCAGTAATGGTTACTCAATGTTCTGTGCTGAGCTTATGTCCAGTATGAAAGACGTCCCCAGTACGGAGCGTATGGTCATGTGCAGCCAGCGCTGGAAACTCCTCAAACAGAGCGAGAAAGATGCTTACCAAAAGCGCTGTGAACAGGTTTGTAACACACTCTTATTTTGCACCCTTCCATCTGTTGATCAACCATCTATTAAAATAAACAAGCCAACATGGATACAGTCACTTTAATATTTAATTTTTTCTCTACACAGAAAAAGAAAGAATATGAAGTTGAGATGAATCGCTACTTATTAGTAAGTATACGTTTAACAGACCCTCATCTCTGTTTGTGTATTGTTTGAAACAATTTGAGGTTGCATTTTTGTTAAGGTGTCCGTGTTACAGTGTAATTATACATTTAAGTGCTGAGTAATATTAAGTAACTACATGTACTTACTATATGGTTAGTTGCATGTTATTATGCATAATTTATAGTTATTACAATAGTAACTACATGTAACAATGACACTGTAAAATAAAGTGTTACCCAATTTGCTACTTGGTTTGCATTTTAAACATGTTGCCTGTGTATCCCAGAGTATCTCAGAGGAGGAACAGCAGAGAATAATGTCAGAACAGAAGATGGGCAGCTTTAAAAGGGGAGGTGGTGGCAGCAGCCCCGCTTCTAAAAAGAAGAGCGCCACAGCAAAGGTTAGTTCACCTGTCAATCATCTTTGGGTTATTGAGGGATCGTTACTTAAATGAGCTTACTGTAACTAGAACTTCACTTCCTTAATGCCCTTCTGTTCTTTTTTCTCTTTATTAATTTTAACAGTCTGCAGAGAAGCCCAAGCCCCCTGTGTCTGCAATGTTCATTTTCTCAGAAGAGAAGCGCCCAAAACTTCATCAGGAAAGGCCTGATCTTTCTGACATGGAGCTCACCAGACTTCTAGCCCGCATGTGGAACGAGCTTTCTGACAAGAAGAAGGTAATAAAGACACATTAGTGATCCAGAGATGTTAAGATCCTTCTATCACTGTATTGACTGACTAAATTGTTTTTAACTTGAATGTTTAATCATTCTTAATAGGAGAAGTATAAAACTCTGGAGATGACGCTGAAGGCAGACTCTGAAAAGCAGAGCAAAGAGGACAAAGGGAAACTACCAGAAACACCCAAAACAGCTCAGGAAATCTGGCAACAGAGTGTCATTGGAGACTATCTCGCCCGGTTCAAGGTATGAAATCATACGTGCAAGAAGTTAAATTGGGAAAATTACCTACACTACCGTTCAAGAGTTTGGGGTCAGATTTGTTTAATGTTTCTTACAGAAGTCTAGTACCAAGGCTGCATTTATTTGATTAAAAATAGTAATAGTATGAAATAAAATTACAATTTCAAATACAGTTTTCAATGTATATAGTTTTTATATATATATATATATATATATATATATATATTCATATATATATATATTCATATATATATTCATATATATATATATATTCATATATATATTCATATATTCGAGCGGACATGTCGAAGAATATCGCAGACACGCGCTTCACACTGCGAGTGGGCTGCGGGCACCCAATAGATTGTTTGACTATCAATATCCCTCACATCCCTCATTGTAAAAAAATATTTTATAGGTGAAAACAGACTTAAGGAACAGGCTCCATTGGTAACGTTTAGCAGCATATATGCTCAGCATCAGGGGTGTTTGTTGTTTGGACAGACCTACCCCCACTGCTAAAAAAATCCTAAAGGAAACACTGTAATGGTGTGTTCACACCGAACGCGAATTTAATTATTTGCGCGAGAAGATTACATACAAAGTCAATGCAAAGACGCGAATAGACGCATCATTCGCGCCGGGCGTTAGGAATGACGCGAATTGGGCGACGCGTTTGCCGCGAATGTCTTCCGCGCAAGTTGAAAAATTTGAACTCGAGCGAATGTTCAAGCGTCTAACTAGACGCGTATTTGACGCTCTATTCGCGTTCGGTGCGAACACACCATAACTCTTCTCATTTTAACTTTTCTGAAACATTAACCAAGATGGCCTAGTATTGTTGTTGATATGAGTCTGTGTTGTCTTGTTTTTCCACCATAATTCTTAAAGTTAACATAATCTGACTGAGGAATCTTAGACAAGTAAATATTGTAACTGTGGTCAAATGTAAATTAACTTGTGCCTATTTAACTTTATTCAAAAATTATTTAATTCTGCAATTTGCCTTCATTAGCGATTATCATCAATTTGATTACACAGATACTAATTAAACTAAACAGCTAGACAATCAATGGCATCTCTGAATTCAATAATGAAATGCCTTTAACCGAAAATTGAATGTATAATCTTATTATACATTATACATTACTGACACTCTATCCTCCAATTTGATACTGTTAAGTGCTTTGACACAATCTGTATTGTTAAAAGCAATATATAAATAAAGGTGACTTGACTTCATGCCGATCCAGTGAGCATTGTTTCTGTGTGTGATGCACGCATGTTTGCGTTTAAATCTGTTCATCAAATTACGTTAATGTATTAACCGGCATTTATGACCGATGAGCAATGCATTTGTTACAGTATATTTTAATCTTTGATAACAGTAGGTAATAAAAATACAACGGATCATGTTAGCTCTGGTCCAATGAAAAAACATTAACAGATAGAACTCAGGACATTTTTGTTCATGTAAAATATACCTCATTGTCATGTTCTAGACTTGTTATATTTAGCTTTAAATAAAAATAAAAATACCCCCTTAATATTGTGGCAGTTTTTTTCTCTGTGGTATCGAATATCGATATTTTTCAAGGTATCGTATCGAAGTTAGAAATTCTAGTATCGTGACAACACTACATTCCGATGATTTGGTGCTCAAGTAACATTTCTTATTATTATCGATAAATACTATTCATTATACCATTGTGCTGCTTAATATTGTTGTGGAAATCGGGTTGCGTTTCTTTATTCCAGGACTTTTTGATTAATAGAAAGTTAAAAAGAGAACCATTTATTTGAAATAGAAATATTTTGTAATTTTATAAATGTATTTTTCACTTTTGATCAATTTAGTGTGTCCTTGCTGAATAAAAGCATTAATTACTTATAAAAAAAGAGAAAAAAGTCCTGCCCTCAAACTTTTAAACGGGACTCTATGCCTATTTTTTTCTTGAACAGACAACATGAAGCAGTCCTGCCCACCAATGGCTGCACAAATATTTCTACCATAGGAAATTGTCTACCTAATTCTCTATTTGCTATGGTTTTCTCCACTGATCTCTCCCTCTTCTTTAAATGTCAGAATGATCGAGCGAAAGCTCAGAAAGCCATGGAGGCCACCTGGAATACCATGGAGAAGAAAGAGAAGATCATGTGGATCAAGAAGGCTGCAGAGGACCAAAAGAGATATGAAGTGAGTCCAGACAAATCCAAACAACATTTAGTATAGTATCTGATCGTGTGTCTACAACCTACATGTTTTTCTTTAGATCAGGGCTTTTTGTGTGGAAGATTTCATACCCTTTTTTCATTCTTCTGTTTTATGCAGAGAGAGCTGAGTGAGATGCGATCACCTGCCCCAGTCTTTATCATGGGGAAGAAAATGAAATTTGATGGGGAACCTAAGAAACCACCCTCGTAAGTTCATTATGTGTATCTGAGTGTTGGTGTGTTTGAGGAAGCTCAATGTTTCTTACCTTCCCACTCGTTCTAATCGTGTTCTCTTCACCTGTGGCTACAGTAACGGTTATCAGAAGTTCTCTCAAGAGATGCTGTCGAACGGTGAGCTGAACCATCTGCCCATGAAAGAGCGCATGGGTGAAATCGGAGGCCGCTGGCAGCGACTCCCTCAGAAAGAGAAGGACCATTACAAAAGGATGGCGGAGGAGAAACAGAGGCAGTACAGAGTGCTTCTCGAGCAGTGGCTTGCGGTACCATATCTTTATTATAATTTCAATTTTAGAGCAACACAAATAGCTTGATATGAAGATCTAATATATTTAGCCATTGATTTTGTATTCTTTTTAAAACCAACAGTTTGTACATTTTGAATTCAAGGATATTAAAATGATTTTCTCCCTCACAGAGTATAACACCTCAGGAGAGAACTGTGTATAAAGAATATAACTCACTGGTAGGTCATAAATGTGCATGTATTTCAGTCTATCTGCTCAAAATATACATTAGTGCTGTCAATCGATTAAAATAATTAATCACACATTTTTCTGTAATTAATCGCACCTCACATTAAAGTTTTTAATATATATTTTTTTTATTGTAATAATTTTACATTTATTCTCCAAATGAATGTAGAAACAACATAAAGACAGTATCATACATTTAAAATGTTTGTTTAATCATCTTTTCATGAAAGAAGGCCATGAAATAGATATTTAAGTTATTTTTTCTCAATTTAGCCGTAATAGCAATTCAGCATTACAGTATAATTTGATTTTAACTTATTAGGCTTTAAAACAATCTTTTCACAAACCCATTATAATAAATGTCACATTTACCTGCCCTTCAATTTATCAGGGCTCAATTTTTTCTATTGGCCCAGTCAGATAGAAAGGTTTAGATTTTTACTTGCCCTGTCAAAATGCACAAAAACTTATTGTTTTCATTGTTTTTGACCCATGTAACCTTGTAAACAGTGCTTTAAGATTTTCAGGTAGGTCTAATGGGTAGGAATATATACAGATATTGAATAAAGTTATCAAACTCCACAGTCTTAACTGCATAAATTCTAAATTAAGTATAGATCAATCCTTATTAAAGCTACCAAAGTTATTCAGTCAAGAGCAGTGAGAGTGATTTTCTCTTTTTCTTTTGTTCTTTGATTATCCTTAATGACAGACAGTGGTCACTTTAAGACCTGAATCACACGACGGTGGATCTGACACGCATCCCATTTTCTTACAACTCTTTACGTTCATTTAAGACTTGTGAGGATACTCAACAAAATGGGCATTGTGGCATAATTTTGTGTTTTTGCCTGTTCAAGCGCTGTCTGAAGCAGCTTTCTGTGTGCACGAGTCGTGTGTCACGTAGTTTTTTTTAACTAAAAAAAAACCCAATCGCATGCTTTAATTGATATATATTATATTTCAATTTAATATAAAACTTCCGCCTCTAATTTTTTTTCTTGAACTTTTCTTCTTCAGAAACGGAGGAGCACAATAAAACCTGGTGGCACGAATGCTAAAGTGAAACCCAAGGCCAAAGTATCGGTGAGTTTGATCGTACAGTCTTAAATGGCTCTGTTGGCCACTATGTATGTTTTTAGCGGCATGTACTGATTATTCTGTTTCATTGGTGACCTCGTCCAAAGGAAGACGAAGAGGAGGATGATGACGACAACGATGATGATGAAGAGAAGGAATCTGATGACGGATCATCCTCTGATGACAGTGATGATGATGATGATGATGACGACGATGACGAAGATGATGTAAGCATGCTGGCCACAGGGAGGGGGAGGGGGAGGGGGAGGAGGGGGAGGGGGAGGGGGAGGGGGGGGGGGGGGTTGAAATGAGACTTTGATTAGTGATTAGCGGTGGGCAATATGACACAAATCTTATTTCAGAATATGATCAATTTTTTTTACCAATAACTATATATCACAATACAGTTATAGTTATTTTATTTTAAATTAAGAACAGAGAAGCTTATTACAAACAATAGAACAAGGAAACAAATGAAATTCCATGTGTTTTTTTTAGGTAGAGTGCACTGAACTCTTAACATCATGCAAATTTCATTATTTTCTCATTCATGCATGTTTCTGTCACTCTGCAAGTGTCAATAACTTTAATTAGTAGTACTGTGCTATGTGTATATATTAACATGCTGCAATATCAATGATTTAGCAAAATCTTTAACTTTAAAGCATGATAATGCCACAATATATGTTGTCATACCGCCGATCCCTATTTGCAATACGGATGCATTTGTTAATCACAAAATATTTGACTGATAAATAATATTTCTAAATTCACTTTCAGAATGAAGACATGGAGGATGAAGAGGTGGAGGATAAGGAGAATAAAACAGAAAGCAGCAGCAGTGCTTCCAGCTCTGATTCATCGGGTTCAGACTCGGACTGAACCAAAGCCGAGTCAGCCTGAGCCCACAGACTGCCAGAAACGCTGTGAACTGAGCCATGAGCCGGGGGTCTGAGCCTGCTCTGCACTGCGCTCTTCCCACCACAGGAGGGGGCTCACCCCGCTGTCACACAAGTCTTTTCCTTCTCTTCTGTTCTCCCCTGCACTTTTGGTTTTATTCGTTCCTCCCTCAATGATTTTGCTTGGCAGGTTTTAAGGCATTTTAGGCAAAACACACGATGACGCATTGTCTAAATTCCTCCCGACACTGCTGATCACAGAAAAGGGGGTTTAGTGCTCTGCTATTGGCTTGTAGTCGTCATGAGGTGTTATTAAGATGCCCCGTGTTTATACTTTAAGGGTAGGAAGACAGAGAGCATCAGGTGCCATTTTCTTTTCTGTAAGTGAGCCAAAGAGTCTTTTAGTTTCACAGATTATTTCGGGAGGTACAGGGGACCAAATAATTGCACTCTGAAGAATGTCTGCTTTCTTTTCCTCTGTCTGTACCCCTCCTGTTCTTCCTAGGAGTGTTGTTCCACTCCTTTTCCTGCTCCCTCCATTTTTGCTTTGGTGTTTGTTTTAGCTTCTTCATTTCAAAACAAATGTGGTATTTTCAGGAAAAATGAAGCCATTTTGAATGTCGCCCCATGGACCTCGTTGGTCTCGCACTCGGTTCTTGTTCACAAGGCGTTGGTGCGTTGCTTTTACCTGCACCTGATGTGGGGTTAAAGGTGAAAATGGACTATTTATTTTTGTCCTGTTATAGGAATGCTGCCCGAAGCAGTTTTGTGATATGGATGTGATGAAGCCACAGCAAACGGGCTGTTCATTCAGATAATAAAAACGACTGATGTTACATAATGAGGACTAGTTAATCGGTTAATTGTTCTGCAGCATAAGCAAAGTTCTTTCAGAAAATTGCTTTTGTTTTTTGCAGATTGGGCACCAACAAGTTTTTTGTTTTGTTTTTTTTGTCATTTGTTATTAATGGTTACATATTGTTTGAAGCTGACTTTTTTGTTCCTCTTTCCAACCACTGTTTTATTTGGTGCTCCAAAGAATTTTTTTCTTTTTAAAACGTGATTGTTATGTTTTAAATATGATGGATGTGAGTTACCCCACAATTCAGTGCACTTATGATGGAATCCAGTGTTCTTTCAGTATTTCTCTTTCTTCATTTTACCCATCAGTCCATAATGTTAACCACTTCACAGGTCTTTCACGCACCAGCTCAAGGAATGTAATGGAGATGTTTTATTTAAGAGAGGGGTATCGTTAATGTGTTGTGTGTTTATGTATATATGAACAGTTTTGAGGGTGAGGGTATATTCTCTCATTTCAATATCCTGGCCTAAAATGCCAACTTAACTAATTTGTAACCCACAACACAGCTTTTTGCGCTGAGCTACGACCTTTTACTTAGTCTTTTTTACGCAACCCTCAAATTGATAGGGGCACTGTAAATTAATTTTTCCTATCAAAACGTTGAACCCTGATGATTTGCATAAAAAGACTAGCAAATAATTTTGATTTGGTGGGGATTGCTGTGAAAAAAGTTTGCTGTACCAGACTTGTAACCTATTGTAGTGCCCTACATGATTAAGGCCTGTATTCTGCATAAAGTTCTTGGCTCAGTTTGAAAAACATAATTTGGTTATAGATGATTTGAATGATGGGCCGGGATCGACCTTTCAAGATTTGTTGATATTTTGTAGGATTTTGAGACTTGCAAATAGACTTTGGGTTGGGTTCAGTGCTGTTGTAAGGTATTTGTACATATAGCTTTCTTTCTTAATTATTTTTTTTTCCTTTGTAATGAGTGAACATTATTATGTTTGTATTTTCAGTTGGCTACGCAATATACTGCTGTAGCCAAAACGAGTTTGTCAATTGGGGACATGTTTTTAATTTGGTATGTTTTAGTTGTTGTGTTCTCCCCGTGTTTGTTTATTTTTAGAAATGACACAAAAAAAGAGAGAAAAAGCTTAAATTTGTAATACAGATTTGAAACATTTGGACGTTTTCTATAGCAAGAGATGTTATATCCCTGCAATTTACAATTTGAGCAAATAAACCTCTTAAACAGTTCTTCTGTTTCTGTTTTTTCTCTCTTATATATATATACACACACATGCATTGATACACGCATTAATATAGGAACTAATTCAAGGCAGCAGAATCGATGTGTCACCTAAGATCGGTATTAGACTAGTGATGCCTAACTGGAGCCAAAATGGCAGCGTTGTTTTATTTTCAAACATCATCTGTACTCGAGTGACTTAATCAACCAGGCATCTAATCGTTTATAACATTTCCATTATCTTAAGATAACATTTCCATTATCTTCACAAGTACTTTCGTTTTGAGCATGTTTGTTCCATGTCGTCTTTAAGAGGACAGCGGGACTGTGAATGACAAGAACCGGCCCGTTCAGTCTGGGTAAGTAGAAACACAATTTAAACGAGTAGCGCGACAAATATGCTTTACTGCGCGCGGCGTCAGTTAATACTTTGTTCCACATTTTCCTGCGGTTTTGAAACAATGTTGCCAAAACCCGCCTATATGATAGAGAAAACAGGGCAGTGCGACAGTCGTACCTGTCAACTATGTTACAGTGACAGTATGTTCAATTGTGTTTAACCGTTATTAGGTTTAAATACGCAGTGGTTATTATCATACTGGACTGCTGTTTTTCTGGATAATTGCAGTGCCCGCCCATGTTCACACAGTATTCCCACTATATATCAGCTTGTTGAGAATAGCAAATAATACAAAAAAATGATACGCGTGTTATGAAAGGGACGTTATAGCCTAGAATACGTTAGCATTTGATTGTAAGAAGAAAAATCAAACATTTAATGAATAATAAACTATTTACGATGTGCACACATTATCATACTGTAAACGCATGTAAAAAGTGTTTTCAAATGCTGACATTTTGATATGCTATCTTATTTCAATGGTTGTTGTTGGTATATTTGACTGTGATGCAATGGGCTTTGTGTTTTTCAGTGTTTTCCACCCCATTCTCTATTGGCGACAATGAGAGATCCCCTACAATAGTTGTTGCAAATGAAAATGGAGGATATGTCTCTGTCAGGCCTGGATAACACCAAGCTAGAGGTAAAGGATTACAGAGAATGGGTCTCATTTATGAAACATGCAGAACAGTATATATATATATTTTTGTTATTCTAAAAAACTAAATTCCTAAATAAAAACGGTTCATCTGAATGCATCTGTTTACTTAAGAATGGTTTAATCCAAGCTCACCACTAAAATTCACATTGTCAGAGACAAAAATGTTAATGTGTGTGCGCTTTAGGCCAGGCCCCAAAAGTAGTCTGTGTCATAAGAAATATGATTTCATATGATCAGTTTAACTCGTATGATTTTTTTTGTTGTTGTTTTTTTGTAGGCCTTGGCTCATGACGTTTACTCTGACCTAGTGGAAGATGCCTGTTTAGGGCTGTGCTTTGAGGTGCACAGGGCAGTCAAACAGGGCTATTTCTTCCTGGACGACACGGACCAAGAAAGTATGAAGGATTTCGGTTAGTCAATCACAGTGTAACACAAAAATACACAAATTCATTATTCCTAAAGCCTGCGATGCATGCTTTTGAAATGTGTCTCTAGTTTACTGTATGCTCTCATATTGATATAGAAATAGTGGACCAGCCAGGTGTAGACATCTTCGGTCAGGTGTACAACCAGTGGAAGAATAAGGAGTGCGTGTGTCCCAACTGCAGTCGGAGTATCGCGGCCTCTCGCTTTGCTCCTCATCTGGAGAAGTGTCTCGGGATGGGCCGCAACAGTAGCCGAATAGCCAACCGCAGGTCAATGGACTGTGAAGGCACACTATTTAGCTCACTTATACATGTAAATTAACATGAACATTTGTGTTAACTAACATTAACAAAGGTTAATACATGCTGTAAGAATATTATTGCTCATTGTTAGTTCATGTTAGTTAATAATGCATTAAGTAATGTTAACAAATAAGTGTTTCCTTTAAAATGAGTTTAGCTTTTTCTCATAGACATTATTCGATAAAGGGAATGCTTAAAGGAATATTTGACCAGAATTATTTACTCACCCTAATATCATTACAAATCTGTATGCTGTTATTTTTTTCCTTATTGTTTTTTATTTCTATGTGATTTTGTTCAATTGACACATACTGGTGGGAAAATATGAAAAGTTGGGTGTGGGGGGGACACATATCTAACCATTATTTTCCAAAGATAACACATGGACTTTCTGCCAGATGAAGAGATTTTGTTGTCCCCTGAGGGAAATTTCTTGTGAAGGTTCAAAGCATTTTATGCTCTTTTTACAGAATAGCCAGCAGCAACAACACAAGCAAGTCAGAAAGTGATCAGGAAGACAATGACGATATCAATGACAACGACTGGTCCTATGGTTCAGAAAAGAAAGGTGATCTTATCCAGTCTGTCTTTCTTTTTTCCCCTCACTTCCCCCACACCACATTTTGCCTCCAAATGTGCCTCATTGTTTTATTTTACTTAATGAATCCTTGATTTCAATAATCACTAATAACAGTTTATTAACCTCTTATTTTCACAGCCAAGAAGAGAAAGTCAGAAAAGGTATACAACTTTTTTTGAGACATGCACTTGTTAGAAATGCAAGCCAAATATTCTAAATTATAATACATTCATTTTGTATGTTTGTAAATGTAAAAAAAAAGTATAATAATTAAATATTGAAAATGGTATTAAAATAAATCTTTGTGTATCTTAGAATCCAAACTCTCCCAGGAGATCCAAATCCCTAAAGCACAAGAATGGTGGGTTTTATTCTGATTGAATTTAGCAGTTGTTTATCCACTTAGTGCACTATTTGACAGACGTCAGGCTTCACTTGAACATGTTACGAGTGTCTTTTTGTCTCACTGCAGGAGAGCTTAGCAGTAGTGTAAATCCAGACCTGTACAAGGTGAGATGGTTAGCTAAAGTATTTTAACATGTATAACTTTGGTCATCATCGCTTACACTGTTGCATTAATAACTGTAGTATTACAGCAATATTGTTTCACTTTCCCACTCATGTAGTATAACTACAGCTCTGGCATTAGTTATGAGACTTTGGGACCCGAGGAGCTGCGATCCATACTGACCACGGTAAGCAGCTCATTCTTAGACTATTTACCATTCAATATATTTTCCTTACAAATTAAAAATAAATGCTAACAAAAATTTAAATAATAATAAATTCCAGAGTAGATGCTCATCAGTTACCTACACATTGTGTTTAGGCTTACAAATAAAAGTCGTATAATTAACACATCCTTTATTTATTAATTACAGTGGAAATAAAATCTTAATTTAATTAATCTTCAAAAAATGTATTCTTAAAAATAAATTATTAATTTTGTTTATTTATGTAATATCATATCTTCTATTTCGACTCTTGCCATTTTTTTTCAACATATAGCTGTTTCAGTTTATAATGCAGGTAAATTCAAACCTTTATTATGTTTTAAGAATATATATCTGACTAAATAATACTTGTATTGTGGTGTGACAATTAAAGTTTTTTTTGTGTTTTGTCAACCCAAATTATTTTATATGGATTCAGTGGTAAATTCGTGTAAAGTGTAATCAAACATTTCTCTATATTAGACCAATAAGAAGGGCAATAAACTGATAGTTTGACCGTTCACAATTATTAGGATCAGCTGGTAAATGTGCCTCTTTGACCAATATTTGACCACTTTTCAGAAGTGGTACCTTCCCCCTTTTGTCATTTACAAAACCCACCAAAATCAAATTTCAATGATTTTTTTTTTTTAAATTTCATCATTTCAGTGATTTATTTATTTTTGTTAATATTGTGTTAAATAAGTATTCAGTTTCAGTGCAGATGTCTTGCCTGCTATCATTACATTGTATTATTGTATTTATTACACCATCTATCAGCCACATTGGTCATCCACTACAGTTTCCCCCTTGCTAACAGGCCTTCTTTTTCCTCAGCAATGTGGGGTTGTATCAGAGCACACAAAGAAGATGTGTACTCGGTAAGAATTCAATCCATATTTGTGAACTAATAACTAAAGGAAATCATAAAAAAAAAAAAAACATCTGTGATTTATTCTTACAAATGCACACTGTGGTACACTCAGTCTACTGACATTTAGAGCTTCTTTCCATTACCTTATTGACTATGAAAGAGCAGTCACCAAGTTTGTCTTTCCTTGGCCAGCAGAAAAAGTAAGTATTTTTCCACAGCAGGCATATATTATGACTATGAGGAATAAAAACTTGCTGCTGAAGGCCGAAACATCTGTGAAACCAGTCTAGGAGATTTAAGGGCTTTGCACATGCTTAAACCTGGGTTATAGTCTTTTTAAAACCCTGTTAACACTGCTTTTAACCTTGAATTAAGCAACATTTAGATGGAGAACTGTTTATAGTTTATTTTTTTACTTAAGTACCTATGAACATATTTGGATAACAAAAAAGAGGAGAAGATTGATTTAATTAGTCATTGAAAAAAAAATCATTAGAATGACATATTTGACAGCAAGAAGGTAAATAAATGAATAAAATGAAATCCTTTTGGAGTGTACCATTCCTCTAATGAATCCTGTGTCATGTGATCAGAAGTAAGGTGAATGGTACAGTCAGGTGGACAGTTTTTCACTGTTAAATTTTGAGAATGTGTTATGTATTATTAGTGTGTGTGTGTGTGTGTGTGTCAGTTTTTCACTGTTAAGTTCTGAGTATGTGTTATGTATTATTAGTGTGTGTGTGTGTGTACTGCTTTAGAGCCAAAGATTGATTGTGCATGTGATGTGTGAACACATGATCATTTCCATTTACACAAATGAAAAAGATCATGTTATGTTGGGACTGATTTTAAGGAACACAACTGGCAACTCCATATAAACCCCAATTTTTTGATTGGTGTCCACTTCTCAGTTTTCTTACCCGTGTCATTCCAAATTGTACATAAGAGTACACTGTTTCCCAATTGGATGGTCATGGGTTGTTTTAAAGCACTGCCTGTTTTTACAAAGCAAGAGACTTTTTGAACATCAGCCAGCACTGAAACCCCTTTCCCTAATTGCTAATATCTAACCCTAGAGTATATTTGAATCCTGCTGCCGGTGTTCACCTAGTCTCTTGCCCCGTCATTGTCTCTGGTGCAGTGCGTAATGCCAAGTTGTGTCCTGGCAGGTCCCAGCGGTGTCCCCAGCACACGGACGAACAGAGGAGGGCAGTCAGGGTCTTCCTCCTTGGGCCGTCCGCGTGAGTTTCTCCCCTTTTCCCAAACCCTCACCCTGACAGAAAAGAATCAATATACCGGTACCCAACTGCTTTCCTTTCCTTCCCTCTCTTAATATACCTCTTTTTCATCAAGCTCGTGATGAGTTTTCAGCAGCTGTCCAAACAAAAAATAGTAAAACACTAATAGGTCCTAGTATTGAGACCTGAGGCACATCAGCTTAGTCTGCTGTGTTTTTTTGTTTTGTTATGTGTGTTGTGAAGGGTAACATTTTACAATGAGGTTTTATTATTTAACATAAGTTAATTACATTAGTTAATACTAACTAAGAATTTATAATACAAACATTTATTAACCTTAGTTATTGTAAATTTCAGCATTTACTAATGCTTATTTTAAAATCAAAAGTTGTATCTTAATATTAGTTAATGCATTGTGAACTAAAGACTGGACTACACTACACAACAAGATTTTTTGCCCTAATTTGCATTCTGGAGGAGTCAACATAAGTTGAGGAAAGCCAGAGTGACTGCAGATTTTGGGCAGTCAAAGTTGACAGATTTCACAGAAAATGGCGTAGCGTATGATGGGCACAGACTTTTAGCTTAATACTATGATTCAATGTAGTCGGAGGATATCTAACATGTGTGATATTTTGAGCTGATTTTAGAAAACATTGTTTTCATTTGATATGCGTTCAGATATTAATTGTAGTGTATTCCAGACTTAACTTGAAAAGAAATGAAGAGCAACTATTTTTTATTAATAAAGGTTAATAATTCTAATAAATGTAAAATAAAAAAAATGTATTACTCATTGTTAGTTCATGTTTGCTAATGCATTAGCTAATGTTAACAAATGAGACCTTATCTTAGAGTGTTACCACCGCAGTGATTTTATCCATAGTTATGTTCAGTTTAAATGATGATGACCTGCTCAAGCTTTGTTTTCCTTTTTCATGAAAAAGCCCAATTTTACTAGTCATCTTCATTCGTTAACTCGGCATAATATTTCCATAATCTCAAGCTTTTGTGGACTCATTTATAGTAATGCACATGCACATCACAGATTTTGTCATCAAGAGCAAGTTAGAAAAGGTTATTAAGCTTCACAGTTTTAACAATTATTCAATCTGCAGTTTTAACTTGTAGAATAATGGGTGACAAAGGAAACTATGTTTGATCATCAGCAAATGTCTCTTTAGTTTTGAGATCTTTTGGTTGTTTCTTTGAACTGGGGTTCTTGGTAAACCATGTCCTTGTTCGGTATTTGTCATTTTGTATTAATATCCTGCTTCCTGTTTGATAGATCGACACTACCCAACTCTGATTCAATGCTGGAAAACGATAGCTATGATGCCCCTGATGGCCAGCTCATCATGTCCCGCCTCCAATGGGACGGCTCCTCTGATATCTCACCATCAGACTCTGCATCTTCAAAAGCTAGTGAGTTTTTCAAAAACAACATGCTCTTATATTTTCCCCTTTTTCTTTTTCACTTATTCGCCGTCTCATTCTCAGGCACCAATAACTCTGAATCTAAGAGACCTAAGAAAAAGAAGAAGCCCAGCACGCTGTCTATGGCTTCTGCTGGAGGTGGAGGAGAGAGGGACAAAGGGCAGGAGCGAGAGAGAGGAGACAGAGAGAGGGTAGCAGGCGGCGGGAGCGGTAGCGGTAGCAGCAGCTCCCAGAATGCACTGGGCTTGTCCAGTCGTAAAAAGCGACCAAAACTGCCAGTTCCTCCAGCCCCCAGCATCTACGATGATCTGAACTAACGAAACTTGCACACACTTACACACATATTTTCTGATCAGGCCTTATATGATCTCTGGTTTTCACCATTTCAAGGTACATGAACGAGACAAGACAGACTCACTGTTGAATGTGTGTGTAAGAGAAGAAAGGTATGGGCGGCATTTCAGGCATTTGTTTCTTGGGCATATGAGAACATTTGTTACGGCACAGTGTTGCACAGTGAAAAGTGAGTGTTTTGTGACTAAATGTGATTTTTGTATGTGGATGTGAGTTGGAGTGAGAATTTATTTAATTTTTTTTCATTTTGCTATGCAGTTCACTGTCATTGTTATTGCATAGTCTTGTCTATATGTATACATGAGATTTAGGTTTACAGTGACACATGAAAATGTGCCATGGTGTGCATGAGTGAATGGGTTGTTGCAAATATTTTGTTCCTGGTGGCTCATGTAATACAGTCGGTTAATCTGTGCAATGTCCTCTACTGGTTTTAAAGGGTGTCTTTTCATCATATTGTCTTGCTAATGTTACTGCAACCTGTTGATCTCAGCTGCTTTCTGCTACTACTCATACTCTCTTGACAATGTCTTGCTAAATAATGGACTTGTATAGTGCTACGATAGCTTTCTGCCAAATCTGTGGATACACAATCTTTAGCCTTTTGTGTTAAGAATAAGTTAATATTCTTGTTTGTTGTCATGGCTAATTTTTCTTGTTTGATACTACTCTATTTATTTAGTCTGCGCTGTGAATGTTTGTCATTTTTTATAATCATGACTTTTTGATCGAACATGCATTTTCTTGGATTACAAAGTGTAAATGGCCGAAGAGTTAGTGATCTTAGAGCACTTACTATGATATGTTAGATGTCAGCTTGTTTTGTTTGAAATATGTTTGGGTAAAATAATAATTATTTTTTTTGTCAGAAATGCAAATAGTAATTGAAGATGCACTTAAAATGGATAAAATCCAGCCCATATAGACGCCATGTCTTTTTTGGTAAAGTTTTATTTTTGTCACTGAGCTGTTTGTGAATTTTGTTGCTTTAAGTTTAAATAACCTGAGAGCTTTCTATGACTGGGAATGGAAATGTCTGCATGATGGAGGGAAAAACAAAGCATGGTACAACTTACACAGGAAATGCCATTGCTATGGGTGGATGTTTCTTCTGCTATGCTGAGTTATTGCTCTCTTTCTCTCAATGGACTGTAGTATCTCTGTAATAGTCTAAATAAATGTCTCAGGTTTCACAATTTCCTTTCCTTTGTTCTCACAATCATTCTTAAAGAGATTCTGTCATCACTTACTGACAATCATGTAACCAAACCATGTATGACTTTCTTCTATGACTTTTGCCAGCAGCTGTCAGCCTGTAGCCCAAGACTGGTTGCCCACGGAAGCTAAGCAGGGTTGAGCCTGGTCAGTACCTGGATGGGAGACCTCCTGGGAAAACTAGGTAGCTGTAGGAAGAGGTGTTAGTGAGGCCAGCAGGGGATGCTTATCTGGTCTGTGTGTGTCCTCCTAACGCCCCTGTATAGTGACGGGGACACTATACTCTAACAAGCACCGTCCTTCAGATGAGATGTTAAACCAAGGTCTGTGTGGTCATGAAAAATGCCAGGATGTCCTTTGTAAAAAGAGTAGGGGTTTATACCTGGCATCTTGGCCAAATTTGCTCATTGGCCTCTGTATCATCATTGCCCCTCCTAATCATACCCATATATATATATATATATATATATATATATATATATATATATGATTGGCTTCATCTCTGTCTCCTCTCCACCAGTAAGCTGGTGTGTGGTGGGCGTTCTGGCGCAGTATGGCTGCCGCCGCATCATCCAGGTGGACGCTGCACATTGGTGGTGATGATTCCCCTCGAGAAAAGCACTATATAAATGTAACAATTATTATTCTATGGAATATCAAGATATTTTGAGAAATATATTCTTTTTCCATAAACTGGAAATCAATGGGCTTTAAACACATTGTTTGGTGTTTTGCTGAAGAAAGCAATGCATTCAATGGATGTGGATAAGCACAACAACTTTTTTTTTTTTTTCAAAGATAAGCTATTTTATTTGAATTACTGCATCAAAGCAAAAACAAAATGCATTTTAATTAAAGAGGTGCTGGTTGTCTGTTAAAGCAAGGGTGAGAATACATAGACCAGTTTTCCCCCAAAACCATTTTGGGGTTTCCCCAATTTCTGACAATACTGAGAAAAAGTGTGAGAGTTTTAAGGTTCCTCCATAACTCTCTTGATTTATCTACAGTAAATACATTGCTTATATACAGATTTCATACAGGACAAGAAATGATTTGCTTTGTTATCAGTCACATATGAATTGCCTATTAATGCAGTGAGTTTTAGACTAAAACGGTCCAGATGCTTCTGTGTTGCTTGCATGTAAAATCTTCAAGTATGAAACTCCTAATTGATTACTATGAGTTGTAACTAGCAGCAGACATGCTGAACCAGACTGTCATGTAAAAACAAGTTTGAAATAAATACAGATTTCAGAATACCTGGCAAAAGAAAAGAAAAACATCCTTCAATAACAAACATCAAAAATCAGATGAGTAAATCAAAAAGGAAATTGATGTCTCACAACATCTGCTAACTGATACATCACATCTGTTGTTATTTGTGCAATAAGACTGATCATATGACTTTTTTTCTACAACAGATGATAGTGGTGCTAATACCGGTGAAGATGAGACACATTAAGTGATAAAAACCATCAGCTGACTGCAATTCCTCTAAAATAAAAGACCGGTCAGACATGGGATCCTAACTTCTCTTTACAGAGAGAAGCTACACTTTAGGCTGAGATTAAATAATTATAAAGCTATTTTTTTTCTCCAAGAAGCTAAATTATACAGCAGTGTTGCTGCTCACACAGCTGAAAGCACTAGCACACACTCTCACCTCACACACGACTTCAGTCGTCTAAATGGCACCAGAACCCTCGAGGGCTCCCTGAGAACTTTCTCGGCTACCACTGACTGCTTATTTTCACGTCCTGTCGTTTCGTCTTCCTAATATTGGCAGAATTCGTCCTCTCATCGACTGTGCATGCCGAAGATGAGGAAGCTAAAGAAGACCGTGACCCCAACCAAAGAGATGGTGGCCGGGGCAGTGAACAGCTGGCGGTAGTTGATTCGGAAGTACCAGACCACGGCAAGCAGCACCACGAACACGGGGATCACCAGGCTTCCTGTGCTGAGAGCCAGGCCGGCCGACCGCAGCCCCCCGCTGAGCATGGAGCCTCTCCCGGCTCGAGGGTTCTCCTCTGCGGACGCCTCACGCAGCGCCTGGGCTTGAGAGATGTGACAGTGCAGCACGCTGTTATGGGTGATGTTGAGGGACAGGAGAGAGCGCTGGGGGTCCTGCAACAGCTGGCCCTGGTAGATGAGCTTAATCTGATGTTCACGGCCAGAGAAGTACTTACTGAGAGAAAGAGAGGGAGAGAAATCAGAACCAAACTAGAGTGAGAGGCAAGACGCTTACATGCTTTGTTTGTGCAATTGAGCAACATGTTTATTCATTTTGCAATCTCACACTGTCTTGTGACTTGCAAGTGTAATAGTATTAAAACAGACATTATGATGCGTCTCTGATTTAAACTTCAGTGGCAAAAAATTGAATACAGCTGACTAAGATGGTAAAGTGGACACTGGACAGCAGCAACACATTGTGTACTACTCGTCTGCGAAACAATGCATAAAGAATTTTGTTTAATAAATCTTATTTTATAGCAATAAATGTTGACAAACAAAATGTAAACATTTAAAATTACACTGCTGTTCAAAAGTTTGGGTAAGATCAAGAACGTTGTTACAAAAAAATCTTTCTATTCATCAAAGAATTCTGAAATAAATGCATCAGGTTTCCACAAAAACGTTAAGCAGCACATTGATATTAATAAGAGGAAATGTTTCTTGAGCAGCAAATCATCATATTAGAATGATTTCTGAAGGATCATGTGACACTTAAGACTGGAGTAATGATCCTGAAAATTCAGCTTTGCCATCACAGAAATAAATTACAATTACACAGAAATAATTTATTTAAATTTTAATAACATTTTACAATATTATGTTTTTTTTTAATGTATCTTTAGGCAAATACGTGTAGCCTTGGTGGGGATAAGAAACATCTTTCAAAAAAAAATATTTAATTACTCAGTAATAGCAAGATAGTTTGGGACCAAATGTTGGTTTGTAGATATTAATCAACTTACATTTAAAGAAAAACCTTCACCAAAAATGGCCTTGAGTTGGTAAGGTTGATTTCTCCCCCAAAATCCATTCAATTCATCAATTCCAAATTCTGTTTCAGCTATTCATTTGCATCATCATTTAAACATTTTCATTAAAATGGATCGTGGCTGTTTGGTTGAAATGACGGCTTCTAAAAAATACCCCTTTTCTTTAATTTCAGTGGAAATACATACAAATCAAGGTATATATTGAATATCGTAAAAGGATGAAAAATAGTTTTAATATGTTTTGCACAGTCCAAGTTCTGCAACGACTCAAATCTTCATGCATAAGAGACAGTACTGAAGTACCTTCAAAGTGCTTATTTTTCATTAAGCTCATTAAGTTTTATTACATTATAATGGAATTCACCATATAGGCCTATTAATTAACATAACCTTAAGTTTAAAACAGACTTTAAACAAAGTAGGTTTAATGCTGGTACAGCAGACATAAAAATCAGATGTCTTTAATCAAATTTTTTTTTTTTCCTACAGCTGACAGACTGAGCATTGCGATTTCTCCCATTCATACGCAAGATCATAACTAGGATTTTTTTCACTACTTCCTGTGTGTGTTTGACTCACCTCTTCAGCAATCCAACAGTGTCCTGCGGTCTGAGCACTGCCAGCTCCTCAGTGTCATTTAGAAACTTCAGTCTCACCGTGATGCTGGTGGCCTCGTCCTCGGACTCCTCTTCCATCCCCTCTTCATTTTCATCACCTTGAACATAGCTCACTTTCTTCCTCCCACCCTGAATATCCAGCAGCTCTTCTCCAGGCACATCATCTCCCCCATCCGGCCTGCCCTCGCCCTCTTCTTGTTTCTCCTCCTCTGTGGGCTCCTCGTCCGGCTGCTCGCTGGGCTCTGAGCTGGGAGGGGAGCTTGCATAACTGTCGTGTCCCCCAAGGCCAATGAGGGAGGCGTGGGCGCCTACGGTAAGAATGGTCCCCAGAATGTGATCTCCACGGTCAGCCACGTGGGTAGACAGCCAGGCAAGAACCAGGGCCAGGAACAGGACGACCACACCACCCAAAGCCGTAGCCTCCTCCCCAAGCCCGTCAAGCACAGTTAGAGCACACACCGCCATCCCAGCCCCTCTCTACCTGAGCACACAGGTAAGAGAAAGATCAAGTCAACATAGAACGCAATCACAAGCCATTTTACTTCTGTATTGTGACATATTTCTAAGTTGAATAAGATATTCAACAATACTAAATACTGTTACAATACATTATCCAATCAGATAACACGGCTCAGTGATGTCATCCAAAGAGGAAGGATGTATCAGAGGCAAACATTTTTTTCCCTTTGAAAGTATTTTATAATAATACCAGGAGAGTGCATTAAGAAAGCAAATAGTTCAAATAGAATTTCATGTTGACTTTAAAGAAGACTTCTTAGTCTTGGTGAACTAAAACTGATAGAAACATCTACAGTAGTGTGTTGCGTGGATCGTAAAGATCCTTAACTCTGTTATCTAACATTAAGCGACACACTTCTTAACTGCATTAGACAATAAGCCCGGTGACACAAAGTACTGAGTGTCATATAACTTACTTTTCTTTGAAAGTAAACACAAATGTGGTACTGCATTAAAACTATAATTTCCCTCTGTAATGGTATATATTAGCTCATTAGTTTGAAACACACTGTTATCAGACAGTTTGAACCTTCGTTTAGATGTTCGCTAGCGGTTTCGCTAAAGCCATGAACCTTTAACAAACATTCACTGTTACACATTTAATGTCGCCCACAGGGAATAAAACAGCGTTACAGTCTATATTAAACACAAATGAGACGGAAAAACGAGCAGAAAATATATTTAATAAAAAAAAATGATCTTTGTTTTGTCTGTCTGGAAGGGAAGGCAGCTGCTAATCATGTAGCGGTGATATAGGACGACCTTGATTCGCGAGTTTTAACAGAACACTTGTCCTCTAAACATGTATTACAGCACGTTTACCTTCTCCTACTTCAGATCATTCTGGATCGACGCTGTTTTAATCCCTACGCCAGTTGAAAGACGCAACACTTCGCATAGAAATAAATAAACACACGTACAATCTCACGCGCACGCGCACAGCTGAGGCTCAGCTAGTGTAGGGTGGTCACGTGGTTGGCAAAACATTCAGTGATTGTGTGAAACCAAAGTCTGCTCTTTGGTGAAAACAACGTAGCCTAATGCTCAATATCTCACTTCTACCTTAAATAAATAAGTAAACAAATAAACAAAACAAAAAATGTAAAAACCCACTTGTGTAATGGGGAAAATCACAAGGTTTCAGGATTGCATGCAAATTCTGGGACAGATACATTTTTTATGTTTTTGGTATTTAAAATATTTTTGAAAAATTAATTCTTGAAAAAAAATTGTGTGACAGTTCTTTGTCAGGAGCTTTAGTGTGTTGTTGCTTTAGTGTGTGTGGTTTACAATAAATAAAGAGCAATAACTGTTTATAGATTTTGATACATCATCAAAGCTGCAATAATACATTCAGTTAGTGCTGATCTTATTCTCATTTCATTGTTTATTTCACATTGCGAGGACAGCCATTGGCACATTTTCAAGCACTATCCATCGATCAATATCACTATCAATATTACATTTGAAGTGCCTTATTTCTGTATTTCAAGTCACAGAGGGCGTCTCAGTTTGAGGCCATGCTCTGACAGCCAGAGACCCCACTGGTCCATAATCCATCCTTGACTTAGCTTCTTTTGTCAAGAGGTGTCTAGGGATCTAAAACTATCAGCCAGACATACATTTTTAACAATGTATGTATTTATCACAGATGATAAATATAGTTTGTAAAAAAAAGAAAGAAAGAAAAGTTCAGCCCACTGTTTCCAGTCAGCTTTTTTTTTTTTTTTCTAAGAGTGGAGCTCAACAGGGCTGTCCGTCATTATGCAGCAGTAGATAATCTTTTAAAGTGCTGGGGATGTTGAGCTGGACTATTGCGAAGTGACACAGTGGCCCCAGGTGGAGACGCAGCGCACAGCGGCAGAGGTGCTGAAGAGAGCGAGGCTGACCACTCATCCGTCTGACCGCATCGAAGAAAGACTGATGCTCCTGACAGTACAATACATTTTTTTTCATTAGGATATTAGTTTCTGAATGTCAGTCTCTCTCTCTCTCTCTCTCTCTCTCTCTCTCTCTCTTAGTTTAGGGTCAGTATTGAAGAAAGAAGGAAGGAAAGAAAGAAAGAAAGAAAGAAAGAAAGAAAGAAAGAAAGAAAGAAAGAAAGAAAGAAAGAAAGAAAGAAAGAAAGAAAGAAAGAAAGAAAGAAAGAAAGAAAGAAAGAAAGAAAGAAAGAAAGAAAGAAAGAAAGACTTTTATTCTACAAGGACACATTAAAATGACCAAAAAAGACATTTACAATTTCCCAATTAAAACAAATGCTGTTCTTTTGAACTTTCTATTAATCAAAGAATCATATTAGTAATCATAACAGTATTCAATAATATAAAGAAATGTTTGAGAATTAAATCATCATATTAGAATGATTTCTGAAGGATCATGTGACACTGAAGACTGAAGTAATGATGCCGAAAATTCAGCTTTGTCATCACAGGAATAAATTACATTTTAAAATATTTTCAATTAGAAAACAGTTACAGTATATGTAAAAATCTTATAGACTCTAAACTTTTTAATGGTAGTATATATTTCTATATAGCAAAATATTTGAAATTATCTAAACTATGCTATTCAAATCAATGTATATGTCTACATGCTTATTGTATGTTAACAAATTGTGCCAAACACATTTGCTTCTGCTTTTAATTCATATTAGATGTTGATCCGTCTACAAATCCTAACTGAGAACGTATTAATTCTCCTGATCTATGCAGCATAACATTTTTGGAATGTGATTTATTTATTTTAGAGACCTTCAGTCGTTCCTCTGGTGTGTCCTTTAACCACTCCTCACAAGCTGGGACGACCGCATAGCAATTCAGCATTACCTCCAAAGTGGCAGGAGAGAGGAGGCAGAGTTTCAGCATCTGAGATTTACACACGCAGATAAATAAATTAAGGATTCGTACCAAAGGGTAGGTAGTAGGCAGGCTAAAGGTATAGGACACACAACAATCTGCACTTACTCTAGGGGAGGACGGCTGTGCTCCATAGTTAAGAAGAGATTGGACCACAACCTCTGGCTGCTGGTCTGGGTAATCCTCTACTACCTGGCAAAACAGAGAGAGAAGAAGTCAACCATCAGCTTCACACTTACTGTAATTCTTCCGGATCAGACCTTGCCTTCCCTTTACAAATTTCAGTTTTGGGGTAAACCGTTTCAATAAAAAGTGCTCTTTATATTTTGATACTGTCTCTGTGAAAATCAACATCTGAAAACATCTCTATCCCATCATCATCCCACCTGCAGCAGGCAGTCCATGGGTGTGTATCCGGCACAGTTAGCTATGTCCGCGCGAGCCCCATGTTCCAGCAGCAGTTTAACAATGCGGGGACAACAGTTTCCACAGGCATTATGCAGGGCCGTGTGCTTTTTCCTCCCAGCAGTCTGTGCGTCGGCCCCGGCTGCTAGCAGCTTCTGGACAATACGCAGATACCGTCCTGCATCTGCGGGCCTCTCCGCCCCAGCGCAGGCTGCATTCAAGGGTGTCTCACCCTCTTGGGTCTGAGCCGTCACGTCCCCTCCAGAGGACAGGAAGAGCTCCACGTGGTCCTCTAGACCTCTCCTGCAGGCCACGTGAAGGGGGGTGAGACATGAGTCACGCTGGGCCGCGTTCACCAATGCACCACTGGTCACCAAGTGCTCCGCACACCTGCAGGGCAGATAAGAGTGTGACTGATGTCTTTATTACTGTGCGCAAGAGGTGAAATAAGAAACATGTCAATTTCATTCCAGCACGGTATGACGGTATGCAGTATAAATCACCCTTGTTGTACGGAAAACAAAGGCTCTGACATCCTGCAAAAGATCTCCTTTTGTGTTTTACAACAGAAAGACAGAATGACATAAAGGGTTGAGTAAATGGAGATATTTTCATTTTTGGTTGAATTATACAGTACCGTTCAAAAATTTGGGGTTTGTGAGATTTTTTTATGTTTTTGAAAGTCTCTTCTCCTCACCAAGACTGCATTTATTTGACCAAAAATACAGTAGAAAAGCGAGATATTTTGAAATATTATTACATTTTAAAATAACAGTTTTTAATTTGAATATATTTAAAAAAAAAAAAAAATATATATATATATATATATATATATATACACTCACCGGCCACTTTATTAGGTACACCTGTCCAACTGCTCGTTAACACTTAATTTCTAAGCAGCCAATCACATGGCGGCAACTCAGTGCATTTAGGCATGTAGACATGGTCAAGACAATCTCCTGCAGTTCAAACCGAGCATCAGTATGGGGAAGAAAGTTGATTTGAGTGACTTTGAACGTGGCATGATTGTTGGTGCCAGAAGGGCTGGTCTGAGTATTTCAGAAACTGCTAATCTACTGGGATTTTCACGCACAACCATCTCTAGGGTTTACAGAGAATGGTCCGAAAAAGAAAAAACATCCAGTGAGCGGCAGTTCTGTGGGCGGAAATGCCTTGTTGATGCCAGAGGTCAGAGGAGAATGGCCAGACTGGTTCGAGCTGATAGAAGGGCAACAGTGACTGAAATAACCACTCGTTACAACCGAGGTATGCAGCAAAGCATTTGTGAAGCCACAACACGCACAACCTTGAGGCGGATGGGCTACAACAGCAGAAGACTCCACCGGGTACCACTCATCTCCACTACAAATAGGAAAAAGAGGCTACAATTTGCAAGAGCTCACCAAAATTGAACAGTTGAAGATTGGAAAAATGTTGCCTGGTCTGATGAGTCTCGATTTCTGTTGAGACATTCAGATGTTAGAGTCAGAATTTGGCGTAAACAGAATGAGAACATGGAACCATCATGCCTTGTTACCACTGTGCAGGCTGGTGGTGGTGGTGTAATGGTGTGGGGGATGTTTTCCTGGCACACTTTAGGCCCCTTAGTGCCAATTGGGCATCGTTTAAATGCCACGGCCTACCTGAGCATTGTTTCTGACCATGTCCATCCCTTTATGGCCACCATGTACCCATCCTCTGATGGCTACTTCCACCATGTCACAAAGCTCTAATCATTTCAAATTGGTTTCTTGAACATGACAATGAGTTCACTGTACTAAAATGGCCTCCACAGACACCAGATCTCAACCCAATAGAGCATCTTTGGGATGTGGTGGAACGGGAGATTCGCATCATGGATGTGCAGCCGACAAATCTGCAGCAACTGTGTGATGCCATCATGTCAATATGGACCAAACTCCCTGAGGAATGCTTCCAGCACCTTGTTGAATCTATGCCACGAAGAATTGAGGCAGTTCTGAAGGCAAAAGGGGGTCCAACCCGTTACTAGCATGGGGTACCTAATAAAGTGGCCGGTGAGTGTATATATTCCTGTGATCCAAAGTTGAATTTTCAGCATCATTACTCCAGTCTTCAGTGTCACATGATTTTTCCAAAAATGATTGTGATATGCTGATTTGGTGCTCAAGAAACTTTTCTTATTATTATCAATGTTGAAAACAGTTCTGCTGCTAATTATATTTAGGTGGAAACCGTGATACATTTTGTTTTTCAGGATTCTTTGATGAAAAATTTTTTAAGATAAAAATTAGTGCTGTCAAAACGATTAATCAAGATTAATCGGATCTAACATACAAATTTGTAAATATGTTATATATTTACAAACTTTTATGTTAGATCCGATTAATCATGATTAATCGATTTGACAGCACTAACAAATATCTTTTGTCCCATTATAATTCTCTTTACTGTCACTTTTTTGATAAATTTAACACATCCTTAGTGAAAAAAATATTTAAAACAAACTTTTGAACAGTGGTGTGTTTTGTGGAAACCTTGATAAATAGACACAATAGTCTTTTGTAACATTATAAATGCCTTTTATCAATCTAATGCATCCTTGCTGATTTTTTTTTTTTTTTTTTACTTACCCCAAACCTTTAAATGGTAGAGTACCTCATAAAGTCTCAGAAGCAAAGTCAAAATCTTGTCACCATAATGTTTATTAATTAATTTAGTTTGTATGTATTTATTGAGTACTTTTCACATCTTGTTATATCTTCATCTGACCATATTCAGGCCTATACTCACTGATATGTTTCCGCAGCATTGCAGAGATGCAGTGGGGCATTGCCATCGACAGCGAGCAGGTCAGGGTCAGCCCCGTGGTCTAAGAGCAGGCGCACACAGATGTGATGGCCCCCTGAACAGGCATCATGTAAAGCTGTGCGACCGCCTGGGTCTGCATCCACCTCTGCTCCCCTAAACAGCAGCTCCTCGACACAGCCAGAGTGGCCCCTGCTGGCAGCCAGACGCAGTGCAGACGTCTGCTTTATTTTTGAGATGAGAGTCCACATTCCTGCAACAGAATGAGATGAGTGAATTTACCCAAATAACCCTGAACGTATGTGCTTGTGTGTGTTAAAGGGTCCTACCCATCTCCGGGGCCCACACCATCTCCTCATGTACGGTCTCCATCAGTGCATTCACCATGCCTGGCTCTTTGAGGACGGCATACACTCTCTTCATATCTCCACACATGAAGGTATTGTGGATGGCTGGGTCTCGGCACTGTATTTGGGGTGGGGGAGCACGGACCGTCTGGATCCTCTCGTTTCCATGTCGGAGTCTGGGGGCGGCAGGCAGAGGACGCCTCGTCATTGCCCTCCTGTGTGCCAGTGCCCGCCTGGCATCCTCCCAGTCCTGAAGCTCCTGATCCAGCCTTAAGGAGCGCAGAGAAGCAGAACTGAAGGGAAAGGTGTCCCGGGACATCCCAACAAGAGTGTTTGTGCTTAGAAGTGTCCCAGAGTAGTATACCTGGAACAAAAGAGTATTGGCACAGTAGCCTTGTGATGTTAGTGTTTAGGCCTAGTAACTGCACATAGGAATGTTTATAAAGCAGCATGGCTCAATAGTTCAGTACTACCCAGTAAGTTGCAAAAGTGATTTTGTTTATGTATATATGGAACAGACTTCGATATTAAATTAATAACTAGCTCAGACAGTCTACAACAGCTGAGAAGAACAGTGTGAATGGTAAGGTCTTCCTACCTTGAACGTACTTCAAGTTCCGCCTGTATAAGTTCCTCTGCACTTCAATAACCTATGATAAACTCGCGTAAAACATGCGTTTGATATGGAATAGACTATGCTTGTTATATTTGCAATTTCTCTTAATGAAACGACCGCATGTCCTTGCAAGAACGAAGCTGCCTGTCACAAGATATTGTTGACCTGACACACGGTGAAGCTCTGGCTATTAATAGACTAGAATGTGAGCAAATGTGTTCCTGCACTAGCACGGTATCGCCTGTAGATAGCGTATCAAATTATATCACTTCAGGTGTCCTATATGTAAAACACTTACTTACTGGGCCAGATCAATTTGAGGTGTAATTATGGTTCTTGAAAATTCAGTACTTAATCACTGCAAAATATGTTATGCATTTATCATAATAATAGCCTACTAATGTAACTGTATAAAATTTAATTGCTCTTAAAATAAACGAATTGTATTTTATTATTATATAAAAAAGAATACCCATTTTATCTAGCCTTTCACTTTTTATCTACCCATAGCTAAACCTTTTTTTAATAATTTAAGTAAATTTTCTGAGGCTTTAAAGAGCAGGATAAAACATACATGTGACAACTTAACAAATATATTAAATAAATAAATTACAAAAAATATAACAAATACATAAAATGAGGTACACAACTTTTACTCGTGACATCACGGTTTCCATGCGGCTCAAGTCATAAATACAATTCCTGGTCTTCTGCCTTCTTACTTTCACTTTTATTTTTTGTGTAAACGACGCCTCGCACGACTTTAGAAAAAGGGCAAACCCTTCATGCAAAAGATGAATAAAGCGACGAAATGTTGATATCGAGACACATGTTAGGTGATAAAACAACAGTATCTTTACTCATTTGTAAAAACGACAGTGTAATCGCGACATTTGTCACCAACTCTGTTGTTAGTAACACTTCCTGTGTGCTCGAGCTCCGACGTACAAAAACGCTGGACTGGACAACGACTTTTCCCCCCGTTTGATTATTATTATGAGGAAGGTATAGTGACTGACTTAGCTGGAAAATATTTTTGGTAGGGCTATGCATCTGCTCTAATAGCTTGTCTGGTGACGCATAATAATCATACCGCCCTTAACCACTTGTGTTTACTTAAAATCAGTGTTTATAGGTGGCAACCCTGAAGGATGGCAGAGGAAGACCGCGCGGTGTGCGTTTACGGTTTGCCAACAGACGTGGATCATGAACGTCTACGGGACAAACTACTGATTCACTTTCTACGCGAGAGGAACGGAGGAGGGGAGGTCACGTCAGTCACTATCATCGGTCGGACACCTCTGCGTGCCCTCGTCACATTTGAGCAGAGTAGAGGTCAGAGAGATTGTTTACATGGTTATTAGGACTGCTGTTAAACATCACTGTACATTGTGTAAATAGATGAATGAATGGATATTGATAAAGAATAGCTAGGGAAGAGTGGGGTGCCACTTTAGATAAAGGACTAATTATGCTTCAGGTGGGGGGAAAGCATCTGTACCATGGCCATAGAATTATGAAAAAAGCATCTCATCATTTCCACTTTTACTATTTATGTCAAAAGTCCACAAAGTTCAATATTCAGAATATTTAAATGTAGTAAAACGTTTTTTTTTTTTTTTTTACATTTTCCTTTTTTACAGTAAAACCCCCAGTGTTAAATTAACATGGTCAGTGTTTATATAATCCATGCATATTACATAAAAACTGGAAACTTTAACACTGGAATTTTGCTTGAAATTATTGGACAAAACAATTGATTTATTTAAGCAATATGTGAATATAATCCTCAACATGCAGGGTTACTACATAATGAAAACATGATCTGGCCCAATTTTACCCCACAACTACCATTTTGGAAAAATGCTTAAGTTAATAATTCATGGCTATTCTTAAGCAAAATAATTTACATGTTTTTGTATATACACTCTGGGAATTTACAGCATTGTGTGATTTACATTTTAGTGTCTGGATATGTTTGCGTTGATATGCTACTTATTTTACCTGCCAGGTAGAAAATTTACTTCGATATTTTATTTAGTTTTTTTAGCATAAAATTCAGACACATCTTACCCCACTCTTTATATTTCTGGTACATACATTGAATTTCAGTGCATTAAAATGTAATTGCCAGAGTAGCTGGTAATGGAAAAAATCCAAAGTGCACTGATTGGCACCCAGACGACTGGCATATTCCTAATGAAGTCTCTGGCTCTTGCTAGCTGATTGGTCTGCCAAGGCAACATTTTAGTTGTGTTGTCAGTTTGCTAATAAAGTGTATGTGTGGGGGGTGAGCAAGTTGTGAGGGGGTATTCTTTATGTACTGTCAAGCCTGATTAAAGGCAGTGAGTTTTCAGTGTGCTTGTGTTCGTCTTGCAGCAGAGTCTGATTGAGTATCAGTGTCTTTGGTGAGAAAAAGAGAAAATGAGAATTGATGCTTTTATAAATCAAACATTATGAAAAATGTACTTCCATCTGTGTGTGCAAACATCTAATTTTGTGTGTAAACTTCTGAGCCAGTTTTTACCTGTCAAATGAGATTGATCCTTTCCTTCTGGTTTAATTTAGTGATCCAGAGTGTACTTCGTCATCATCCTCACATTTTACAGCTGGACGGCATAAAATATGAACTCTCCCTGGGTCTCCCATGCCAAGAGCCCCTGAGTCTGAATAAGGTTTGCTGACAGAAGATTAGACAGTGCTTAAAAAAAAAAAAAAAAAAAAAAGTTCCATTTCCCAAACTTATGTAAGCAAGTATTCATTTTGTTTTGACACTGATGTTCTTGTACTCCTTTAGGTGATCCTCGATATGACTGTGACTATAGATTGCAGTCAGCTTCCTCGGGGTGCAGACACTCTGAATGTACTGCGTAGTGAGTTTCCAGGTCTACGTATGCAACGTGGCTTATTACAGCATACGTGCACCGTGCAAGGCAAATATTCTGATTTTCAAGGCGCTTTTCCTCATATGCAGATGCTATTTTATCATCACCTTTCAAGAGCCGAATACCCTTATTTTAGTGGAGACACCGGTCAAGGTCCAGAGACCAGGGAAGACCTTGCAAGTGTAAAGAAATGGGCCAGCTTTGCATCCCAGTCACCAGGCCCTCATGCAGGAGACCTCAGCTACGTATCCACGGTGGGTTTCGGACAAGAGCACTACGGACTGCAAGATAGCAATGAAGCTCTCACTGAACGCAGTACTCGGCCTAAAAGCAAAATGGAGGAGAAAGCAGAGTGCAGGATAGATGAAGCTGATTTGGAAGATCTTTCGATTATCATGGAAGCTGATGTGTTTGCATACCTGCAGAGCATCAAAGAGTACAAGTATATACTGCGTCATCATGGAGTGCAAGTGGTCCACGTTACATCTGAGGGAATCACCACCCTGTACCTGCAATCAGAGGTCCCAACCGGATCAGATGTTAAACAAAACATGCGGCAAGCCTATAAGGAGCTGAGGCAGCTTTATCAACAGCAAGAGGGTTGTCTGCGGAAAGACCAGGTTAAAAAGTGTGCCCTTTACATGCCAGACGGACTGACCATAGCATTAAAAAATGTGCAGTTAGTACTGCCTAATGTTCTGTTTAGCTATGACCAGGACACCATTTATATAGTTGGAGAAAAAAGTGAGGTATCTCAGGCCAAACAAATGCTACTGCTTGGGGTGGAGAAAAGCGTGATGGGGAGCTTGACAGAAATGCCCCCATCCTCTTCCAGTTCTGCTTCAGTATCCCCTGAATCCTTAGTGAGAGAGCAACAAGTTAAGAGAAAAAGTGAAGTACATACTCCAGTGCCCCCTAAACTGATTGGCTCTAGCACTGAACGAAAAGGGGATGTTGGGAATACAAAAGAATACAAACTGGCGGCTCGGTTTAAGAGCTCTGGGCTACTTGGTAGGGAGGAGATGGGCGGAGACATAAGGAGTCTTACTGCTAAAATGGACATGCAAATGTTAGACCTAAACTCTAAATCAGCACCACCGACTAAGTCTTCACTTGGCACCGCAGGCTTACTCGGTAATGAACTGACAGGGGAAGGAACTGAAACATTCAGGATGACAAGTCCAAGCTCTACAGGAGAGGATGTCCTGTTTAAAAACCAAGACCCGCTATTTGTGAATACATTTGGTAGAACCTCCTTCAGCACATACAAGGCCAAACCAACAACTCCTGCTGGACTCACTTCAACATTTACCACAGGAGTCAAAGCTTCAAGTGTGAATGCCCTATCAGCCAGTAATACCGCAGTGAAGACAGCTGGTCCCTTCTCCACATCAGTGCCCACTTTCAAATCCTATTTAAGGAGGGCCAATAGTTTCTCTGGTCAGCCGTACCTCAGAGAGCAATTGCAAAATAACCAGATTACAGTTGAGCCAATGATTAACGCACATGCTCATCAAAGAGCAAGATCCAATAGCATCAGCAGTGGAAGACCTAGTGAAGATTGTCCGATTACTACAGTGGAAGCAGAACTTACTGTGTCTTCTCTAATGTGGATCTACATGAAGGAGGCCTATTGCAACCAACTGGATAGCATGAAATCTGACTTGCAAATGTCTGAGAAACAAGCAGGCAAAGGTGAGATGACCGTGACACTGGAGGGCACAGATTCATCGAAGGTCGGAGAAAGTCATCGGCAGCTTCAGAATCTAGTGGCTATGGTGGCCAGTGACTTTAACTCTCAGGAGGTACGTCTGGCAGAGCTTGGTGTGGTTGAAAAAGATAAACTGTTTGAAACCTGCTGCTTGAATGTACGGTCACGTTTTCGCAAGGTCACCTTGCACACCACAAAGAGCAGCATTTTCTTTCTTGGGCCAAAATTGCTTTGCTCTGAAGCCAGTGATATATTTAAGGTTGTATATTCTGGGCAAAAGTCTCATTCCTTATTACAGATGAAGACCTTCCAGGAGGGTGTAGATCAAGGAGCAACCAAGGCGTCTTTGAGCATACAATCAACAAAAGCTGATCACTCTAAATCTGATCAAAGTGTAAAGGTGTGTTCTTTACAGGATACAAGTCAATCGGTTCAGTCTAACAGCAGTAGCAAGAGTAGAGTTAAATCAATCAAACAGAAATCGGCTACGTTGGAAAGGTTGGAGAACCCTAGTTCTATGATGGATAAAGTAAGCAAGATAAACCCACTTAGCCTATTAGCTAATGCCAGAGAAAACACAACAGAACCAAAAATTGATGGGCCAACTTCTTTACCACTTGAAGCACACAAAAAACAAGATACTGCAATGACTTTGAAACAGACCAACCTGCTGTCCCATACCCCTTCAGAGAAATGCATGTGCGGAGCAATCAGTACAAATGTAAAACGGACGACCTGTGGAGTCATCCTTTGCTGTGACTGCCTACTACTTCATTCACACTGCACAGTGTGTGGAAAAGAGGGGATGTACTCTCAGAAGAAGGTGCTGGGGGAACCAGTGCAAAGTTATGGCTCAAAGGATATACGGCAGAAATATCAGGCTCAAGAGAAACATTCAGAACTCAAGGACAGCAAAGAACAAAAGGGCATCCAAGGAACTATGACATGTGCAGAGATGAATTTTAGCCTTCCAGGCTATACAAAATATACAACGGCCAAGATCACATACTGCATACCTGATGGCATACAAGGGGTATTAGCTTATATACAGTTTATTATGTAAAGTATCCTAGAAATATAGCTTACAATTGTGAAAAATGCTAAGTATTATTTAAATATAATCAAATGTATCACCTTGTGATTTCCATGTTTTACATATCTCTTCTAGGATAAGGATCCCTATCCTGGGTCACCATTCAAAGGTGGTAAATTTGAGGCTTATCTGCCACTCGACCCAAAGGGACAAAGTTTATTGCCCTACCTGAAAAAGGCATTTCATCAAGGGCTTACTTTTACTATTAGTTCAAGCAAGAAGGCCTGTGGTGGAGATGCAAAAGTGAACTGGGGCATGATCCCCCACAAGACCAGGATGGAGGGAGGGAAGAGTAGGTGAGTCCAGATGCTAAGTTAAACAAACACTAAGCTTGTAAGTATAATTATGCCATGGCTGGTGACCTGGACATGTTAATGTGTGATTTCTGTAATTTTAGAGAGCACTTATTCTCTAATACTTCTGTTCTTCTAATACCATTTTAGCAAGAATGTGATAGTGCCTATGGTCATCTTTGACACATGTATGTTTGTCCAACTACTATAGGCCTCTCAGTGCCTACAAACTAGTATCTCCTTTGTAGTAGAGAGCAGCTATTTTTGATTAATTGATAATAATCTGTTAGGAATGAACACAAATGAAGTACATGGCTGTGCAGGATATCCATGGTGGCATGGTTAAAACATGTGCCATCACTCAGACATTGCCAGTTGAGTTGATCAGGGTCAGTAAGGGTTGTGCATCATTCAGAATTGAATGTAGAATGCTTTTTCAAATCCAGTTAAATTCCTGAATTTAAATCAAGGTAGCAAAAAGGAATCAGAATTCTAATTTGAATACGAATATAAAGTTGAGATTTTGGAATTTCAAAGCCATTTGAAAAGTTTTTAAAAAGCTGTTTAAAAAGCCTTTATAGCCGTGAAGCGTAACTACATCTAGTTTATATATTTATCACTATTCATCTAATAGAAGAATTTCCACTTTCCAAATTTCCAATTCAACTTTTGTTTGTTTGTGTGCAGAAATGGATATCCTGACTCTACATTCCTTACTCTCTTGTCTGAGGCACTGGTGGCTCATGGGATTGAAGGAGCAGCTGCAATCAGTCAAGATCAAGCCAAATCCTGACCTTGACAATAACACAAATCAGAAGTCCACAAATACTTATTAAATTGTGTATTACTTATTTTCATATAGGTCTTACCTAGAAATGTAAATTTAACAAATGTGATCGTGAAAGACTGCTTAATTATTGCATTAGTATTTCTACTAACAATAATTTGTTTTTGTACTTTTTGTAATCATTTTAGAGTGTCATTGTCATGTTATAATCATTGTACCTTATCAGTAATGCTCAATATAATGCTCTGTATATTCTGAATCTGTTGAGTATGCTTTTTAATAAAACTATGATCTTGTTTTAGAGATTCATTGTAACTCATCCTTCATCCGCCTAGTTCATCTCTCATCTGTCTCCTCAATTTTCTCACTTACTTGGGTTTTTATCTGATATTAATGCTAAATCTCTGCAATATTGAATCTGTGTATGATTTTGTTTTAAAACCATAATAAGGAAGACGCATAATAATGTGTAATTGATTTTGAGTAAGCTGTAGGCTAACTAGATTTTTTTTTTTTTGCTGCCACAATGCTACTGCATTATGGGTAATGCTAAGGCATTCCCTTGAATTTAGGGTTATTAGGTTATAGGGTGTTCTGAATAATTGCTATGTGGTTAAATGGCCTTAAAAAAATACAATACTTATTAATATTGTATTTTCAATGCACATATGGCTCATTTGTCTGTAGGCTGAATACAATTTATTCCAGTAACATGAATTTTTACTGTACATTAAAAATTACATACATATGAATAAAATCTTCTCAATATTTCCCTCGTTCCTTCTTTCCACTGCACAAAAACACCACAACATTCTTGCACGTTCAGGAATCTGAGCAACAGGGTCATGACTCATATTCCCTTTCTCTCTCCTTTTCTTTGAATCTGTCCTTAGTGTTATAACAGAGGCTGGAGATTGACTCAGTAGCAGCTCAGCTCCGCAGACCGTCTGGACCTTCTCCGGCATGAACACAGGCTGCAACAAGAAGCGACAGGGTACAGAGAGACATGTTCTCAAACAAAACCCTGACTGCTACAGTGACCAGGACATTTAAAGAGGTTAATTTCACACTCAACTATTATGCTGAATGTATAGTCTTCAATATAACTAAATCCCACCGGGCATTTTGAAGCCAGTGTTGAGCTCTCATCATTACTTCTAGAATTTGGCTGTAATTGTTATTTGCATACATCACCCTTTCCAACATATAGGGCAGATATTTGTGTGCAAGTCGGTTTCTGACACTAATGTAAAATTAAAACAGGTAATCGTGAGATAAAATTGTGAAATATAAAGTTGCAATTAAGAAAGAAAAACACTAAATAAACTTCAATTATGGGATATGGAGTAACAGTTATGAGACATAAAGTCAAATTTACAGGCAAACAAAAAAGTCAAAATGACCTTTTTCATGCTCAAATTGAGCTTCCATATGTGAAATGGTGGAAGATGCAATTTTACCAGATGAGCATCCCACAGAGAATTAAATATGCAGCTCATTTTACCCAGTTTCATTATCATAAGCTACTTGAAGCTGCTTAAATTGCCCTGTAAAGGGACAAATAAAGATTTTACTACTACTAAAGTCATTTAGCATGTTTGATTTAAGAGATTAAACATTCATAATTTAACACAGACTTAATTAAACCGGTTTTCTAAATTTGACAAGCAAGTTAAAAACTGTAAGACGTTTTAGGAAAACAAATCAAAATGTGATTTCATGTTACGTCTTTCCAAATACATTATATACACCATTTGTTTAAAATTTACCGTCAATATCGAGCCACAACATATTGAACGTTCTCAGTTTGTGCCCTCTGGGATGTTATTTTCCCTGCATCTGTACAGACACCCACAGTCCTCTGCTTTCAGAGCAGGAAACCTGCCTTTGGCACTATATTCTTAGTCTTTCCACTGCATTGTCTTTAAAATGGCTGAGCACAGAGATCTGCTGCTCCAAGAGCAACTCAGCGGTCCTGCACCGATTCCCTGCGGACTGAGTTTCTGCATGGACTGCATCAGCAGCTGCTGGGATTACAAAGCAAGAAACTTTCTCCAAGGCCTCTAGTTGCATATGGTTAATGTAGTGGGATAAAGAAACTGGAGGTTATTTTTAAGATGCCTTTTTGACATTGTAATTCATTGCTTTGAAAATATGCCTACAACATGGTTGTTTTCAGCAAATTATTGAATTCATGTATAGTGTTGTTAAAAACTGAATTTTGTTTGTAACTTATAGAGGTGTTTGTTGATCTGACCTTTTAAAAATGACAAATAAGTTTTAAGCAAGTTTATTTCTAAATGATCAAAGAAAGAGATCAGGGGCCTCATGTATCAACACTGCGTACGCACAAAAACACGGCGTACGTCAGCTTTCACGTTCACGGCCAGATGTACTAACAGTGAAATTAACGTAAGAATGTGCGTTCCTCCAAGTAAACTTCATGTCTGGCGTACGTATATTTGTCGTGATTTTTGTCCGTTGGCGACTCATAGAGGCAATAAAGTGAAGTGGCAAACATTACACTACGAATTGTTCTATCGCACCACCAGCTGTCAGATATTGCTTATAATTTGTAATTGATAAATTATTTGACATATTGTCACACGAGTTTTATTAAAATATTATATTATGCAATTAAGTAAGAACATAGGCTATATAATGTCCAAATTTATACAACCCGTCTAGCAATGGCAGCATTGGCTTAACTAGGAATAAAAAATAAACTTCATTAATTCGGTCAGTAAAGATAAAAAAAGAAAGTAATATTTTTATTCAGCAAGGACACATTGAATTTGTTTAAAAGTGAGAGTAAATGCATTTATAATGTTACAAAAGATTATACGATTTCTATATCTGTTTGAATAAAAATTTTATTCATTAAAGAATCCTGAAAATACTATATCACGGTTTCCACGAAAATATGAAGCAGAAGCACACCTGTTTTCAACACTGATAATACTCAAAAATGTTTCTTGATCATCAAATCATCATATTAGAGTGATTTCTGAAGGATCATGTGACACTGAAGACTGGAGAAATGATGCTGAAAATTCAGCTTTGATCACAGGAATAAATTACACTTTACTATATATTCACATTAAGACATTTTCAGTGAAATTTCGTTTCTTGCTTGCTTTAGCCATGTTCTTGCAGGTTTCTTTTGCCAAATTGGACTAATTACCATATTTAAATTAATTTAATTGGGGGAGGAGACTGGGTGGGGCGTTGTGCTCGTGCATGTGCGCTCAATTTTACGTTAATAGGGATGTACAAAGAGAATATGCGTGGGATCCTTCGTACGCAGAGATTCATACATCTGCTTTTTTTTGTGCGTACGCACATTTACAGCTTTGTCCGTACGCAATGTTTTAGTATGAATTCAACGCAAGTCTTTGTACATGAGGCCCCAGGGGCCTCATTTATAACCGTTGCGTACGCACAAAACAGGCCCTGAAAGAGGCGTACGTACGCCACTTCCGACGCATAAGTTGTGATTTATAAAAACAAACTTGACGGAAAAATGTGCGCACCTGCACGCAAACTCTGACCCATGCGTACGAACGTTTTGGAGACGGAGCAGTTTGGCGACACCGATGGTGAGCTGAAGTTAAATGTCTTTTTGGTCACTTTTAGACAGAAAATCTAAAGAAAATTATACATACAGAAGGCTATACAGAAAGATAATACAAATATAATTTCACTCACCAAGCATATCACTTGAGGCAAATATTCATCCCTTCTTAAATGTCCACGCCAGCGAGCGCGTTGTGCCGTTTAGTGAAACTAACGCCTATCTAACGACAGAGTCCTAATCATAAAAACAGTGCATGTTCACAATAACAGTTTAAATAAATAAAATAATGATTTAAACTGTTTTACTTCTGATATAAACATTTAGATTAAATATGCCATTGTCATTGATGGAGGTAAACACTTAAACATGAAATCATTACTGAGAAGTTACAACATTTTTTATATTCAATAAATATAAATATTTCTTGTGGATGCAATGCTTTTGAACACTTTTCCTCTGGCATGCTGTGTTTTAACCCTCTGGGGTCCTTCGGCCCAAATGGACCCGAAGCATTTAAATATATATTTTTTTTAAATCATTGCTTTATCGGAATGGTCCGAGATTTGGTGACTTTGTTGGTACTTGGCATATGAACACCCCAAAAAATTGGGGACAGGATTTGAATAGTCTAAGTGGTTGTAAAAAAAATAGTCACACTCAGGACCTTCGGGTCCAAATGGACCCGCATAGGAAATGAATGGGAAATTGGCAAAAATGTGAAAATACAGAGTTATTTTGTGCGTACAAACTACAAATCAGCCACGATCCAGAAAAAAAGCACACAACAGTGAAGGGGTGAATCTATAAAACATCAAGAGTGCAAAACAGACACATCCACACACACACACACAAACACACTTTTATACACATACACACTAATAAATTCAGATTACATATGGGTTTTGAATTTTTAAAATGCTCAGTTTGTCCACCAGATGGCATCCATCTCATTTCAAAAATTGCTTTCATGAGGCCTAGGCTTGACTCTAAAATGAAATACAGCTTAAAAAAAAAAAAAAAAAATTTTTTTTTTTTTTTTTTAAATTTCTATTATATTCAATGGGGAAAAAACGGGTCATAATTATTGCATTAATATTAATTATAAATCATTTTTATTTTTGAAATTATCTCAAAACACCAAAAAAGAAAAGAAAAAATATTATAAAAAACAAGTAAAAAAAAAAAAAGATGATTTTTTTTTATTAAATATTAATCCCACCCTTCCGGCCCATTTGGACCCGAAGGTCCTGAGTGTGACTCTGAAATGAAGGACCCCAGAGGGTTAATATTTTAACTAAAGAGATAATTGCTTATAGCAGGTTGTCTGAGAAAATAGTTTGGTGCAAATAATGCACAACAGTCTATCGGTTTCCATTAAAAATATAAATCAATAAAAAATACTATTTGGTCAGTGGAAAAGATTGTGAAAACTTTCTCTGAAATGTATTTTACACTATTTGATTTATTTATTCAAAAACAAGGCAAAGAAAAGGCTACTAAATTATTTTTATTAATGTAGGCTAATGTGACGGCACATCCGTATTAGGCTATTTCATATTTTCCTAATGTCTATACCGTTAAACATGTTATCACGTGGATGAATAATCATATGCAAATGATATGCAGATGAGGATATGCATAGTAAAACTAGGCGTTGTAAGCTCCATATATGGTTATTTCGGGGAGGAGACGCGTGTGCGCACAATCTTCCGCTGACTGAGATTTATCGAGATTTATAGCGTACGCCATTTTTGGCTTTCGGGCGCACGTACACTTTTAGTAAGGATCCTACGCACAGTTTTATAAATGAGGCCCCAGACCTCAAGTTTGGATCTTTTAAGAATGCACTACATAAATGGCAACATTTTGTACACAAAACTCAATATGCACTACCATTCAAAAGTTTGGTATCAGTAAGATTTTAAAAAAGAAGAGGAAATTTATACTTTTATTAAGCAACAATATTTAACTGATCAATAGTTGCAGTAAATACGTTTATTGTTACCAACGATTTCTATTTCAAATAAAAGCTGTTCTTTTAAACTTTTATTCATAAAAAAAAAATATTCAGCAGCACAACTGTTTTCAACATTGATAATAATAAATGTTGCTTGAGCTGAAAAAAAACTGATTTCTGAAGGATCATGTGACACTGAAGACTGGAGTAATGATGCTGAAAATTCAACTTTACCATCATAGAAAAAAAATTACATTAAAATATTTTCAAATAGAAAAGCTATTTTAAATTGTAAAATTTCTAAATATTACTGTTTTACTGTATTTTTGATCAAATAAATGCAGCCTTGATGAGCATCAGAGACTTCTTTCATAAACATTAGTACGGTGGCCGAGACAGCTCAACGCGCTGCAACTGAAGCAAACACGTGCAAATAGAAAAAAACGCGTGCAAATAGAAACAAACACCTGCAAATTAAAAAAACCATCTTCATCAGTTTCACAACACACGTGTGCTCCAAATACAGAAACGCGCTGCAAAAGTTCACAACACAACCAAATACAGAAAACGCGCTGCACATAACACAGACCACCACAACAGAAATGTTTCCAGGGGAACCAAATAAGTGACGAACCCGGCTGGGTATAGTTATAAACACTAGATGTCGCCTTGGCTACGGCAGTTCAGCGTCAATGTAGGAAAAGGTCTAACGGAAATAAAATCACCATAAATCGTCATGAATGCGATTTTCTAGTTGTTTTGGTTTGTTCCAACGGTCAGACATATATTTATTATAGAGTCCAGAGAAATTTAATTTTTTTTACAAAATTTCCCAATCTTGTGAAATGTAATCCCTTGCTGTCTGGTTTTTAGATTTCGTTCGTGTAAACATCCATACGCAGCACAAAAGTCCGGCATCATCCATGAATTCAGCGTTACCTAGCTACTTCCTCTGACAAGACCCCTGTTCCAAGATGGCGGCGGTTTTGACGCATGTTTAGAACCCCAAGGCGACATCTAGTGGTGAGCTCCTATGCCCTACTCCCTGCGAAGGGCAGATTGCAGAGCCCTTAAAGTGGGACTGTGGAGTGAGCAGGGCTCTAGTGTGCTGTTAGGCAGCCGTGTGGAACGCACTTGATGAAGGGAGCAACAAAAGACAACATAATTTCCTCATTATTTTCACCTGGGATGTTCCCATGACAACGCAGCACGGTGTCCATCAGCTGGTCTTACGACAGAAATATAATGCTGTCAACATAACGGATGCAAATACATTTTTATTTTTAGTTTCCAAAAAAGCTTTTAAAATATGCGTTATATATCTGTGTGTCTCAACTTTAAAATTTTGGACCCTACATTACCTAACATTTCTTACGAAACTTTTCTTTATGAAAATGTAATAACATGAAACAATTTGTACAGTGTAACTGATGTATAGATAAATATCTTTCCTTCATGTTTTTCTTCTTTATCTTTTTTATTTATTTATTTTAGTTTCCAGCTCATTGTTCTTTTCTCATTTGTATTCTGATGACATTGAACATATTGTTAATACATTTTGTACATTGTATACAAGTTGTATGTCATAAAAAAATGTAATCTCTGTATGTTTTGCACAAATAAATAAATAAAGTATAATTTTAAGCTGTAAGCACCAGCACGCATAGATTTATGGATATCTATGCCAGCCATGGACTGTAAAAGATAAAAGATGCCAGCACGTCCCAGCCGGGTTCGCCACTTATTTGGTTCCCCTGGAAACATTTCCGTTGTGGTCTGTGTTATTTGCAGGCGTTTCTGTATTTGTGTTGTGAGCTTTTGCAGCGCGTTTCAGTATTTGGTGTTGTTGTGAGTATTTGGAGCACAGGTGTGTTGTGAAACTGATGAAGATGTTTTCTTAATTTGCGGGTGCTTTTTTTTATTTGCACGCGTTTTTTTCTATTTGCATGGGTTTTCTTCAATTGCTGCGCGTTGAGCTCTCTCGGCCACCGTACATTAGGCTACATGAGTGTTTCTCACAAATGCTTATGCTTAACATTTTTATTTAAATCTTTATTTATATAAAAAAAATACAATCCCATTATGCTCTTCAAGAAGTTGGTTGAGCTGCAATGTGCAGAGCTTTAATCTAGACATATAGTGACAACTTAGAAGAAAGTATATGATTAAAAAAAAATCAAAGCTATCTTATATTTGAGCTTCAAATACATTTGTATTTTACAGTTTTAATGTCTTTACTAATCGTAGAAAAAAAAATAGTAGGCGTGTCCAAATTTTGGCTAGTAGTGTATTTTCTCAAGAAAAAAACAATGAAAAAATACTTTGTTGACAGGGTTGAGATGCTCATACCTGTCCAACAGGTTACTGCACTCAAACACACCAGTTTCTTTTTCTCTCTTTTTTGCCCTCACACGCTCAGTGCGGAACATGATATGTAGGGAGAGAGAGCGAACATTGAATGTAAAACAGACAATTATTCGTTCAGATAAGTGTGTGAAATGGCAGAGGAGTGTTTCAAAGACCTTGATCCATTCAACTGTCCCATCTGTCTGGATGCCCTCCAGGATCCAGTGACGATTCCCTGCGGACACAACTACTGCATGGGCTGTGTTAAAGACTATTGGGATAAAAAGGGTGGCAAAGACGGTGGTTACAGTTGCCCTCAGTGCAGGAAGACCTTCTCACCTCAGCCTGTTCTCAACAAAAACACCATGTTTGCAGAAGTGGTGGAGCGGTTTAAAAACACAGGACTTCAGGATTCTCCACCCACACATGACAATGGACCTGGACACACGAAGAGAGAAATCTGTACTGCCAAAAAACTCAAACCTTTGAAGATGTGTCCAGAAAGCGAGGATTCATCCTGTAAGATTCACCTAAGATATCATAACAACGACTATCCCAGAGAAAAGCACACAGTGATTGTTGTAAGTGGGGAAACTAAAGGAAATATTTGCTCAAGGCACAACAGACCATTGGGAGACCGACAGTTCATCTGCCCCCTGTGTCTTGATGAAGTCCATCAAGGACATAAAGTGTTTTCAGGGTCACCTGAGAAGACAAAAACGCTCAGGAGTAAAGACAAAACAAGTGGACATGGTAGGAGACCATCTCATAAGAGGGTTCATGACACTGAGCATAGGCATGGACATCGGAGTGGACATACTCGGGGCTCACATGCTAAAAGAGGGCATGAAACACACGGACATAAAAGTAGTGGACACAGAGGTAATTCACATGGGCACAGTCATGGAGCTGGACACAGAAAGAAAAGACTGGGAATTATGGTCATGACAGAAACTGGCACTAGAAGGACCACTGTGGAAAACAGAGCGCTTTGAAGAGCCTTGAGTTTGACCACAGAGTTGTAGATGAAATGTTTTCTAGAGGAATGTTGCTTTACTAGATTCAGGCGTCGACTGAAATCTCAAGCATCACGTTTCTTTTTGAATGACAGCTATCCATTTCTGGATACATTTAATGTTCATTCTATTAATATTAATGAACATGATTGTTTGCTGATATTCTTAATTCAATGTTGGGTGTATAACGAATAGTTTAACAGCAAGAAAACTTGACACAGCTAAAATAACTTGTACACTTAGATTACATCTCATTAATCTTGAAGACTTCCTACTAGATAATACGTTTCCTGAATGTTGTATCGGATTCATTATCAAGGATAAAAAAAAAAAAAAAAAAAAAAAAGGTTTATAAACATTGCACTCACATTAACAATCAATTTCTAGCCAATGTTTCAACTTATTAAATCTAGTAAGCAAATTCCCACTGCATTTCCTGGCCTGAAAATCTTTTTTTTTTTTTTATATATTTCTTTATATTTCCAGGTTGTCCATGTCTGTAAACAAATGTTTTAGGAATTAAATTCACTGTTTGTGCTACTCTTCAAATAATAATAATAATAATAATAAATGTGTTTATCAGTATCTTTGTCATTTTACCATAAGGTGGTTACATTTTCACTCAACATCCTTTTAATATATTCACATTAGAAGGAAAGTAACAAATATGATATTTATTCTTGTTTTAGGAGAAATAAACCAAATGTACTGTGGATGGTTTAAAACAAACTAAATAAATTTACAACAGGGGTAAGAGAAATAAACTTGTTTTACATTTAAATGAAGTTAAGTTTTTCTTACCTCATCAAAAAAAAAGGCAAATAGTTGTATTATTAGCTTTAAACAAACCTCAGTAGTTTTTAAATGTGTCAAGTGTGTAAGAATGTTTAGATATTTATAGTGAAAAGCAAGTGCGTCATATCATTACGCCTGCGTCATATCATTACGCCTGCTGCACTCATGGTACGGCAGTGAAGTTTCTTGATTATTACGCAGGAATGAGAGTATAGTTCCTAGCCATATCAGCCTAGAAAATCGCAACTTTACATTTTCCGTCGGTCTTAGTGCACGATGTAACTACAGAAGAGTCAAGTTTTAAATAGGAAAAATATCAAAACTCTTTGGTCATTTTTTTTTTAGAAATGCTAATGGTCTTGTCCACTCCAATGATGTATGCTAAGCTATGCTAAAAGTGGTACCGCCAGAACCGGAGATCGGCTGAATGGATTCAAAAACGGTAAAACTCAACAGTTTAACTCTGGGGGAGTTGTAAAATGAGCCTATTTCCAAAAAAGTGGAGTATCCCTTTAACTACCCATGTGTATATAGTTTTGTGAATGATAAAAAGGTTTTAGCTGTACTTGACCTGATCTGCTTTCCAAATGCTTTTACAACCCAGTGTTCTACCTCATCTCAGATCAGATTGAAATAAAATTCCCTTTTATAAACCTAAATAATGTGTAGTGCTGTAGTCTAAATGTATAAATTTATATCTGCACCATGTTCAATAACGACTCTGTAAACACCTCTTTTAGTTATGCTCTTTAATTAGTCCTGGAAAACATGTAAGGCAAAATGGTCACATCACACACAGAAGCGTTATGAACTCTACGGTCCTCATGACCACACGCGGTCCAACTAAACCAGAGTCGAGCACAGAAACAGCAGCACTTCAGATTCTCACAATTAAATGGAAAAAGTTCTGATGGTTTAAGAAACAAACAACACCACAAACAACCCATGGTGCTTCTCTGACGTGTGTGGAGGGGAGGAGCCTTAATGCTGATGGTTAGGGGCGGGGTTTGAATTAAAAACCAATCAGTGTACAGAAATGTAAGCTGGTGGCTCTGATTCGCTCTTTAGTCAGAAGGCAAAGCAGGAAAGTTGGAACTGTAATTTACAGATTGCAAACGGAGCCTTTCATTACTCGAGATCTCCATGACACTTTGCTCGCAAAAATATGCATCCAAACATACATAAAAAATGCATCAAGACATTGTGATGTGTGCAGCGTACATTATTTTTTTAGACAAAGATAGATCTGTTACGCTGAGCATGTGTGGGAAACGGTCCACAATGACTCACTGTTTCTTGTATGTGCCAGACAAAGAGAAGGCAAATACATCTGCTATATAAATTTAGACCTAAAAGCGTTTCAAAGCTTCATTTCATTATTGATTTTTATAAATGCATAAGTTAATGAATACATTTCACTGTAGGCACACCAAAACTGCACTGCGTTTGTGTATCTAATATTGTAAATAATGTTTAGACATGATACGATTCAGCGCTGGTTAAGGCTGCATTTGTAGCAGGAATTCTGCACTCTGTAAACCTGAGGGGTGTTTCCTGTTCTGGGAAAACTATTGGAGTGAGAGACTGAGGAAGGAAGCAGCTTGGCTCGATCCGAGCCTCTCTCTGGCTCCCAGTCGCACAATTCCAGATCCATGAGAGACACTCGCACCTGCAGCTGAGCTCATTGTGGAGCTGTGCACGCTCCAAAAGAAGGAAGAGGAATAATTCTCCAAACCATCATCCTATAATAATCGTCCAAACCTTGAGAGATTTAAAGCGAGCATTCCCAGCCCAGATGTCATTGTTGTTGGGTGTGTGTGCTATGAACGTCTCTGAACGGACCCAGCGGTGCGCAACGTTTGCCAACGCAGACAGATCCAGGGACGAAACTGAATCAACAGCCGCTCTGATGTCATAAGCAGCCGAGATCAATTCCAGAACCGGAATGTCGCTGCTAGATCATGTGGGAATTAAAACAGCGGGATTTGCTTGTGAACGGGACTATTATGTTAAAAGAATAATTCAACCAAAAATTAAAATTCTGTCATTTTTTTACTCACCCTCACATCGTACTTTGAAGGACATTACATTTTGGTTAACATTGATTTCCATTGTTTGGATAAAAAAAAAAAAAAAACTTCTCAAAATATCTTTTATGCTCCAAAGACATACAGATTTAGAATGATATGAAGGTGACTAATTAATGACAGAATTTTAACTATCTCTTTAATATCACATTCATTGAGAAACAAAAAAGCGAAAACAACAGCCAGCAAACGCTCGTGGCCTGAAACCGCTTGGAAAACTACACTGACATTAATCATTCGTTCGTTCTGACTGCTGCTGGATCTTTTTGTTGGGTTACCTCTGGTCATAGGTTATCAAATATTACCCATGAACACCCACATGATACACAAAAAGTGCATCCATAAACAACAGTACACTTAATCTGGGAGGGGTCTCAGGTCAGTGGGAATATTCCAGCCCTTCAAGACAGCAGAGCTGAGAGACGGTGTTGGGGACGAACTAGTGTCTACGTGTGTGTATATGCATTCACGTGTAAACATGCGTGGAGGCAATCTGGTGTTGGTCTACGACTGAGGCACAGTGAGAACGAGAGGTTTTGCATGGATTCGAACGTTAGCGGAAAACAAATAAGTCAGAAATCAGTCAGCACCAATAATATTCAGGGCGTAGTCGACCACACACGACAGGAGCAAATTCAGAATCTCAAGATCTTTTACTGCGAGGTCATTTCGACAATAACCACAGACGTTTAGGTTTTTTTTCATCATCTTTCATTCTTTGTTTTTTTTTTCTTCTTCAGTACAGTAAGCACAGTTATAGCGAAGGTCACACCTTCACAAAAAAGTTTGGCACACTCGGTCAGGACCAACAAAATCACATGATTCATCACATTTTAGAGGAACTGCAGCAAAGCCTTTTGAACTTAATCTACTGAAATGCAGACCACAAAAACAAACAAACATACAAAAAAAAAATCAAACAAAATACAAAGAGGACGGATATTTTGCACTGAAGTGTTAGTTAGGGTCACTTGGTGCTCTGAGTCACCATCCACAGGAACACAGGAAGAGAACTAGCAGAACACAACAAGAAACTCAAAGTCAACCCTTCAGACCCGGAACTAAAAACCGGATCGGGATTTAGTAAGTCAGAACATGGTAACTCTTCAGACGAGTATGGCAGTTCCAAGCCCATCCCAGTGCATTCTGGGCCTGAATGGTTATCTGCACTCATATAGTGATTATGTAAACACGAGCATGCATCCAACAATGCAGCCTTCTGAGCATCTCCATGCACGTTCAAACACTTGTTTCTCGGTTTAAGAGGTGTATAAAGAGCGAGTGTGTTGGTGGGAAAAAGAGAAGAAACAGAAGGTCTAAGTGAAGACCCGGACGGGACCCAGAGATACGGTGGATCGGGAGTGGAACCGCCATTCTCTACAAGGGCAAGCTGAGTGCAAACGATAGCAAACCAATGCAGGCCGTTCATGGGGGCCGAAATATTCAAGAGTGATGGTGAGAGTTAGAAACTGACAGGAGGAGAGAAAGAGACGGTTAAAATGCCAGACGGTAGCATAAGGTAGCATGAGGGAGGTAGAGAGACAAAGTAAGAAAGAACATCTGAATCTAAATCCGACAACAAACCTAAGGACAGACAGTCAAATACAGAAATGCACATACTCTCTCACACACACACACACACACACACACACACACACACACACACAACAAATGCACATATAAAATAGGGGATCTGGTTTTGTTTCACATAAACACTCAATGAAATGAACCAGACTCGTAGTGTGAAAAGAAAGTGTTCAGCAGGTGTCTTGAGTACTTGAATGATAGCACTGCAATGCATATAAATCCCAAGCGGAGGCAGTAGATTACTGCTATCTGAGTAACAGGGGAGAGGGAGGAGCCTAAGAGAGGGAGTTGCCACATTCCAAAATACATTCAAATAAAACCACTGAAGTTTATCATATAAAAAAATCTGCTGTGGAGATGTGAGTGGTTGTATGTTTGGGATGTGGGGGTGAAACCTAACTGTCATCTCTAACTAGCCTAACTGCTGTTGCTATGCCAACCACCATGACGAAAAGGGTAAGAGAACAGGGAGAGAGAAAGCGTAGTTGGAAGAGCCAGAGTGGAGATCATATTTAAATGTGAGGTGCAGGTCAGCTAGATCACGTGGTAAGCTGTCACGGGAACGAGGGGCGGAAAGCGTCAGGATCCTGAGGAATCCTGGAGGAGGTTCTGGAATGAAAGGCCACTCCTGTCTTTATGCGTCCACATCTGATACAAGAGAAACGATGGGAAAAGGGCTGGGAGAATGTTCTCTATAATTGGTCCTGTTTGCCAAGCTAGACTCATTAAAAGCCTGGCACTTGCCCGTTTTAATGACATGGCACATTGATCAGCTGAAGCCTAGGACAACCTTGTTAGTTTTTGGGATAATGTTGGCGAGGTGTTTGAGAATTTAGTACACATGCGTGTGCATGAAAGAGGCTTGTTGTCACTCTCGGCCAATCAGAAACCACCCTGACTCCTCCAGGGGGCGGAGCTTGAGTGTATGTCAGTGAGTCTGGTCCAAAACAACATAAACAATGGGAGTGTAGGTGGGTGCTCTTGTTTTGTGTGCCAAGGTGGGCAGGAAAAAAGTTCTTTCACTATTGATGATGTACGACAAATCAAACAAACGCATCCACTTCAGAACAGAAACGAAAAGAGAACGGAAAACCCAGTTTCACAGCGGATACACAAACACACAGAGGGGTGTAGAGAGCGAAAAAGGTTGTTTTTGGTTTGCGTCTAAAAAGATAACTAATATTTCGGTGGAATACAATAATTTTATAGTGCATTAGTTTGGCAGGAATATTGTTAGAGGATATGGTAGTACAATTTTAAAGGGTGCAGAATAAGGTTATTTGTTATATAATTAAAGACATTGGTTGAGTAAACACTGTGGTGAGATTTATAAAAAGGATAATACTGCCCTAACACGCCTCGGTGGCGTGCAGTCATAAGAAAGAGTTAGAAAGGATGCAACAAAACTGTGAATAAATACTACCGGGTTACAACAGAACAATAAAGTGGTGTGTTCCCTTGGTGTACAGTGTGTGTGTGTGTGTGTGTGTGTGTGTGTGTGTGTGTGCATAAGTGGTCTGTGAATTCTGCTGATTGAATGATCGCAGAAATGCAGATCTGATCTAATGTTAAGAATCACCTGGGCTTAAGCTAATTACACTATACACCCCTCCATTCACACACAAGACACACACACACACACACACACAGACCACTCCCAAACCGCTGACACAGACACAAAGCACATCCACAATGTTTCTCTCCCCTCAGTTCTCCTCTTTCTTGGCTTCTTCCTTCTTTTCTTCTGGTTTCTTGTCATCCTTCTTGGTCTCTTCCTTCTTGGTCTCTTCTTTCTTCTTCTCCTCTTTTTTCTCCTCCTTCTTGGCCTCGTCCTTCTTCTTGTCGTCTTTCTTCTTGTCGTCCTTTTTCTTGTCGTCTTTCTTCTTCTCCTCATCTTTCTTGGCCTCCTCTTTCTTCTCCTCTTCCTTCATGGGCTCGGTGGTGAGGATGATTTTACCGATGTTGTGCCTCTCTTGCATCCTACGCATGGCATCACCGACCTGAGCGGGAGAGAGAGAGAGAGAGACTGGTGAGGGTGTGGATGAGGAACGGCAGAGAGAGCAGCTTGACTGGCCATCTGCTGTGGTAAGAATATCTAACAAGCTGTTGACAGTTGATCTAATACTGAACTTCACGCGCACACAAACACTATTTATGAGATTTTATGTGTTCAATGTTTTGGTTGCTTACTATTACTCTAGCGAGTAAGGTGGCTGATGACCTAAAGGCACAAGCCTTTAGATTTGCACCATTGTCAACTGCTTTGCTGGCACTTTCATCCTAAAAGAGCATTTTATTATCAATGGGCATTGGACAAAACGCCAATTTTGATTTCATGGACTTTATTTACTATATTTCACTGCAATCACAAAAAGCTATTTGAAAACAGAAAAAAAAAAACATTGTCTACTGACAAGACTGACAGGCACATTAATCAACAAATGGCAGTATCTGAAAATAGCCAAATATCAGCGGATATTGTTTTTCAACGGCCAGTACTGAAATTTAGATTTAATTTAATAAAATTCATGCATTTTACTATTTATTATTACAATTAATAATGATTTTTTTTTACTATTTTAAATTATATTCATATTTTTATAATTATAAAGTATTACATACATTTTATTATGATACATGAGTATTTAAATTATAGCAAATTGGACAATTTCTAAAATAATAACAATAATAATAAAAAATAATTAATAATTAAATAAAAATAAAATTATATATATATATTTTTTTTATTTATTTATTTATTTATGTATTTATTTATTATTTGTGTTTTTGAAAACAATTGTTATTCAGCCAAGCATCAACAGTTGTAATGTCAAAATGGGCCAATAACGGACAATATATCGGTCTACAAAAATGTGATAAAGTACAACTGAAAATTAATTACTTTTCTTCTACGAGTATTGATCAACGTACATCAGCTATTCTCTGGTCAGTTCACCAGCCTCCTTCTCTGTTTTTCCCCCAGGTCACCTCTCCTTTACCACTCTACCTAACAACCAGCGCCACAGCAACAGCGAGCCATCTCCTAGCAACGAGGAAATGCAACCTGGCCCTGACGATTGACTCGGACAGATTGAGGAAAGTGAATGAGACAGGAAATGAGAGTGAAGGACAGGGAGAATGAGTTACCAACAAACATGGAGCACTTAAAACAGCGCTTCTCTCACCCATGAACTGAAATCTTGTTGAAAAATGCGTTTCACTTGAATGTGAAAGCACTTCATTTTTTTCATTTTTTATTTTCTATAACACCAAAGTCTGATGAGGCTGATAAAAAGCCCGGATCGTCAAAAAAGCATCAGCTCGCATTCGCAGTTACTTACTGTAAGCAGGAAGAGACGTCTCCATAGCAACAGGGGAGATAAGAAAGGAGAAGAAATAATAGGGAAAGATGGATGAAAGAACGAGTGATGGACAAAGCAAATATGCTTGATCAAAGAGTGGAAGGAGTACATGGATGGTGGTTGAGGAAGATCATGAAAGAACACCCACGCATATATATATATATATATATATATATATATGCTCAAGGTGGAATCTCAATGGACTCCAACATCCTGCCATAAATACACTCCCAAATGAGTTATTTTTTTCCGTAACGAACTTAGAACACACAGATCAGTTCAAATGACCCCCATCAGACTCTCATTCATTCATTCACCTGCTCTAGGTGGTAGGTGGAGTCAATTCGGGGCTTGATCTTGCCCTGTTTGTACAGGTCCATAATGACCGCCATGGCCTGAGCAATGAGCTCACTCTCAGAGTCCAGGTAGCCCAGGTGAAACCCGCAGACCGAGCGGTTCCCTTGGATCAGACTCAGGGTGTGAACGGAGAACTGCTGGTACCAGGTCTTAGCCACTGCAAACAGGTTCTTCTTCTGGCCCGCCAACATGTTAGCGGCACCTGCAGGGTCCAAACACAAACATCAGGTTGACATAGAAAACATAGATATGCATCAATCCATTAGGATCATGGTTTTGAGTCTATTTTTAGTTTCCAGGTACTTGATTTTGGCAAGATATTACTATGATTTAGGGGATGGGTGGTATGACCGAACTGTTTAGACAACACTCTGTATCACAGTGATAGAAAATATGAAAAAAAAAGGGGTTTTAAATGCCGCCTTCGTGAGCAGAAGAGACTTTCAAAAACACACAATTTCTACCATCATACCACCCATCCCTATGTCCTAACATGTAAAAATGTCTTTGCATGTGCAAGGCGTTTGAACTGTAAGCATGTTTCCCGAGCATGAATAGGTATTTGTGAGTTTTCTGCGTGTAAAATGTGTGTGTGGTTGACCGATGGGTGAATTACTGCTTAATGGCTCCCACAGTGAGCGTTCTTCATTTACAGAGGAATGACATGCCTCTCTTTCCCTCCTTCTCACTCTCTTTTTCTCTTTTCCAACACTGCACTCTTTGACCCGTCTTCATTCGCTCACTGTCCGCACATCCTCTCGTGTCGCTTCCCATGTCTGTCACTCCCTCACTTGTTTTCTCCCTCTTGTTTTAGTGTCTCTCCTCACGATTTTCCTCTTCATTTAGTACATGTCCTCTCTTTCGTTTTCTAACAGTCTAACCATCACTCTTTCTGTTCACTTCAAAGGTGGCTTATTAGCATGAAATAAGATAAGAAAGCCACATATTGGGGAGACACAGGATAGAGTAAATTACACTCTATAGTACTATTAGAAAAGGGGAAATGTACACACAACAATGACAACCCTCTCTGTTTGTCTCTCTTTCTCACACACAATGACACAAGCGAGCTCTGAGTTGGCCTGTGATTTGGACCTGACCCAGTCTGTTACATTCGGACACATTCTGGGTTCTGTGTCAGATAGAGGAGCCATTGTTCTGATAAGGCAGGATAGAGGAAGAGAGTGAGTGAGAAAAAGAGACGGAGGGAAAAAGACAGTTGGGTGGGACTACAGGGCGCCATGTTGTTTAAGGGGTCTTGTTCCAGGTATTGTGTTTCTGAAGTTGATTTACTGTAATATGTCACTGTCAAGCAGGCCCGGTTCTTGGCAGCTATAGAAGAGTGGGCTGGCAAATACCATTGGTGGGCTTCTTTTATTTGGGGGGGGGGGGGGGGGGATGGGGGGGATAGGGGGATAGATAGATAGGATAGATAAGATGAATAGATATGAATAGATATAGATAGATTTTTTTTATCTATCTATCTTATCTATCCTATCTATCTATCTATCTCTATCTCTCTATTTGGCGGGCTGGAGTCACATGGACTACTTTGATGATGTCCGTATTTCCTTTCTGGACAAGGACAGTATATCGTACATACATTTTCAATGGAGGGACAGAAAGCTCTCGGACTAAATCTAAAATATCTTAAACTGTGTTCCGAAGATGAACGGAGGTCTTAAGCCTGGAACACACCAAGCCGACGCCGACGAACTAGCCCTGATGAAAGCCGACTGTTGTCGCCTCGCGTCGGGGTAAAAAGCTGCACTACCGAGAGAACTACTGCCTACTGTCAGCTAGAATGCGCGCTCTGCGCCTGCGTGTAAATGAGACAACGATCTATTTCTGCAGATATATTCGTATATATTCGTCATTCAAAAATAGGGAAACCGACGCTGACGGCTGCAGATACACAAACCATAAACAAAGCAGTGCGTGCTTACCGTTTTAAATATCAATCCTGCTAAACACTTTCTTTATTTCACTGCGCTAATATTGAAATATTCGCCAATGAACACTCAGGTAAGATGACGTAACATAAGAACAGCCTTATATCTGTAGAGTTTTGACTTCTTTGCTCGCTGTTTTGCTATTATTCCCGTGCATTGACTCTTTCACAGAAACTATCTTTAGAAAAAAGATATGTGAAGTGTAATTTAATTATTCTGATTGGCTGAGGGAACTCAGCCAATCAGAGTTCCCTCTTTCACCGACGGCCCGACGCCGATTCAACATGTCGAATCGGCCGAAACAAAGCCGACGAGGAGGACCAATTTCAGCCGACGGCACGGAACCGTGCGGAACACACCGAGGAAACTTAGTCGGCCGACGCACAAAAACTGCCCAACTGCCGACCGTCGGCTTGGTGTGTTCCAGGCTTTACGGGCTTGGGACGACATGAGGGTGAGTCATTAATGACATAATTTTCATTTTTGGGTGAACTAACCCTTCAAGTGTTAGACAGTATTCTGGGTTATTACGTGTGGAAGTTTGTCTAATAATTAGAATCTGTTTTTTCAGAATTAAGTAGTAGGAAATTACTAGTCATCCAGTTATTTATATCAGCTATGCATTCCGTTAATTTTGTGAATTGGTAAGTTTCGTCAGGGCGTGAAGAAATATAGAGCTGCGTATCATCAGCATAACAGTGAAAACTAATGCCATGCTTCCTAATGATTTCTCCTAAGGGTAGCGTGTACAGAGTGAACAGCAACTGTCCGGAAAGAAAATGCCACAGAAGCCTACTGTAACAAACGCAAGTAAGTCTCTGTTGTCCCCAGTGTGTGCATGTGAAGTTTTAGCTCAAAATACCCCACAGATAATTTTTTACAGCATGTTAAAATTGTCCCTTTTTGAGGGTGAGCAAAAACGTTTAGTTTTGTGTGTCCCTTTAAATGCAAATGAGCTGCTGCTCCTGGCACAGAGGGCGGAGCTTCAAGAGCTTGTGTATGTTAGCAACTCCGATTACCTCACGCAGACAAGCACTAAAATGTCAGAAACTGTTCTGCCTTTTATGTTTAAACTGGAGTCAGACAATGATGGAGAGGCTCAAGAAGAAGTGACATGTAGAATCCAACAGGACGATTCTGAATGGTTAGTTGATGAATTTATGTTGCTGATGGAGTTAACCAAGCGTGCCGCACAAGCCCTCAAAAGTGAAGGCAAAACGTCTCGATCGCCCCCCGGTGACCGGTCCTAGTATAGGTCATAAACCCCGCCTCCCCATGTTATTCAACGGGACGCGAGACCAACTAAATAATTAAATTACACTTCACATATCTTTTTTCTAAAGATAGTTTCTGTCATTTACTGTAGTTTCTATCACGTTGATGTAATTTCAAGTGTTTGTTTTTAAAATAAGTTAGTTTTTAGTTAGTTATTTGATGCTATAAAAACGGTGCTGTGACATCATGATTGACAGCTGTGATTGACAGGTTCTCTGTGCGAAGTATCACTGAAGTACTAACAGACTTTTTTTCATAATGTTGACTATGTGTTTAGTAGTTGTATTTACCTTATTTTAACGAGGTACTGCAATCAGCAGACATCATTGGAGAGGAACGGAGCAGACAGAGGCCACTTAAGAAAAGTGCGGGGCGTGTGCTTGCGATTAATTCAACGAGAGTGGGGGCGGGGCCTTGATTTCGCGGTTTTACTTCCTGCTCACGACTGCGCATGACTGGTCCCGAAAATGCTACTGCGCAGACTCAAGTTCCAATATGTCAGCGCCATATCGGGACACTGGCGGCTTCAGTTCTCTCCAATGGAAAAGAGCGAAGGGGCGTCGTCCATCTTTTTTTTTACAGTCTATGGAGTTAACTATCTTCAAGTCTTTGATTAGCATATTCTGTCATGATAATCTATAAAATCGCTCGTGTGGGAACTGTTGTAAAATGCCTACAGAGCTATTGCATTTGTGTTGCGTACTGTATTGCATGTGAAAAGGATGCGACAGCTTGAGCAGACTCACAAATGCGCTCGACTACAACAACTCTTCCTCTTCTCAACACGGACTGCCCGTTCCCGGGGGCGGGGTTTATGTACATTTTAGGGTTAGTGATGTTACCAGCCGTTTGTTGTAGTCCTTTAAAAACGATTTCTTTAAAAGCAAACATATTCCTTTGCTTTGAACTTTGAGCTTTGTAACTTTGCAGATGTTGTTTATTCTCATACAGCAACATTACACACTAACTAAAGTTAGAAAATGAAAATCATAATAAACCACCGCTTTAAAAAAACGTTTCTCTATACCTACCTGCACTGACATGCTTCTCGAGTTTTCAACAGCAAAACGGGTTCTGTGACTGATTGAAAGATAAACAGCTCATCCATATTTCAGTGTTATTTAAGCAGACAGTTTGCCTTGTACATTCAGTTTAACAACATTAACAGCAAGCCAAAGATGGCAAGGTTTCAACTGAACTATGCATTTGCATTCATACACTTACATTATGTTCCTGCTCCGTTCTTAATGAGCAAGTTTTTTCTAGTGTATTCCAACTGATCAATGTATGACCCATTTAAGTCGCTGCCAAATGACACTTTTAAAATCAGTCAGAATTATAAAAATCTATATTCCTATTTACAAGAAAATATGAAGATACATACATATTTTTGCCTGTGTGATTTTCAGCCTCTGCTTTTCCGCTACAGACTGAAGCATCTCGTGAGTGTATAACACGCCACACTGTTACTTTCAGCTAATAAAAGAAAAATACTACTCTTTTCTGGTGTTATTTTTGGATTGGATGAGTATTGATTAAACTTCTGAACACACAGCCCGCCCGAAAAAAAAAAAAAAGATTAACACTGTCTGTGCCTACATTTTGATTGTGTGGGTGTGGCAGACTTTCGCTCAGCACACCCCCTGCCCTGCTGTTAAGCCATTCAGACGTGTCTGTGGTTTGTTCAACTTAACCAGTAAAACCTCAGATTAGACATTACTTTAACTGTGGTATTTGGTCGAAGTGATAAACTTGTCTTATATACATGTGGAATGTACGCAAGCTGATATTCAGAGTGTCCCTCGTGGCTCACCGTAGCTGATGAGCTTCCCCATTGGCTTCAGTAGGTTGTAGCCCTTATGGGTGTCAGAGCCTCCCAGAGGATCCAGAACAATATCCAGCCCTGAAACACACAGGCAGAAAGACAGATGCTGAATTACCAAATTATTTCTCCTCCTTCATTTACCATATTTATAAATACTGTATCTATAAGTCAAATTCAGAGTGCATGTGTTCAGTTAACACATTTTTGTGTGAATTGTGACAGAATATTGTGTAAATTAAATGTTAATTAGCAGTCATTAACAAGATAAACAGCATGTAGCAAAAATATAAACACAACTGTTAAAAAAAGTTTGGGGTCAGTAATATTTTTTAAAAGAAATTAATACTTTTATAAGCAAGGATGCATTAAATTTATCATAAGTCACAGACAGTAAAGACTTTTCCATTGTTACGAAAGATTTCTATTTTAAATAAAAGCTGTTCTTTTTAACCTTCTCATCAAAGAATCCTAATAAAACTGTTTTGCGTTTCTACAAAAATATCAAGCAGCACAACTGTTTTCAATATCAATACGGTTTTTAGTATTTCTATTAATAAAAGAATCCTATAAATGTTTATTTAGTTGATATTTTTAGCAACGCATGTTGACAACGTTTTACCATGCCAACAGTCTAACAGCTAAAGAACAACACTCTCAGAAAAGCACTTTCTACATTGTATCTAGTCCAAGTCTTTGTTTTTTCCCTTCTTTTTTTTTTTTTTGAAGTGTGCTGGTGTTGAGTTTTTATTTATCCCATTTCAGAATCTCTATCTTATACTGCAGATGGCCTTGTCTTAGCAGTTCAATTTTAGCACATCAGTGTATAGCTGAACACAAAAACAGTTATTTTATGGGTTAACATTGCTCTAATCTTGACCGGAGTGGAATGTCATCAATGTGATAATGTTTCTAAATTTCTAAGATTGCTATGGTCAGAGGAGTACATCAAATAAAATGTTCATCAGGGAAAGAGTTAAACAAAAACAAAGGAATTTGTTTTGTCCATTTCTCTGATAAGATAAAAGAGTAAACAACATTTTATCAGACTGCGTGTTAAGAGTTAAAACCTCAATATACACATCAGATACACAACCAAAAACACAAATGTGGAAGGCAGAGTAGACAGATGACTCCAAGGTTAATATACAAAAACGGTCCGTTAACAGCAATTCAAAGCAGAAAAATTCATTATAGACTTCTTAGAGGAGACTTTATAGGCTGTCCATTCTGTCTTTAATTGAAGTATATTTACTAGGCTATTTGCACACGTAAAACAAATTCTGGATTCTTTGATGAAGAGGAAGTTCTAAAGATCAGCATTTATTTAAAATAGAAATCTTTTGTAACTTTATAAATGTCTTTACTGTCACTTTCGATCAATTTAATGTGTCCCCAAACTTTTGCATGGTAGTGCAAAGCTGGTTTGCGGTGTCTGTGCTTACCTTTGGGGCTTATTTTACGGATCTCCTCTACGTAATCACGTGTCCGGTAGTCGATGGGGTGCGTGACTCCACCCTGGCTGATGACCTCGTGTTTGCTGGCTGAGGCGGTGCCAAACACTGTGACATCGTTCACCGTTTTACACAATTGAGTGGCAGCGATGCCTACTCCACCTAGAGAGGGAACAAAACAAGAACTCTCTCAACAAAGTATTTTCAGCATTTTCCATCTCAAAACAAAAGCAGAACCATGTAAGCAAAGGGTACAAGAGGACAAAACTCAATGCAGCCATTTGACCTTAAAGATGAACAGCCACCCACATGTACAAATATTCGGGCCATTGTAGCAATCCCATTATGCCCGTTTAACTTGTGGTTCCAAGGACAGATAACTGAGTTTCTGTCTGATTAATTCTTGTTTCTCCGGAAGAAGAAAAATGCATTAGAGTAGAAACGCATTATAAAATCCATAACAAAAATGGGTCAGAGTCATTAACAACTAAAAGCGTAATGTTTAAATGTGGTGGTTTATGGTGAAAGTTTTATGAGAACTGTTTACTTGTGTGCAAAAGGCCTCATTCAAGAAACACGAGCAGAACAAATTGTCTAAATTGTTTGTAAAGCTGTTCTGACGTACATTTTCAGATTCACGAAAATGTTTGTATTTTCAAAATGTTAGTTGGTACGACAGAGATTTACACCTGCACCCTACCACGTGTAAATGGTGCGTAAAACATTTGAATGTTCTGTGTTCTAATTTAGGCAAACTGATGACATTGCATTTTGATGCACTATGTATCATTATAATATATCACGGGCTGATTTGCCCTGTGCTTTTTTTTTTTACTGTTCAACTTTGGCACTCGTCACTGTCACTTTTTACCCAGCCGTCCAATCACAGTGGAGGTGTGCAACCTTGAACATCAACTGAACAACAATGGAGAAGTTAATATTGCTGATTACTGCATTTTTATATTCAGTAATTTTCTTCAAAATGAGATACTAGTAACACATTACTGCCATGGATATTCTGTATCATCATAACCAAAGTATTTATTGGTTGATAAGTGGGTTCCTCAAGGTTTCACTCTAGGACCCCTTTTGTTCTCGATTTTCATTAACGATTTATCGCAGATTTGCTCCATCGGTAAGGTTCATCTTTATGCTGATGATACCGTAATTTACACAGCTGACTCTGATATTCACTGTATCCAGAACCGGTTACAAGCTGACTTTATTATGACTCAAAAATGGCTTCATAATAACAACTTATTGTTGAATATGGAAAAGTCCTTTTGTATGTTGTTTGGGATGAGGCACAGACGACCTTGTGCTCTTAACTTGCAACTTTATTTTGAAGATGGATCCTCCATGGAGAAATTGGAAAAATTTAAATACCTTGGACTGTGGATTGATTCTGAGCTTACCTTTAAACCTCACATTGATTATATCACAAAAAGAATGTATGGCTGTCTCAGTTCACTCTATAGATCTGTTAATTGTTTCACATATGAAGTAAGGAAAAGGTTAATTTCTCAGTTGATATTGCCCATTATTGACTAAGCTGATATCATCTACACATGAACACTAGTGACACTGTTCTCAAGCCACTTAATGTTGTTTTTAATTCTTTGTGTAGATTTGTTCTGAGGTGTCCTTTTAAAACTCATCATTGTGTAATGTATGCATCACTAAACTGGCTTCAACTTAATTCAAGAAGAGACTTCCATTGGTTTCTATTTATTTTCAAATGTGCCTACTTCGATTGTCCTCCATATCTGAAATAACTCTTGGTTCCTTGTAGTTCTATGTATCCACTTAGAGATATGCAATATCTCGTCTTTACTGTACCAAGAATCTTTTCAGCTGCTGGACGTAAAGCTTTTCATTATAAAGCTACTTGCGATTGGAATAATTTCCCTCTTTCCTTGAGATCCATCTCATCTTTTTGCAGATTCAGGTTATCTATATTTCAGTATCTTAATGTGTGTGCATGTTACTGATGTTGGACTAAACAGTATTGCTTGTAATTGTATTTTGTTTCATGTAATTGTCTAATTGATTTACCTCCTGTGGATGCGACCTCTGTCTTTCTTATGTGATCATACCTTTTTGCATTGATTTTCTTATGTAATAAGGGTTCCAATTGTGTAATGAGGTAAATGAGATGTACTTATTGAGCTAGCTATAACATGTCTGAGCTATGATGTGTCTTTGGTCTGGGGTGAGGGTGTAAACTGCCTAGTAACTTAATTGTTCTGAGCTTTTGTTTTTTGGTTTATTTGTTTTTTGTTTTTGTTTTACCTGTTGTATTATGTATATGTGTATTTGGAACCTCTTGAAAATGAGATGTTTCATCTCAAGGGGCTATCCATTAATAAATTGAAATTAAAATTACATCTCAGCTGGAAAAACGCTGTGCTTGCAAAGCGCTTTCAAGTGCCACCAGCTGGCCTTTTTCCGAAGAGCACCAGGCATTTTTTAGCTGGCCAAAAAATGCTTTGGTGGATACAAGATAATTGAACATTTATTGCTAGGCATATGATATGGCCAATTAGTCTCTTTAGCATTTTTGCTATATACTGGAGCCAAACAGGAGAAGGAAGTCCAGAAGACTCCACAGCGTTCCTGGACACGTAATTTACGTAGTTGTAACTCATGGGCGGGGATTATGCTAATTATGAATGAGCATGCATGCGCGGCCAATTTAACAAAGTTTGAAATTCATTAATATACACACACGTTTAACTAGTGAATCTGTGGTATACGAAGCGCTTGTGAATCCGGAGGAATGTTTTCGTAAAGGTCCATTTTACGCGCCCAAAATTTGCTCGTATATTTACTAAAGTTACATGAATGAGGCTCAAAGCAACAGCAAACATTACAATGTATTTTTTGTTACAAGCTTTAACCTCAAGACTGAGTGTCTAGGCTCCAGGAAAGCAGGTCACAATCATGAGCTCTTGTCTCGTGTCTAATTAATGCTAGGCAAAAAATATATATTTTCGATTAATCTTTTTTTTTTTTTTTTTTTTTTTTTTTTTTAAATGTGGTCGATTCAAAATCGATTCCCAAAGGCCACGAATCGATTTTTTCCCATATTCAGTACTCGAATTACGGCGGTTATTGCGCATAATTTGAATCATTCCCGCAGGTCTCCCACTTATAATGCGGGAAATTCTCGCAAACATTGATTCACTTTAGCATGTAGGTTCGTAGGAGTAAATTAATCCACACAGATTATAAAATCAAATCAGTCATTTGAAAACTTTCTCCGAGACGAAATTTCACAAACAGCGCGAGTGTTCAGTGGTGCTGCGTCTTCTCTCTCTGCACAAGGCAAGCGTCAAGCGCGCTGCAGGCGGTGAAACTACACACTCGCGTTTTCGGGAGTCGGGACATGACGGAATTGTCACTTGCACAATCGGGTCAGCATTGCATCGTAACGTAATGCTTATCATTTTCACGTCTTTTTAAGTCTTACCAGTTTAAACATGCAAGTGATTTTAAACTATTCAGTAGGCCTACTCGCACGCTCTCAGAGATGTTTTTCTCTACGTGCATACAGTAGACTAGCCTAAAGCCACCTCACAAACAGTTCGCCAGTAACAAAAGTTATTTTTCGCGGATTGTATCGCTTTAACTGGAAAAACACGCAAAATTATGTCAAAACTCTGGTCTTGGTGAGTAACCTTGTAAAGACAGTCGGTTATGTCTTAATCATAAAACGCATGTGACAGTGTGATAGACAGTATAATATAACAGTAATGGATCTGTGCATTAGTTCTTAAAGTGACAGCAGCCATATGTGTCTCATTAATTTTGTTGTCAAAACAACAAAAGATAGCTTTAATTGTAAGGAATCAGGATAAATAACCTATGTATTTAATTTAGTCAGGACTAAAAGACTATCCAGTGTTATTTTACATTACACTGGATTTTTTTTAATCCTGCATCAAAATCCTGTCTATTCATTGTATGCATTTGAAATATAGGAGTTGGGTTCTGTTTTAATGTACCCAAGTGTACCTAAAATACAAAGTTTAATATAGAGGTTTGTGGCTCTTAAATTCTTTTCATTAAATAAGCACTTGTAAACTTTTGTTCACTGTTCTTTTTTATAAATATAGGATTTGTATTAAATTAAATTCGTTGAGTCGAATCGAGAATAGAAATCGAAAATCGAAATCGAATCGAACAGAGCATGCGAATCGAAATGGAACATCTGAATCGATACCCAGCCCTAGGTCTAATATCTCAAAGATTCCATTTACATCAGACATGGCTGTGAGCATTTCATCTCAATTTTAACTGTGTCTTGCATGTGTGTTTCTAAGGGAGAGGCAGAGCAGTGTCTTAAAAGGTCACTAGTGCATGAACCTATAAAGGGTAAAGCTTATCTAATGACAAAATTAATAGAGTGCACATAGATACAGTGATGCACATAAAATGTGATCATCAAATGCTCTAGGCTTCAGATTGTGAGGAACTGGACTGAACTGGATCACACACACACACCCCTTTTCTTTAGCTAGCACTTTCCATGAACCGGATACAAAATTGCAGTGCCTGACGTTCTAAAAAAACTATTTTTCAGAAGTTAAATTTTTAATTCTAAGTAAACAACAGCATGGAAAAAAATAGCCTAGAGGAGACAAAAAAAAAAAAAACTCTAAAACACAAATAAAAATAGAGCCTGACAATCTTAAAAAAGTCAGTTTTAAAAATAAAATATATTTATATTTAAATTCGTTGAAATATAATAAAATAAAAACTTAAGCCAGAATGAGTAACAGTACAAATATAGCCTAAAGAGACAAAATATATACAAATGGGGGGAAAGAGTACTGTAGCAGGCTTGCAAAATACATCTAAATAAATCTATAACTCAGTACAGTCTAGCTTGTTTGGGACCAAATCATTTATATTTCTTCATTAACTTATATTTTCCTCTTATTTTTTGTTACAATAACACTGATAGCAGAGTTGAATGGTTGAGCTCGATGCAGTCAACACTTTCAATTTGTGTAAAAATTCAAATTGAAGTGTGAAATGAGAATATTTACTTCTCTTAATGATGTTACTTTGATCCAGTGAAAGTTGATTTACTGTGTGTGTGGATTTGTTTAGCTGTATGTCACAGAAAGAGTTCAGTGAGGACTGACACTGATTCA